GTGCTCAGTCCACCGAGCCACGCCCGCCAGGGCTTGACCAGCCTTCAGTGTTCGCTCTGGAGCTGAGCTCCTGCCGCCTCCCTTGAGAGGTCAAGAGCAGGGTCTCTCCCTCCCACGTACAGGCAAGCAAGCCTCCACCTGGGAGACCCCCGGGACCGGGCGCCTATGGGTGTGGACCTGGGGCCACCCGGAACGGACGGAGCCGCTGCAGCAGGGAGGGGCCGCTGTCCTTGCGTTTTGGCAGAGACTCAAAGCAGGCACCGCAGGAGCGAGAAGGGGGCCGGGGAAGCTGGCGCCGCCAGCCAGGAGCGGGCAGCCTGTGGCAGCGGCTTGGGAGCAGGTGCGACTTTGCCCCGCTGCTCCCACCTTGGAAGCAGAGGCAGAAATGAGAGGGGCCGGCTGTGGCTACAAGCCCGGGCCATGGGGCGGGACTGCGGCGCCCACCCCACGGCTGTCAGGTCTGCCCTCCTCCTCGTCTTCCATGCGGCCGTGGCCACGGTTCTTCCCGGGCGGCTGCGGTCTGGCTGTGAGCTGTGGGTCTTCCACTGAGTCTGAAGGACGCGGCCCGGCTCCCCTCCGGGCCCCCAGGTCTCCCCGCCCCGGGGACCATCCTGGGACGGGTCACAGGGGCAGCGCCACCCCCTCGGTCCAGCCACTCCCGGGAGCCAGTGACGCCACGCTGTGGGCCGAGCATAGCCGGGCCAGAGGGCAGGCCCCCTGGGACGCTGGGTCGGCCGCTCCCTGCCCTGGGCCCCGCTGCGCCCTGGGCTGGGGGGAGGGGCGGCGGGTCCCCGGACCGCAGAGGAGCCGGGGCCCTGAGCTGCTTGGACAGAGTGACTGGGTGCGTGGGCTCGGCCAAAAAGAGGAAGAGGGAAAGGAGGAGGGACACACGCAGCGGGCACACTCAGGAGGGGGTGAGAGGAGGAGAGAGAAACAGAAACAAAGCCCCAGCCTGTGTGGGATGGAACAAGCTCCCAGTCTGGGGAAAACTGACCCGCGCAGGGGCACTCGGGGAGAGCGAAAGACGCGTCCTCCAACCAGCCTCGCCCTCGCAGGGCGGGCGCTGAGCCGCGGCGGGGAGCGGATGCTGCGGGGCCACCGCCCGGCTGGAAGGCGGCTGGCGGGGTCCTCCCAGAGCCAGGAAACAGGCTAGAAGCCACAGGGCCGACCCCGGTGGCCACAGCCCGGCGGGAGGGCTGAGGGGTCACACTGAGGGCAGAGGCAGAAGCAACTGGAGCAGACAACAAGTGCGGGAACACAGAGCACCCAGGAGAAGGCCCTCGGAGGAGCCCTTCCTCTGGGACAGAAATTGTTCTCCAGGGAAGGGCAGACCTGCCCGAGAGGCTCCTGCCTCAGGACAGAAAAGACCAGCGAACCGCCCCTGTGGCCGGTCCTGGTTGTTGCTGAAACTCGGGGCTTGAAGCCTCACCCTGCCTTTGGTGGCGGGGGTGGGGGGCCAGTGAGCGTGGAAACAGTGGGCGTAACACCCGCCCTTGCAGAGAATTGCTGGGTTTGTGTGAGTGGTAACCGATGACACGGGCTTCAGAGCAAGACCTCCAGGGCTGGCTGTTAGCAGCTCCTTCTCTGCGTTCGAGATTAAGGAGAGGATGTGGGGGAGGCGGCCGCAAGCAAGGCCAGGATCGGATTACGGAGCGTTAAGGCGATTTTGTCCTTGGAGCCGTCTTCCTTGGGGACTGTTCACCAGGGCACAAGAACACGAGCAGGGCTGGCTGTAGGCACAGATAAGCCGTTCGCAGAAGAAGCCGCGCTTGGGGGGGCTCGGCACAGCTGTGACAGCCCCTTGGGCTTTCTGTCCACGGACACCCAAGCGGGCTGACTGGCCTGGGAGACCGGGCAGGGGACATTTGGTGGCCCTGAGGACTTCCTTCCGGGAGGGGGCAGCCTCAGAACCCAGCAACACAGGCCATCACCAACAGGACAAAGCAAAATGACACCCACAAAGACAGCATCGAGACCTTGACCGTGTCCAACCGCGAGTGTGGCTGTGAGGAAGGGACCAGAAGGGTGGGCCGGCCTGGGGTCGCAGGGCGGCCTCCTGGCCTCCGGAGCTCCGAGCACGTGGCCTCTGCGTGTTCTCCTCGCGTTCCGTTCGTCCCTCCGTTTCTCCACCTCTTGTAATTAGAGCTCTGATCCGTTTCGAGTTGGCTTTTGTGTGCGTGCGGTAAAGGCCCAAAGGCACTCTTTTGCGTGGGACTGTTCAGTTGTCAGCACGGCTTGCTGAATAGACTGCCTTTCCTGCGGAATCTTCTTGGTGCCCTTGTTGAAGTTTCTTGACAGCCAATAGTTATTGTGCAGCTTTTTGTAAACCATTGTTTGTTTTTTGTAAGATTTTATTTAGCCCTGGCTGGTGGGACTCAGTGGATTGAGCACTGACCTACAAACCAAAGGGTCGCTGGTTCGATTCCCAGTCAGGGCACAGGCGTGGGTTGTGGGCCAAGTCCCCAGTAGGGGGCGCACGAGAGGCAATAACACGCTGATGTTTCTCTCTTTCTTCCTCCCTTCCCCTCTTTAAAAATTAAAAAATTAGAAAAAGATTTTATTTCATAAAATCCTTAACAAATTAGAAAAAGATTAAGATTTTTAAAACAATTTTAAGAAGCCCCATTTTCTGCCTTCGCAGTGAGTTAAGGCGGCCCCCCCTGGTCCCTCCCCTGCTGCCTCTTCCGCCCCGTGCCCTTCCTCGCTTCACTGTCTCCAGCTTTAGTAAATGTGCTTAAAACAAAAAGAAAGTCCGGGGGCGACTCGGAAGCGCGCCCTGCCTTCCTCGCTCCCGGCAGCGGCCGCGCAGCGGGCGGCAGGTGGGGGCGGGGAGACCCGGCTGGCGGCGGGGCCCCGCCCACCGCGCGCAGGGACGGGCTGTCCCAGGAAGCCGCGGGGAGCCCTGCCTGCCGCCTCCCCGGGCGGAAACCTTGAGTCCCACCCCCACCCCGCCCTTGCCCTTGCCCTCTGCCCTCTGCCCTGCACTGGTCCCCGGCCAGGCCGGTCCCTGCCAAACCGCCTAACCAGGCGGGCACGCCCTCCCAGGGACCCGGTCCAGGCCGGACCACACAACGGGGCCTGGGCGGGGGGCGGCCGGGGGGCGGCCGGGGCGCCCCTGTGCGCAGGTGGGCCGCGCTGGTGCTCCGAGCACAACGGCCCTGAGGTGGGGCGACACAGCCAGTTTCTGGAACCTGCCGCCTTCTCCACCCCCAGTTTCAGTTGCCATTCAAATTACTTCGTACGAGCCCCAGGTGCTCAGCCCAGTGGTTAACAATGACGTGACCCCGACGTGCCCGGCACCTGCCTGGCGCTGCAGCCGCTAAAACGCTACCGAGTATATTCCCCGGGCCGAACGGCAGGGCGGCGACTGGTCGGTGCCAACCAAACGGTCCTCAGTCCCTTCAGCTGCGTCGAGTCCAGCCTCCCAAACCCCTCCCACCTGGCGACCATCGCTCCGGGCGCTGTATCCGACTTTGTTTCTGTTTTGTTCATTTAGTTTGTTCTTTAGATTCTGCAAATATGTGAAATCATGTGCTCTTTCTCTGACACTCCATAGGAATTTGCAGCCTTATTCATGCGCCGGCCGTCGCAGAGCAGCCGCTGCCTTCCCTGTGACCCGGGTCCGTCCCCTCCCCCTCCACTGGCACTGCCTGGGCTGCGGGCTCCAGGGGCCTGGGGGAACTGCCCACGCGGCCTCCAGCCTGAGTGCTGGCCCCGAGCCCCGGCAGCATGCGGGGAGCCCTTCCCTGGCGTGCCAGGCCCCCACCGCCACCGGAGCCCCACACCTGCCCGGGGCCTGGGCGTCTGGCTTCGCCCCCCACATTTCCAGCCATGGCTGCCTCCCACTGGCCAGACCCCGAGACCCAGGACACCGCCCTTGTCCACACCCCACACGAGGAATCGTCACACACACGTGAGACCCAAATCCAGGCCTGTCCGCCGGCTTCTGTAAACTCAGGGACAGAGCAAGGGATGAAATCTGAAGGGAGACAACAGGACAAAGGAGGCAGACGATCCTGCTCAGAAAGGGCAGGGAGGGGACACAGGACACAAAGGGGCGGGACTCCAACAAAGCCAACTCCGGAAGTGCAGCAGGGTCTGGGGAACCAGCAGCGGCAGTCGAGGGACCCCTACATTCTTAGGTATCATCAGTTACTAGCGTAGCCTGAATATAAAAAAATCTAAGTGGATTCTGAGAGAGGAAGGGAGAGACAAACATGGACTGGTTGTTCCTTCCGCTGATGACGCACCCGCTGGCTCCATCCTGCTTGTGCCCTGACCCGGCCGAAGCCGCGGCCTTCGCGCATCAGGGGGCCCGGCAACCGGCCGAGCCGCTGGGCCAGGGCTGTGGCCCATGTTTCTTGAAGGCTCGTTTCACAGACGCTGAAGTGCTTCTCCACAGATGACACAGTGTCTGGGCTCTGCTCCCAAATAATCCAGCGGACGGGGAGGGTGGGTCCGCAGGGTGTGCGGAAGCTGGGCTGGGCGTACGGGCGCACGCTGGCTGCTTCTCAGAACAGCTTTACAGAGAGAGCATGGACTTCAGTGGCCACAGAGCTCTGCGGCCACCACCTCCACCTCAAGCCCCCTCCTTCACACGCCCCAGGGCAGGGGTGTCTGGGCCGGCGGCCCATGGACATCTCCTGGCTGGGGCGGCAGCAGACCTCGGGGCAGCGCCCCGACCAGCCCTCATAGCCCGTCTGAGGCTGGCAGCCCAGGGATCTGACTCAAGGGGAGTCTCCTGCAGCCAGGAGAGGGGCTCCCAGGGAGGCGGCCAGCCTGGCCAGGCGGTGCTTGCTGAGGAGAGGCGGCCCTGCGGGGTCCATGTTGACCGGGACCTGAGAACTTGGCACTGACCAGACCCCTCGACTCACACCCCCCCGCCACCGTGGTTTGGGCTCCTGCTCCCCGCACCCACCAGTTCCTCGGCCTGCCGGCCAGGGCTGTGCATTTCCCTCCGGGGACCGCCCCCGCCCCCCAACACTTAGAGCCTGCTGGGGGCGCGTGGGGCCTTGCTGCCCCTGGACAGCACAGAGCGGCCGAGATGCAGGGACCAGACAAGGGGCAGTTCACTGTCCTTTATTACTGTCCCTGCAGAGGGGTCCCTCACTGGGGAGAGGACACAGTTCCCGGGGCCTGGGGAAGCACACAGGTGCAGGCCCCGTTTCACTGCGGGGGGGACAGGCTGCTTTGGCTGACCAGCTGCTGGGGCCTTGAGGCGTGGCCAGCTGCCCACACAGGGGGGCCCTGCGGCCACATCACAGCCCGCGTTGCCCAGGAGAGTCACTGCGCTGTCCCTGAAGACAGCCGTGGCCTCTGGGTGCCGAGAAGTTTTTGGCAAAACTAATCGTTAAAGCGACTGGGGGCAGGCGAGACACCCCCCCACCTGCCTTCTTTGTTCCCTGGCCCAGCAGCTGGGGCCCAGCGACCCCCACAGCCTCGGAGAGCCCCGGCCCTCTCCTCCCACGGTCAACGTGCCCGCGCACACGCACACCGGTCCCGGACGGAGCTGCTGGAAGGTGGTGCTGAGGACCTCGGGCGTCTGACCCGTGAGAGCAACCTCGGGCCGGGGGCCCTGGAAAACCTGGACAGCCCGGCCCTCCCACGTCCCGTGCTGACGGCCTCCCGGGGAGAGAGGAACCTGGGCCGGACGCCGCCCCTCCGGCGGGCAGGGCCGGTGAGGCTCCAGGGCTGCAGGGGCCGGGGGCACCATCCCTGAAAGGAGCGCTGACCAGGCCGCCGGGAGGGTGGTGGCGGTCGGACCCGGGCCGGGGGGCGGGGCTCGGCTGGGGACGCGGGGGGCCTGGCGCTGGGGGCCGGCGTGGCCCGCCCACTCCCACCGCCCCGTCAGGAGGGCACTCGGATGCCAAAGTGCTTGCGAAGCTGTTCCAGGAACACGAAGGTGAGCACGGTGTGCGGCATGAGGCGGATGCCAGCCGGCAGGAGGCCCTGGGCCCAGGGGAGCGGGAGTGAGGCGTGAGATGCTGGGGGGGAGGCGGGCCCCACCCCCGCCCCACCCCGGCCCGGGCCCCGCCCCTGCCCCAACCTTGTAGAAGGCCAGTGGCCCGAGCTTGGCCGTCTCCATGGTGCAGTGGAGAACGCCCTGCAGGAAGCGACAGACAGAGCAATAAAAAGAAAAGCTGCCTCTCATTCAAAAGGCAGGACCATTCACAACCCCCAGCACAGGCCGGTGCCCCCCCCCGACCTCCCCTCCCCCCGCCACGGCTGACTTGCGCATGTGACCTCAGGACCAGCACACAGCGTGACCGGGAACGTTCAAAGCTCAACAGAGAGGGACGAGTGAGCATAAAGGTCATGGCCGCCCCAGCTGACCGCTTACGCGGCAAACCAGGACCCGGGGCTAGGCCCAGCGGGCTGCCCCGTGGGCACCGGCTGGGTGCGGAGGTCAGGGGCGGGGCCTCAGGCCCCTGAAGACACGGAAGCCACCTGGGGGCCCGGCAGTGCCAGGCCGGGCGCTGGGCCTGCGGCTTCCAGAAGGCAGGCCGGGTCACCCCAGTGGCAGCGATGCCCCTGCTCTATGGGGAAGGGTCTGACTCGAGGACACACGTGGGGCCCAGGTCTCGAGGCAGCTGGGAGGGATGCGGTCAGAAGGGCAGAAGGAACGTGCCGTCCACCTCCAGGGTGAGGACACCGGCTCATGGCCATAGAGCATGGCAGCAGCGGGGCAGGGTCCCCGCCCCCGCTCACCCGGTACTCGCCCTTGGAGTTCATCAGGCGGGTCTTCAGCACGTCCAGGGGCTGGCACAGGACCGTGGCGCATCCCCCCTGTGCGGGGGCGGGGCGGCGTCAGCCATGGGCCTGCGTGCAGGGAGCCTGGGCACCCTCGACCCCCAGAGGCCTGCCCCGAGCCCCCGGGAGGCATCCCGAGCGCCGCCCCAGCCTGGGCAGTGGGTGACCCGGGAGCCCTCCCGGCCCGGGGCCTGCAGTCTGAGAGCGCAGACCACCACCTCGGCTGGTGCCTCTTGCCTCCTGAGCCCTGGCCCTCAGGCCCCAGGCCGGACAGGGGCCCCGTCCCGCGCCACGGCCAGCACTCACCGCGATGAAGCTGGCGACGAAGTGTGTGACGATGCCGTCAGACAGGCGCCCTGTGCTGAGGACCAGCTGCTTGGCCTGGTCATAGCAGGACAGCTGTGGGGTGGCAGGGGCGGTCAGGGCCCAGAGGACGGCCAGCGCTGGGGGACGCAGATAGGCGCCCACAAGGACCCGCCCAGGCTGACCGCACACCTACACCGCAGTTGCCTGCACGGTGGACGCTGTGGCTGGGTGGGCACGCAAGGCCCGGACAGGGAGGGGCCGCCCACGGCCCTCCCTGTGACCTCTAGGCGTGGGGCAGGGGCAGGGACCCCCAGGGGTGCCGCTGAGAGCCCCACCCCAGGCAGAAGCCCTACCTGGCCCACGGTAACCAGCATCCCTCGACTGGACGCCATGGTCGCACCCGAGAACAGCTTCCTCAGACCCTCTGTCGGAGGGAGGGGGGAGGGGGGGAGGGTGGGTGCCCGCCCAAACCCACCGGGCCCCCCCAGGTCCTGGACAGTGCCCCCTGCCCCGTTCCGCCCCCTCGGGATGCTCCGGGTCCTCGCTGGAAGCTGCCGCAGCCTCCAGCCACACACAGGGCTGGCTCCTCACCTTCCCGGGCCACGCGGTACAGGCCATCCAGGGCGTGGGCATAGCTGCGGGGACACAGCATGGGTGGGCGTGAGGCTCCCCTGACCACCGGCTCCGCGACGGTTCTCCCCCGGAGGAGCCACAGGACCCTCAATGTGGTGCTGCCAGGGCCGAGTGACGGGGGCCCGTCCGACAGCTTGGCCCTCCCACCCTCAGGGGCCTCAGCACCTGAAGACCCCCCGCGAGGCCCCCAGAAGTGCATCTGGGCACCAGCCCAGGCGGCTGCTCCCAAGGACGGGTGGGCTGGACACCCTGTCCGGCCCCCGCCTCGCCGAGTCCTCAGACCGCGCTCCCCGCGGCCCCCGCTCCGGCCAGCGGGCCCTGGGGCGCCGCACGGCGCCCTGGCCCGACGCTCATCACAGGGGTTCACTGCGCCATCCATCCACACACCGGCCCTCAGAGCTGACAGACAGCGTCTTAGACTTCATGAAAGATGGTGTTTTTATCATAAAAAAAAAAATCCCAGCTTCCAAACCCTTTGAAAGGTCCAAACTCAAACTTCTAAACCATCCTCCATGGGACTGTGTGCAAGGAACACACAGAGGGAGAGGCCAGTGGCCAGTCCCCATCCCTGGTCCCAGATTCCTTCCCAGGGAAGACTCTGAGGTCCTGGGCCCCTTGTGACTGCTCCCCGCCCGGGACCATGCCCACCAGCCGCGCCCCGAGGGCGAACTCGGCCCCACTACTCACTTCCGGCGCTGACTCTGGGGCAGCTTCATGTCATTCTGCATCCTGAAACCACCACATAGGCTCAGGGGCGGCGGGGACCCTGGGCCCCCCCAGCGTCCCCACCGCCGGCTCAGTGGCGTCCGCACCCAGGGCCCAGAACGCCAAGGCCCGGCGCCGCGTTCCGGGCTGGGCCCTGGTCCTGTCGGAGACAGCAAGGCCCCTCACCCCCGGGGGCCGCACTGACCTGACGTTGACCATGTCTGCGGGAGTCCCCACGAAGCCGCCGATGCAACCTGGGGCAACAGACCCCAGAGCCGACGTGTGACCACTGGCCGTGGCCCTGCTGCCCTCGCGGCCCTCGCCTGCCTCCCCCTCCCCCACATGGCCACCTGCTCAGCCGGCCGCTCACCACTGATGGAGCCCAGCAACACCTTCTTGTAGAAAGGCAAGGGCCCCTCACTGCCCTTGGCCACCCGGTCCCGCACGGTCTCGTAGATGGCGAACCGGGTCAGGGAGTAGGTCATCTGCGGGGGGAGGGGCCCAGCTCAGAGGGCAGGGGGGCGGGCCGGAGCTGGGCACGACCCGCACCCCTGGGAGCCGCCCCAGCCGGCCAGGTGCGTGGTCGTCCCGTGTGGACCCCGGGGACACGGGGAGCCCGCCCAAGGCCATGTGGCCAACAAGCAGCTGAGCCAATGTGCAAGCCTCTTTCCCTTCCCAGGCCCCAGGTTCCCCGGTTGTAAGCGGAGGTCTCCAGCTGGCTGTGAGACAGGGTGGACCCTGCGGAAGGAACACCGGTCCCCAGAGGCTCCTTCCTCCCAAGCGGCTTGAAGAGGAGCAAGGTGAGCGATGCCCGCGGGTGCCCGCGGCGGCGAGGAGGCTGGGGGCTGCCGGCCATCCCTCCCGCCTGCTGAGCTGTGCGGAGCGAGGCTCTGGGACCGGGACCTGCCCGGGGAGGCGGGGGCCCAGGCACCTGTCTGCACAGGGAGGCGCTCAGGCCGTTGTAGAGCGCGAGGACGCCGTCGGAGCGCACCACCTGCAGCGCCATGCCCGTCATGCGCAGCTTCACCTCCTGCTGCGTCTGCAGGTGCACCTGCGGGGGCGGGGCACGCCTGCTCAGAGGGGCCTGCAGCTCCGCTGAGCCCTTCCCACACCACACCGGGGCCTTCCCTCCCCCCGCAGCGACCTGTAGGATGAGTGCGACTGCACCCCCACTTAGAGACGGAAACGGAGGCACAGGGAGGCCGAGCGGCCTCCTAAGGGCGCCGCGTTGCGGGGTGGAGGTGGGACGCTGCGCCGCACCGGGCACCAGCTTCTGTTCCATGCGACTGCCGTGCAAGCCACAATACCAGGCGGCTGGTGCAGCCACCAGGCCTGTGAGCAACACTCTGCAGCTGCCGGGGGCTCTGGGCACCTGCCATGGGCAGGGGTCATGAGCCTCACTTTACACCTGAGGAAGCTGAGGCAGGACACCAGGAGGGCGGCTGCAGAGCCCCACTGTTCAGTCTTCTCAGGGGACAAAATTCTGGGGACTCAGAGGCAGCCTGAAGAGACACAGGGGGCTGGAAGAGGCAGGTAGGGTCTCCGCGGGGGGCAAAGGGGAAAGGCCACCTCAGGAGGTCACGCCCCGCCAGGCCCTCTTGAGCAGGTCACCATCCTGCGCCCCAGTTTCGGTCAGTGTACTGAGGATCAAGGAGCTCAGCGGGTTACCTCCCCTCTCAGCCTCTGCCTGAGGGCTCCGGGCAGCGGGGCAGCAAAGGTGGGGACAGAGAGGGACCTTGTGCTCAGCGCGGTGACATGAGCAGCGTCCTCCTGTGCCACGCAAAGCCGGGCAGGACAGCAGGCACTGGGCCCGTGGGCACGGCGGCCACGTGGGCAGCAGCTCCCGCCCCGGCAAGAAGAGGCTGCGGATCAAGTCAGGACATGAGACCGAGAAAGATCAAGGACCTTTAAAATAATTTTTCCCGTGACCCTGCTGAGAGGTAAAAACCCCGGCCTGGGCCTCCCTCCAAGGCCGGCCTTCACACCCTGGCACAGGGCCGCAGGCTCCCTGGCCAGAGGGCGGCCACATTCCTGTGGCCGCCCGCCTCCCCTGGCCCATCCTGGCGGCAAAACAGCATCTGGGAAGCAGAGCAAGGGGCAGTGACGCCCAAGCAGGCCTTAGACAATGGGCGTGGGACCAGGCCAGCCCAGGAGCCAGGAGGCTCCAAGGGCCCCTGGAGGCTGTGCCGGCTCCCGCGGAGCCTGACCCCCCAGGGCCCTGTGGGTGGGGGGGGGGGGCGCGGGGACCTGCGTGGGCATCGGAAGGCAAACAAAACAGGTGGGAGGAGGGGCTCCTCTCTCTCCAGACCACCCTACCTTCCCGCTCTCTGTCCTGCCCCCGGCGATCAGAGCGTCCCCAGGTCCTGGGGGCTGCTCCCGGACCGGCTAATGGGGGGCTGCCAGCTTTGGCGCCCCATTCTGCTCGCCCTGCCTTTCCCGGTGGCATGTTACTAATCAGAGAAGCGAGGCCCTCCCTTCAGGAGAGAGGCTGCTCACAGAAACGTGCCCACAGGCAGCGGGTGAGGGTTCCTGGGTGGCTCAGGCCACAGGGCCCGCTCCTCCGAGAGGGCCGGGGGCACAGGGAACTCAGGGCGCAGGGTGGCGGGAAGGACAGGGGTGGCCAGGTGCCTGCCCCTGCCCACAGGCCCCCATGACACAGGGCAGTTCCCTGGGCAGACTGCGGCTTCTGCCTCTGGCCCTTTCTCCTTTGTTCCTTGTGGAGAAACAGGGCAGAGAGCAACTCGCTGGGCTGGTCCTGGAGGGCAAGAAATTCTATCTCCTGCTGCCCCATAAGCACTAAACAAACAAAAAGAGGGCCAATGCTTCTGGCTCTGTGCCGCTCACCCCCATAGGGCAGGGCCTGCGTGGACGCGGCCGGTGGCTTCCCGGCGCCCACCCAGTCCGGAGGCAGCAGCCCGGGGCAGGGCACCTGCGTCACTCCGCCTGCCCAGGCCACAGCTTTCAGTCCCTCTCCCTCCTTCTGGTGCCAAGACTCCACCTGGCGGGGGGCGGCTGGGTCCAGGCCTGCGTGCGCTACACCCACACAGCACCCCTCCACTCTCATGAGGCAGGACGACTGTCCCCAGAGGTGTGGGAGAAATTGGCTCGGCGTGGCCAAGTGACTGCCCAAGGTCACATAGGTAGTAAAGCACAGGGCTACGGCCGGGGACGCGACCCGCCAAGAGCCGGAAGCAGTCTGGGACGCGCGATACCGGGGCTGCTCCACCGGGGTCCGCAGGGCCATGGGGACCTCCCTCCAACCCTCTCCACGCGGCGTCTGCGGGTCGAGCAGGGAGCCGATGCGCTCCGGGCTGGGCAGGGTCAGGCTGGCCAGTGCCCACGGGCGTGCAGCCAGGGTGGGCGCGGAGCCCAGGCCCCTCGCAGCCGCCCGCCCCCCGGCCCGCGCCGCCCTCACCTTGAGCAGGTCCAGCGGGTGGGTGCAGCAGGCGGCCCCGCACGAGGCCAGGCCCCCAAAGTACCAGCGCGATACGCGCGCCTCGGCCGCCATGCCAGGAGGATTAACGGTTGCCTAGGTCCTATCTGGCCCGTACTCCGATCCCGCCCCGGACCCCAGCCCGCGCCGCCACCCCGGCGCCGGGTTCAAAGCACCGTCCGTCACCCGCGCCCGGCGCAACCAATGCGCCCGCTCGCTCAGAGGCGTGTCTAGATCCGGGGCGGGGTCGACGTCGGGGCGTTGTCCAGGAGACCGCGCCCCCAGCGCCTTAAAGAGGCCGCGGCCGGGCAGATCTGGAGCGGTGCCGGTTGGAACCCGCTGTACCCCTTCCCCGGGCAAACAGCCTCGGGGGACCTGCTGCGCGGGCCTCTACCAATGCTCCCAGGAACCTGGCGTCCCTCCGCAACCGGCACCCCAGGGCCATTCCACGCCTAGGGCACGTGTCCGAAGGGCAAGGCCACTCCCCTGGCTCTGCCGGCGACCCCCACCCCACCTCCCGGAAGCCGGCCTCCGCAGTAGCGCCGCCAGCCGTGGCCCCGACCCTGCACCCAGGGCCCACCGCGCCGCGCCACGCCGGCAAAGCCAAGCCAAGCCTGTCCGCCCCGGCGAGAGCAGGTGCAAGAACTAGCAGAGGCTCTTCAGCTGGTTAGAGCGCCCTCCGGCTATGCTGAGGTTGCAGGTTCGATTTGCCTGCAGAGCACATACAAGACTCAACCAATAAACTACTACATCAATAAATTTTTAAAAAAAACTTTTTTTTAAGTAGTAAAAACTCTTCTTGGGCCCTGGCTGGTGTGGCTCAGTGGATTGAGCGCATGCCTGTGAGCCAAAGGGTCGGTGGTTCGATTCCCAGTCAGGGCACAGGCCTGGGTTGTGGGCCAGGTCCTTGGTTGGAGGCACGTGCAAATGGCAACCAATCAATGTACCTCTCCTCTTTCTCCCTCCTTTCTCCTCTCTCTAAAAGTAAATAAATAAAATCTTAAAACAAAACAAAAACTTTGGGATCAGCCAAGGGACAAAAGGCAATTCGGAGAGACCAGGAGTCCCTGTTCCCTAAACACCACCTGCAGCCAGAGCGCTCCCAGCCAAGTCCAGCCTCTGGCCTCCCTCTGACCTGCAGCCCCAGGCGGGAGGAGGCCTGGCAGGCAGAGTTTTGGGCATCCGCGTCCTGGGCTCAGGCTCCGGAGGGGTCATCAGTAAGCAGGACCTGGTCCCGGGGAACGCCCCCACCTGTGTGTCCGAGGTCTGTCCAGAACAAGCAGAACCATTGCTAATAAAGCGAGAACGGTTTGCAGCACAGCGATGTAACCTGGCAGCCGGGAGAGGGGCCTGGAGTGCGCATGCGTGCACAGTGACGCCTTCGCTGCCCTGGGCAGCGGGGGTGGTAGGCGCCGTTGAGTGAGCATGGGTGCTGTGTGGCTGTCACGTTCAAACTGAGCGAGCGGAGCAAGGAATCTGCATCCAGTTTTGCATTAAAGCTTGAACACGCCTCAGCAGAAGCTCTTCCAATGGTTCAGAAGGCCGCCGATGTGGGCAACTGGTGATCGGCAGCTTCATCACACGTCCACTCACGCGTCACATCTCGTGCAGAATTTTTTTGCGAAGCACCAAGCACCCAGGTGACTCAGTCCCCCAACAGCCTAGATGTGGTGCCCTGGGACTTCTGGCTTTTCCCGAAACTAAACTCACCTTTGAAACGGAAGAGACTTCAGACCCTCGATGAGATTCAGGAACATACGACGGGACAGCTGATGGCGACTGGGGGAGCTGGGTGAGGCCCCAGGTGCCTGCTTTGAAGGGGCCTGAGGCGTCATTGTCCTGTGTGCTATGTTCTGTGTGTCTTGTATCTTCACTAAATGTCTATTTTTCATATTGTGTGGCTAGATACCTTCTGGAAAGACCTCATGTAACAGATTCCCACACTCATCCCATTGCCCAGCAAACAACGGGATGTGCAGGTGGGCTCCTAGCCCAAGTGAAGTCCAAGTCCTCAGGGCCACTTCCTGAAAGAACCATGGGGACCCAGGCGTTCTCTGTAGGGACAGCCTCCAATCTCAGAGGGGACAGAGCCAGACCCCTTCCCCAGGGTAGAACCTCTGTCCAGGGTGACCATTGCAGCCCCCGTCCCAATGGAGGGGGGTGGGCATGGGGGAAACCTGGTTCCCTGAAGCTGGGAGGTGCCAGAGTAACGGTCCCTGGAACCGGGATCAGCTGGGGCAGGAGGCACATGAGTCAGCACCAGCCCTCGCTCAGCTGTGTCCCGTGACCTTTTCACCGGGCTAGTTCCTACTGGCACCTGATGGGATCTCGTCAGTGCCAGGCAGGCACCAACGAGACTCAGCGTGCACAGCAGACCCACCCCCCGGCACAGAGCTGGCAGTCCCCGGCCAGGCGGGTCCCAGGGGCCAGAGCAACCCCAGGGGCGCAGCCCCAACACCTGCCAAGACACTTCTTTATGGGCCAGCTGTGGTCGCGGTGTTGGGGGAGTTGGGTGTGGCGGGCCAGGACCCCCATCAGGAGGCCCAGGATCTGCCCAGCACCTTCAGCAATTGGCCTGTGAGGTCGGGTGCAGGGCACCAGGACGACACCACCAAGCGCTGCCCTAGCCCTGCACACTGGAGGTGGGACTGCTCACTAGATGGCCCCTGATGTGCTGGGCCACCCAGAAACACCAGGAGGAAGCAGAGGACCCCGTCGCCCCAGCTTTGTCCCTGGGAACGCTGGACAAGGGCCTGTGAGCCTGCAGGACCGGCCTGCCCCTGAGCCCCGCCCACCTCCTCCCTGCCCTGCCCCGCCCCCAGGAGGCAGCCGGGCAGCAGGCCACACCCCCTCTGGAGGGAAGGTACACCCACAGATCTGGGGCTGAGAATCATTAACCCGGTGAGGTGGTGTGGCCAGGCCTGGTTTGGAGTCTCTCTGGGTCAGGGAACCCACAGGGGGGGAGGGACGCCTGGCTGGGGAGGGGGAGAGAGGCTGGACACACCCACAGGGAGCTGTCCCACCCAGAGGCAGCATTTCTGGACACACAGTGCTCCCTTGGGGTCCCCCAGAGCTGATCTTGCATGTCATTCTTCCAACGGGGCCACAGGGGTGGGGCAGCAGGACGTGGGGGCCCCTGGGGACATGGGTGCTCAACACCGTGCAGCCTCGTTCCCTCCTGCTCTCAGCCCCAAGTCCCAGCGTCTTCCTGCTCAGAGCCGGGGTTGGGGGAGGGGATCCAATGCCTCTGGAGGAAGCCCAGGGTCCTCAGAGCAAGGTCCCAGGGCTGCCCTCACTGGCGGCGGGCGGTGGCCATGGCCACCGCCCTCACCTCACCTGGCTCCTAGGGCCAGGCCTGTGTCCTTCTCTCTAAGGGAGGTCTGCCGCTGACTAACGGACGCAGGGCCGCCTGGGGCACGGGCTCACCTGGGGCGGGGCTGCCCCAGGGCGGCCAGCGCCGCACACCCAGCTCCCGAGTGAAGATCTGGCACAGCTGCACAGCAGCTGCCACCCGGCAGGCGGGACGGGTGCTGGCGCACCCCCGACGACCCTCTGCAGTCCCTCGCCTATCCCGCCGCCCAGACACAGCACTGCACACACGGCCCGAACCATGTATTTTCTCAGCGGCCACCAGGGGGCGCACGGGAGCTGGGGGCACGTTCCAGAGTCCGCCGGGGTGCTCACAGGCAGCAGCTGCCCCCTCCCACCCCCGTAGGTCCATGCCTGTCCCGGAACCAGGCTGCCCTGAGGTGATGGTGTGGAGGTCTGCTCCGAGGTGCCTGCCAGCTGAGCCTGGGTGCTCAGTGGAGCGGGCGGGGCCTCGCCTGGGTCCCAGGGACCCCAGTCCACAAGTCCTCGGCGCTGGCCTACTCCAGGACCACGGTGCCGCCCACCGCCTCCAGGGCCGCCTTGATCTTCTCCGCCTCTGCCTTGGCCACGTTTGCTTTGATTTCCTGGGGCAGCGACTCTACCAGCTTCTTTGCCTGCCAGGGAGCAAAGTCAGACTCCAGGCCTGGGCACGTGCACCAGCCCGGCCTGGGAGGGGCTGCCCGGAACTCACCTGCACGAGGTTTATGCCCTGGACGTAGTTCTTGATTTCCTTGATCAGCTTCACTTTATCTACAGGCTTCGCCTCTGTCAGGCGGACGGTGAAATGCGTCTGTTCTTTTTGTTTGGGGACGTATTCTTCTACCACCTGCGGGGGGGGGGGGGCCGTGGGCGGCCAGGTGAAAAGGGTGGGTGGGGGACTGGCGCCTTTGCCCCTGGGCTGCCCGCCCCATGACCCCAAAGGCAAGGCCCTGCAGAGCCCAGGGCTCCCGCAGGGGCCGGGCTGGGCCCACGCCCCCACCTCAGTCGCTCCTGGGTCAGACCGGGCCTCCCCACCAGGAACCGTCCCGGCTCCCCGAGGCTGCTCCGAAAGCGCCTCCCTTCCCAGCCCCAACACTTGTCCCTGAAAAGCTGTCCCTTAAAAGACAAAGCAGAGCGACAGCAGAAGGGATTTGTGGTCAAGTAACGTTAGAGAAACGCAGCGCCACTCCATCCTCGGCCGAGCCCGAGGCCGTGTCTGCGACCAGGCAGGCCGACAGCCAGCCGAGCCCCGCCTGCACCAGGTGGCCAGCCGCGGACAGGCAGCAGGGGCTGACGGAGCTCTGAAGTTGGAGCAGGCTGGGGTAGGAGGCCACTGCCCACGCCCCGTCTGCTGCGAATGGCTCCGGCCGCCTGGGTTTTCAGAGCTGGGCTGGGACGTGCCGAGGAGGACAGACCAGAGACCCGCCTTCACTTCAGGGACAGGAGACACACATGTGACAGCACGTTAACTATTACTAAGACTGCCCAGGGGTACACGAGTGATTGTGTTATTATTCCTATTTGTGGATAATTTGAGATTTGCAAAAAAAAAAAAAAAATTTAGTACGTGGCTCCCCGTCAGCTGCTTTCCTCGCAGACACTCAAACCCGCCGGCGCCCAGAGCAGGGGCAGCCCAGCGCCGCCACCCCCCGTGGTCCTGGCCCCGCCTCCCGGCTGTAGCACGCGGGGGGGGGGGGGGGCGCCTCGCTCTCCCTCAGCTCCTCCCGGCTCCTCTCAGGAGCCACCTGCTGCCCTGGGCGGGTGGCCCACATGGTTGTAGCGTCGTCCAGTACTCCAAAAGGTTGAGGGTTCGGTCCCTGGGTGGGACACGTATGGGAGACAACCGACCGATGTTTCCCTCTCTCTCTCTGTCCGTGTCCCTCTAAAAATCAACACACCAACCCTTGGGCGAGGGTCAGCTGCTCATTATGGCCTTCCCTGAACTCGTAACCTTCACCCTCTTTCCCCACACCATTCATTATGTCTCCGTATTCCACGCAGTTGCTTTCTGTCTCTTTCCTTTCACCGGGCTCATGGTCTGTCTCCCTCTGCTAGAAACGCAGTCTCCCACGGGCAGGGGTCCGCACAGCCTCGGCAGGGAGGCGGCCCGGGAGCTGACCAGGGCCGCAGGCAGGGGTGCGCACGGGTCTACGGGGGGTGTCGGCTGGCGCAGGACTGAGATGAGGGACAAGGCGACAAGTCTGGCCACACGGTGTGAGGGAGCATGGGGACAGGCCACTAGAGAAACGTGTTTTTCTGCATGGGACGCTGCCCGGGCTCACCTCGGGGGCCGCAGCCGCAGGGGCAGGGCCGGGCACCATGCCGCCCATCGGCATGAGCCCCACGTCCTGGATCTTCAAGGTTTTCTGCAAGGACAGAGAGCGGTCTCAGAGGCTGGCCGTCACGCCCAAGGACACGCAGGGACGAGGCTGGGACACCCCTGCACTCGGGGAGCATTTTCCACAACTGAGCAAACCCCCCAAGTACCCCGGGAATAAGGCTCATGCCCCGGAGTCACTGCCCAGGCCAGGTCGGTACCTTCAGGAGCTCGTTGAGGTCCGAGATCTCCAGGAGCGTGAGGCTGGCAATGTCCTGGACCAGCTGCTGGATCTTGGGTGGATATTCCTTGGGGGCATTATCTAGGGGTGCACCGGCGAGGGCCTCCCCCCTTCGATGGCTGCTGCATCTCATTAGCCGAACGGTGCAGACGCGGGGCACCTGTTGTCTAAACCCCAAACAGAGTCGTCAGCCACGCACGTGTGGGCGACACAGTCTAGGCAGGAAGATGCAGCGGGCTCAGGTTTAGCCCCTTGGTCCCAACCCAGGGTTCTCAGACTCGAGGGTCCACTGTACGCTCTTCAAGAACCTTAGGCACCCACATGATTACTATTGCAAAGCTCTGCCCGCGACGCCAGCTTCCTGGTTTGAATGAGCCGCAGCAGCAGCTCACGGGGGTAATGCGATACCATCAACGCGCTGGCTGCACAAAGCCCTGCAGAACCTGGGTCCCTTGACGGCGGAACGCCGACTGCACGGAAGGGAGTCCTACCGCGTCACTGAGCTTCCGAGGAAACTGAGGCCCAGAGAAAGGCCGGAACCCGTCCAAGGTCACCTGAGGCCACCGCGGCACTCTCCACGGCCCGCGCGGTTAGGGGTCGGCACGCGGTGGTCCTCACGCCCCCTATTCCCTGCTGGGATGCGCCGAGTTTCTGTGGCCTCTCGTCCGCCGCCCCGACCCGAACCGTCTGTGGCCGGCCGAGGGCCCCCACTCTGCCCGCCCGGCCCTCGGCAGCCCGCGGTACCTGGCGAAACGGAGCGCGGCGCCCCGAAGCCCGAGACACGGCCCCCACAGGGGGAGAGCGGCCGCCGGCAGCATCGCTCCACGGGCGGGAAGGTCACACGCGGCTCCCGGCGGGAGGGACGCTCTAGCCGCCGGGGCCGCCGAGTTTACGCGCTGGAGAGGACGCTCTAGCCGTACCTCGCGCTGGTTTCCTCTCGCTCGCCGAGATTACCCACAAGGCGGCGGGCCGCGCAGGCGCACAGCCTTGCCGGAGGCGGTGGCCGGGTTGCTGGGGCCCGTCGCTGCCCGACTCAGGTCGTCTGTGCGTGGGGCAATGGCCAGTGAAGGTCGAAGCTAGGCGCCAGGCTCCGTCCGAGTCGGGGGGCGGGCCTGGTCCGTATAGAACAGCGCAGGGACCCTGTCGCAGCCTCGTGTCCCCTAACCGTGGTCACCCAGCGCTCCCCGTCCCCGGTGCCCTCGGCCAGGCTGCTCCGCCGCCGCAACGGCAGCCTCCCCCATCAGCACGGGAGGGACCACGTTTTGTGCTTCGATCCAGGCCGCTCCGGGAGCAAGGCTGCCTCCTTCTGCGGCACCGAGCGCGCGTCCTGGGCAGCGGGGCTCGGGCCTCTACGCAGTGTTTGCCGAGAGTTGTGATTGAGGCCGTAAAGGGCCGAGTGACGGGCACCTGGGCGGGAGGGCTGCCAGGTCCCGGGGTGGAGTGTCTGTAAGCTCCGTCTCCAGACACCCTCACCCTCGGCGGTCCTGCCCGCCTCTTGGTCAAGCTCCCAAACTCCCGGCCGAGGGGTGTGCCACTCAGCCCGCCGCAGCGTTGCCCCGAGGGTCTTGGGCCCCCGCTCTTCGTGCGCGACAAGCAGGAGTAGGGCAGGTGATCCTCCTGTCCCAACCGACCCCGCCGCCGCAGGTGACTTCCTAGGAGCGGGTGCTGGAGCAGCCCGACCTGGCGGTAGACAGAAGGCAGGGCTGCCCCTGCCGTTACCCTGGCTTTGCCTTTGACCTGAGCCTAGGTAGTATCTGTACCTATTAAACTAGTGCATGCCTTCCTGGAAGAACTCGAGTTGGAGTCCCTAAGAGGTCTGCGTGCTGACGGTGGCCTTCTGAGCTCTGGATGCAAGGGGCCATGAGTCTGGCATTTATGCTCATTCCCTTCCAGGCTACAAGTGGCATTGCCGATCAACGGGAGACCAAACCCTGCAGGCCTGTCCCAGGACTGGGGCAGAGCAATGCCCCGCGGGCCTGCCCGTGGAGCTGGCCCAGGCAGGCGGCAGGTCGACTGCAGGGATGCGCGCCCTGTCCTGCCAAGGCCCATCCCGAGCTGGCTCCCTGCCCTCCACCTTCCTCTGAGCAGACACTGGGTCATGGTTGAAGAGATTTTATTATCACTGTTCATTCCATCTACTGGGGTCACTGGATGAGATGACAGGGCAGCTCAGGAGCAGAGAGACTGGAGGCAAGCCCCCACCCCTCCCCTGGGGGCCAGGGGCTCCCCTGCCATCGGCTAGGGCCGCACTAGAGGGCCCTGGGGGGGGCCTCCAGGGCAGGGGGAGCTGCCTGTCCAAGAGGATGCTACCATCCCCCTGCGCCCGCGGCCCAGACGTGGGGAAGGAAGTCAGAGACAGGAGGAGACCAACTAGGGGACGGGACAGCGAGGGGCCCGGGGGGCCGAGCCGGCGGGGGAGGACGGGAAGAGGGCCGGAGAGTGGGAGAGGCGACGTGCTAGTCAGGGGTGGCAGCGGTCTCAAGCGTAGTGTTGTCCTGGGTGCGAGCCAGCCAGGTCAGTCGAAGGAGATGAGCTGGGCCTCGCTGCCCTGCACCTGGGACCCCTGCGCAGGGGGCTGCTGGGCGACGGGCGGCGGCTGCTGCGCAGGGCCACCAGGGGGCGCCATCTGGGGGGGCAGGGGCCATTGGTCCTCCGCCCCCAGCCCCAGGCCCACCCTCCAGTGGCTTCCTTAGAACCCTCAGCCTGCCTCCTGCACTCAGTCCCGTTGGCCCAGCCCAGGGTGCCGGAGGGAGCCCCCCAGCCTGCCGTGGGCTCCCTGGGGACTTCACGCCCCAGCAGGGGCCGAAGCCCAGGCTTCCTGACCGTGCCCTCGGAGTGGAGCTTCCCAGTCAGCACGGGGTTTGCTCCCTTTGGGTCACTGCGTGCGTCTAGGCACTGCCTGCTCTCCACTGGATGGCCCCTGCTGAGGGCCCGGGGCCCCAGGGCGGGGGCCCTGGAAGAGGCTCACCTGCTGGTACATGGGCTGCTGCCCCGAGATGTAGGGCTGCTGAGGGGGCGGCAGAGGTGCGTCCTGGCTGGGGAGGGTGGTCATGAGATTCTGCAGAGGAGGAAAGGGACCCCAGCACTGAGACGGGCCCTGCAGCCAGACGGAGCAGGAGTTTCCGGCCTGGACCCCCCGCCCGTGGCCCCGGGAACCGCCCGGCGGGGATGCCGCCCACGCCGCACCTGCATGCTGTAGGGCTGGTAGCCCACGGGCACTGCCTGGCTCCCCAGGTAGCCCACGCTGCCAGGCTGCGGGGGCTGGGCGATGGCTGGGAGGCTCTGCGGGGCCTGGGAGGCCACGGGCTGTGGAGGGAAGGTGTGTGGCTGTGACTGATGGCGGGGCACCTCAGAGGGGCGCGGGGGCGCGGGGGCGCGGCCTCGCCCACCTACCTGATAGCCCTGGGCGGGGGTGGGCTGGTAGGAGGAGTAGGCAGGGCTGGCGCTGGGCCCCGCCGGGCCCCGGGGTGCGGCCTGTGCGCCGGCAGCCCCTGCCGGGTACATGTAGGCGCTCACCATGCTGGGGTCTGGAGAGGGAGGGAGAGCCTGAGACCCGGGGTCACGGGCGCCTCTGTCTGCCTTTTTGTGGTGAATTTTGGAACTAAGTTCACGTTTCACATTCTCACCGACAGAAAATAAATGAAATCAAAGGGATGGGAGAGAACCTCTAACGATGAAGGAAATAAGAAGGAGCCCGCTGTGTTCCGACCCGGTAGAGGGCGCCACAGGGGTGGGGGACGGTGCAGCCCGAGACTCGCGGAGGCAGAGCCAGGACTCGGGCTGACAGAGAGACACCGGCCTCTCCCAGCGGCCGGGGCTGGCACTGCCGAAACCACTCTCTGAATTCTGGGACCTGACAGGCAGCAGCGCAGAGCGGGGAGGGCATGACTGGCACGGGGGGAGAGGACGCCCGAGCCCCGGCCTGGAAGGCGGCGGAGTGAACGCGCTGCCCTGTCTGCCGTCAAGACGGGTGAGGGGTGTGCACGGAGCAAACATAAAACGGTAACATTCGGGGGACCTGCTCTGTAAATCTGTTACGCCAAAATAAAGACGAAAAAGGGGCCCTGGCTGAGTGGGCTGAGCGCCAGCCCATGAACCGAGAGGTCACCAGTTCGATTCCCAGTCAGGGCACAGGCCTGGCTTGCCGGCCAGGTCCCCAGCAGGGGGCGTGTGAGAGGCAACAGATCATGTCTCTCTCACACATCGGTGTTTCTCTCTTCTCTCTCCAAAAGTAAATTAACAAAATCTTAAAAAAAAAAAAACAACAACCCGTCTGGGGCTCATCCTGGCTGGTCAGCCCGCCCGCCCGCCCGCCCGCCCGGTTACCTGCTCCGGCCCCCGGCACGCTGGGATAGGGGCTGCCCCCGGCGGCGGCCGGCTGGCTCATGTACACGGTGTGCATGGGGGAGCCCTCCACCGAGCCTGCTGGGCTGAAAGTCCCTGGGAAGCTCGTGGGGCCCGAGGGCTGGTACAGCACACCGCCCGTGGCGGGCACGGCCTGGAGCTGGGGGCACAGAGAGGGCTGTCAGGACGGCCCCCAGCAGCCCCGGGCTGGGCCGGCGGGAATGGGACACGCGGGACACATGCCTGGGCGTAGGGCAGGGAGAAGGCGGGCATCTGGGCGCGCATCTGGATGGTCTGCTTCTGCTGCTCCAGGCGCAGCTGCCGCTCCTTCTCCTGCTCCTGCAGGCGCTGGATGGCCAGCTGCCTCTGCACCTCCAGGTACTCCTGCGGGCCACCGGGCAGCGGTCAGCACCGGCCGCAGCCCGCCCGGCCAGCCGGCCGCCCGCCCGCTGCCCGCCTGCCGCCACACCTGCTTCTTCTGCCGCATGATCTCCAGCTTCTGGGCCAGCTGGATCTGGCGCTGGCGCTCCGCCTCCTCGGCCGCCCGGCGCAGCTTCTCACGGTGCTCCTCCCGCAAGGCGCTGAGCGCCCCCCGGGCGTCGCGGATCTGCGCCAGCTTGTCCTGCAGCCCCTCGTAGTACACTGTGGGGGGCAGAGTGGGGCCTTGGCATCGCTGGACACGATGCCAGCTTGTTGACAGGGCGTGGCTGGCACGGGGGCTGGGGCCTCTCCCTTCAGCGGGCCGTTCTCCACCACTGGGGCCACCCCGTCCCCTGGAGCCCGAGAAGCCATGGCCCCTGGGGCAGCCCCGGCCCAGGAACCTGCCCACCGTCCACAGCCCACAGCCACCGGCCAGCGCGGGAGACCCTCCCACCACGCTGGCTGGGACGCGGGGCCAGCGGGGCCCGGGCCGGGAGGGACGCACGCCTGCGCTCGTCCAGCCGGTTGAGCAGCTCCAGCAGCTGGGGGTGCATGCCGTTGATGGACTGGAAGAGCGACAGCACGGCCGAGTCGTTGGTGATGCTGCGGCCGCGCACGTGGTTGCTCTTCATGCGGTTGACGAAGGTGCTAACGGCGTTCTGCAGGGCCTTCAGGAGCTGCACGTGGCTCTCCTCCGACTCCCCGTTCTGGAGCTGCTGCTGGCGGCACGTGGGGGGGCCGCCGGTCAGGGGCAGCCCCCCGCCCCCGCCCCCGCCCCACAGCGGAGGAGCCCGGCCTGGAGAGGCACAGGTGCGCCCCCCGATGGTGATGCAGGCCTGCCTCCCCGCAAGGGCCCTGGGTCCTGCTTTTCTTAAGATTCTATGTGTTCATTTTTAGAGAGAGAGAAGGGAGAAGAAAGAGAGGTAGAGAAACACTGATGAGCTGCCTCTCGTGCACCCCCAGCCAGGGACCAGGCCCACAACCAAGGCATGTGCCCCAACCGGGAATTGAACTGGTGACCTCCCAGTTTGCGGGATGATGCCCAGCCCACAGAGCCATGCTGGCCAGGGCAGCCCTGGCTTCTTACTCCAATGGCCAACAAAGCCCTGAGGCCTCAGGACAGACTGAGCTGGGGGCTCTGGGCTTGGTCTGTCTAGGGGAGGCAGTGAGCGGCGGAGCCCACCTCCAGGAGGTCGCTGGGCAACCGGCGCTAGCCGGGAGCCTGGGGCTCTGTGCGCCACAGGCTGCTTCCCTGGCCAGAGAAGGGAGCTTACCTCACTAAAGGGGCCGCTGGAGGAAGGGATGGGCTGCGGGTCTGTCTCCGGGAGGGGCGTCTGGAAGAGACCAGAGGGCGAGTGGGGCTGGCCTGTCCTTGTGTCCCCTCCCCCACAGGGCATGCGTCCCGGGCCAGAAGCGCAGAGAGCGGGCCCTCACCTCAACGACGTTCGTGGGGGCCGCGTGTGCCTCCCCCGGTTGGGTGGCTGGCTCTGCCAGGGGCGCGGGTGCGGACGGTGTGGGGCTCTTCCGCGCCTCTTCCTGCTTCTTTTCCCAGTAGTTCCGGTTCAGGTACCGGGCGAGCTGCGCGGGCAACAAGAGGTCATCCCGAGGACCAGGGAGCAGCAAAGACAAGCCCCGCGTGTGAGGGACTCACCTCGGGGTCCATGTCCTCAGCTAGAGGTGCTGATGAGTTCTGGGGAGACACGGGAGGGTCCGAGGGGGTCACAGGCCACACACCCCAGCCCCTCCACAGCTGTCGCTCAGCAGACCCGACGGCACAGCAGTGGCGGGGACCCTGGAGCCTGACGGGGCCCTTCGGACTCCACGACCGCTGACCAGGTGCTGGGGGCCCTGGCCCCCCTCCCAGTAACAGCGCAGGCGGTCCCCCTCGGGTGGGGGCAGGGCTGTTCTCAACCCGTCACCAGCCGGCCCCACCCCTCCCGTCAGTCACAGAGGCGCTGGGCCGTTCCCAAGAACGCAACTCCCGTCGCGGCCTCAGGTGCGGCCAGTCAGGGACAGCCACCCGTGGCTCCAGGGCTGTGAAGGAGACGGGGCTCTCACGAGCGGGGTCGCCTGGCCAGGGAGCCACGAGCCAGTAGGGGGCGGTGAGGCCACGGGGCACGGTGCCGTCCTTCCCGGGGCAGCAGTCCAAGCCAGTGTGGCTGGGCCGCGGGGGCTCACCACAGGCGAAGAATACAGGCTGCTGGCGGGAGGCGCCGACGAGGCCACGGGTGTGGGCTCCGCCTTGGGGTACGCGGTGTATGTGGACTTCTGTCTCTGCGGAGGACCGAGGAGCGTGTCCCGCAAGGAGCACGTGGCACCAAACATCCCGGGGCGCCTCCCCGCACCCACAGACTGGCTGGAGCCTCGGGCCTCCCCGCCGGCCGCTCACCATCCTCTCCTTCTCCTCGGCCTCCGACTGCGACAGGGCCAGGGCCAGCTGCAGCTCCTCCTCCTCCTGCAGGGCCGTCTCGTCCCTCTTGGGGGGCAGCTGGGGGCGAACAGGCGGGGTGAGCAGGGCCCGGGGAGCCGCGCCGGGGAGAGGCCTGGGGCCGGGCCGTACCTGGGACTGCTGCGACAGAGGGCTGGTCAGGTACTCGGCGGGCAGCTCCGTCGTGGCGGGGGCCTTGCCTTCCGCTTTCCTGAGGAGACAGGTCCCTGGAGGAGGAGCACTGCGCCCGGCCCCCCAAAGGCCTCCAGGGCGCTGCCTGGGCCTCCCTCCAACGTCACCACTGAGTGCCGACAGCAGTTCCCTGGGCCCCACTCAGGAGAAAAACGGAACCCCCGAGCCAGCTGCTCCTGCTGGGCTGAGGGACCCCAGGCGAACCACCAGGCCGGAGCCACAGGCCCGTCTCCTGGATCCGCCTGGCCAGGTGGCAGGTTCCACGGGAAGGGAGCTTCCCAGTGCAGTGGCCGCAGGCACCTCACGGAGGGACAGGCCGCCCTGGCCGACGCTGGGACAGGCGGGGGGACAGACGGCAGCGCAAGCCTCTGCACTGACTGCGCGGACACAGCTTCCCAACGGGGGTCCCGCCGGACCTGACCGAGGGCCCCGCTGCGAGGGCCCGGACGCTTCAGAAACGTCCTCATCAGGACACATGGGACCGCGCAGCAGATGAGGGCCCAGGAGCCAGGTGGGCCCCGAGGACAGAGCTGCCACCCACGTCCCTGGGGCTCGGCGCAAACAGCACGGCAGCAGAGGACATGCGCTGACGTCAGTGTCCGCCCGGCCACCCTGCTGGGGCTCCGAACAGAGCGTCCTCTCCTGCGCACACACGGAGGCTCAGTGCCCGCCGCATGGGAGCACACGCACTGGCGGGAGCACACGCACTGGCGGGAGCACACGCGAGTGCCAGCCCCGAGGGGCCAGGCGGAGGGGGCGCCCCTCCCCGCGGCGAGCCGGCGGCACCTTCGTGGAATTGGCACTTCCCAACGACGACATTTAAAGGCAGATGAGCCCCGGCAGCGGCTGGCAGGCCCCGGGCCCTGGGCCGGCTCTGCCGTGAGGCCAGGGCGCGGCTGAGGTGGGAGCGTGGGCAGGGCCCGAGCGCAGAGCGAGCGGGGCCGCAGGGACTCACTTGTTGAGCTGCTCGTAGCAGGGCTCGCACACGCGCACCTCCTTCTCGATGCCGAACTTGGGGATGGTGGAGCACCTGGAGGAGCACTTGCCGCAGAAGATCTGGCCGCAGGCCCGGCAGTGGTGCTGCGACAGGGGGCGGGGGAGGCGGCTGTGTGGCGGGCCAGTGGCCCTCGCCCCGACCCGCCCAGCGCTGCCCCCCGGAGTGGGCGGGCCGGCCTCGCGGGCCGGGCGGAAGGCGCCCCAGGGGAACGGAGGGCTGGGGAATGGGGTGCAGGCCCAGGGCATCGGCTGCAGCCACCGCTCCGGGGAAAAGACATTAATTACAATGAAAGGTTCCCCAAAAGCGTGTGTGAACTGTGCTGCACGGGGGCCTGGAGAGTCTGCTGACGCCCATGGCCGGCCAGGCCGTCCGTGGGAAGACAGACACCAGCTTCAGGGTCCGAGCCGGACAGGCTGAGTCAGCTGAGGGGACGTGGCTGAGGGGTGTCCGCTGAGGCAGCGCGACCGGAGCCCCAGCCCTGAGCCCAGTGTTCCCGGCCCCGGGGAGCGTGTGCTTTGCTCAACGGCATGAACTGTCAGACACCAGACCCTCGGCGGCCACGAGGGAAAGGACCACGCGTGGCTGCGCTGGCAGCGAGCGCAGGGCCCCCCACCAGCGGCATACTCACCTTGCGGGTCACCACCCCGAACTGCACCCTGCAGCGGTGGCACTCCTCGGCGTCCACCCAGTCGGGGGCCTGGGGGGAGGCAGGGTCAGGGCCCCACAGTCCCGCCCGCGCTCCCTGCTCCCCGCTCCCCACTCCCCGCAGAGGCCAGGCCCAGGCAGCGCAGACCCGGGGCAGGAGGCCCCTTCCGGGGAGTCTCCTGTCTCAGGCTCAAGAGCAAGATGCCCAGGGCCAGGGCAGGTCAGTGCTCACTCCCCTGCAGAGCCCACCAGCCCACGGCGCCCTGAACTGCGCTCCCATCTCAGCCTCCCACTCCACCTGGCAGCGCCGGGTGCCTCCCCTGGGAGGCAGATGGCGGCCGTCCGCCCCCAGCAGGCCTGGCCCCGGAGCCCACCAGCTCCCCAAAAGCCGCGCTGCCCCCACCCCAGCTCGAGACTCACTCTCTCCGCAGCAAACATGGCGTCGCTCTCCTTGAACTCTGGGAAGACGTGTCCTGGGGAAAGGAGGCTGCAGTTGCCACCGGGGTCGCTCTGGTGTGTGAGGCCCCCCAGTCTCCCCTGCCCCCACCCGTCTGCCCTGACACCCTCAGGTCTCAGCATCTGCCTCCCCAAATCGACCTCCAAGAGGCACAGCCAGCAGGCCACTCCACACCCAGGGGTCCCCACGGGCTGCCGGTCCTGGGCCGGAGCAGAGCCAAGACCTCGCAGGCCTCCCCGGGTCCCCCGCCGGGCTCCTGGCCCCACACTCTGGCCAGTCACATTCCCCAGTCTCTCAGAGTCAGGGTCCCCACAGTCTTGTGGAGGCACGGACCCCTTGGGCGTCCTATACGGCTTTGGACACTCTTCCCAGGACAGCGAGCGTGGGCCCACTGCCAGTATCCGGGGTCCAAGGGACCGAGAGCCTGAGCCAGCCCACAGACGTGGACAGGACCCTCGTCACACCGTCCCCACACAGACCTGCCCACGCCACGGCCCCGGTCATGCTCCGTGCCTCCTCTTCAGGGCTGGGGGACCGGGACGAGCCCTTCTCCCCTGCTGCCTGGCAGGCGGGGCACCAGCAGACCCTCGGAGTGTGGCCTGACTGCGGCCCTCCCTGCCACACCCACAGTGCTCCATGGCCAGTGCCCCAGCAGGAGGGAGGCAGAGGGGTCCTTAAACCACACACCTCGGCCATCAGGCCTGGGCCTGGGACCGCCCGGGGACTTCCACTGCCCTCAGAGCGGCGGCTGCGCCCCTGCCCTAGCAACACCCTGTCCGCTCGGCCCCGGGGCGCCTGCACCTGCGTCCCCTGCAGGACACTGGGCCCAGGCCCCCACTCACTGTTCACTCTCATGCTCAGGTTCCCCCCTCAACTCACCCCAAACCAGCCCCCCAGACAGAGACCTTCACGTCCCCGCTAGGGCCCCTCGCTCCCAGAAACAAGCCCCTGTGCGCGCTTCCCCTGTGTGTGCTGTGCTGCAGGGCGCCATCCCTGCCCCAGTGGGGCGTGAGGTGGGACAGCCGGGGCTGGGGTGCCCAGAGCCGGGCTGGCCGGCTGCCCGTGCCCACCGCGGGTCACGCAGTGAGGGGCCGTCCCCGGCCCGCCCAGCGCAAACGCAGCCCCCGGCCCTGCCAACTCACCCTCCACCTTCATGATCTGGTAGGTGTCCTGGACCACCTTGTACTTGGGCTCGTTCCGGAAGGCGTGGGCCCAGGCCTGGATCAGGTACAGGATCTTGTTCCGGACGTTGACTTCCACCTGCCTCTGCAGAGGAGGGAGGGAGGGCGTGAGGGGCCGCAGGAGGAGCAGGTGCCCCGGGCCAGCCTCAGCGCGACGGAGCTGCCTGGCACAACCCTGCTCCTCAGGGCAGAGGTGCGGCGGGGCCCCCGGGTGGGGCACAGGGCCACAGACAGCTCTCCCCAGGCCCAGGCCTCCTTCAAGGAGCCCCGGCCCCTTGCACGAGCCCCTGGCACCTGCCCGCCCACCCGGGGCTTGCACCGCAACCCCAGCGAGGCAGGACCCCTGAGCAACCGCTCTCCGAGCCCTGGAGCCAGGGACGCAGGCCTGCACTTCTGCGCCCCCAACCAGGCTGGGAGCCCCTCAGTCTGCACCCACTCTGGCCCTGCCTGAGTCCGGCTCCCTCCTTGCAGTCACGGCCACTCCAGGGACGTCCCCACACACAGAGCCGCCCCTTCCACCTGCTCAGAGCGCAGCCGGGCCTCCCTGCAGAGCCCTCTGGGGGGCCGCCTGCACGCGGCACTCAGAGGCCGGCAGAACAAGAAAGCCGCTTCACGGGGATGCCAACAACAGCTCAGTGCTGGGCCTCTGGGTCTTTCCTATGACCTGTGCCCCCTTGACAACCCCCACCCACCGCCCTCCTAGGGGAGCTCAGACCACAGGCCGCGGGACGGGGCAATCTGCCGACACAGGGAGCAGGCAGCTTCCGACGGCTCCCGCTCCTCCCACAGGCCGGGCAGGGCCTGGCCGAGGCCACAGCAAGCCTCGGGGCACCCAGCTCTCGGCTCAGGGCCCAGGGGGGCTCTCGGCCCACGGGCCCACGGGCTTCCAGGACAGCGGGCCTGGCCCACTGGCGGCAGCAAGACGTGCCGGGGCTGTGCTCCTCGGCAGCCGCCCGGGCCACCTCCCCTCCAGCGGCACCCGCGTCCTCGGAGGGGGGCGGCCCCGCCCTGCTCCGCCTCACACAGCCTCCGGTGTCACTGCCCACCTCACAATCCCCGCAGGAGCGGCGCAGGCCCGGGAGGCCACAGGCAGGGGCCACTCAGGACCACGCTTTGGGCTCAGGAGGACTTCTGCCTTCGGCCCCGGAGGGCATGCGGCCCAGTCCCCGGCGCGTCCTCAGCTCCCCACCGCACAAGCACGCCGGGCTTGCGTGCCTCCCGCTCGGAGCCTTCCCGCTGCTCCGGCGGCAGGCCCAGCTCCCCAGGCCTCTGCCCACACGCCACTCCTTCTGCCACCTTCTCTGGCACTCAGAGAGTGCGCCCTGCCTTTCCAGGCCGAGCCCCCAGCCCTGCCCCCAGGAGGCCCTCCCTGCCCCGGAGGCAAAGGCGGCTCCTGCGCCCAGACGCCCAGACGTCACCAGGCTGGGATTGGCGCACAGGGACCACCTGCGCGCACCCTCCTGGCCCCTGCACCTGGCACTGTTCCTGCCACCGGTGCCAGCAGAGACCCAGGAAAGCAGAGGCCTGAGGCAGGGCAGGGGCACCCCTGCCCACCCGGACCCACTGCACCCCATCGAGCACCCACCTTCAGCAGCTCCTTCAGCTCCTCCATGGTCTGCTTGTTGGCCACCTCGTCATGGACCGTCTGGCCACAGTTCTTCACCACGGACTCCATGACCTGCGGACCCCAAGGCAGGGAAAGGTCGGGCGGCTGGTCAGGGCGGGGCCCCCCCAGGCCCCATGGCCACCTGAGGCAGGCGGCCGCCGGCGCCGCTGGGCTCCTCCTCGCTCCCGCGCTGCCACCGAGGACAGAGGCTGTAGTCGCCCTCCCTGCCCCGAGTGTGTCAGCCTCAGGCGGGGCAGCGGAGGCCGGGCTCCTGCCCAGCTCTGTAAGGGCAGTGCACGGCTGCCCTCCCACCCGGCGCCCACCCTGCTGGCTGCGTGCAGGCGTGTGGGCAGGGCTGCGGGGGCCACTGCTCTGTGTCATCCTGACCGCTGGGGCCGGGATCCTCGAGAGGATTGGAGCGTGGGGTCTATTCACCTCCAGGGCATACAAGGCCACGTGTGGGTTCTTGTCGTTGACTTTCTTCTTGATGGAACTCACGGCATACTTTGCCCTGAAAGGAAAGGGCGTTGGTAGAAGCAGTGAGACAGGAAAAAAGAAAACAGCCTCGGGAACCAAGACGAGAAAAGCCCAGCTGCCATCGGACCCCAGCTGCACAGGGTCCTCTGACTTCCTCCAGATCTCAGAAACCCCAGCACGCGGACCACGCAGCAGCTGTCCCAGCTCGCGGGCTGGGAGGGCCACAGGGCACAAGTGTCCCCCTCACTTACTGCGTGTCCCCCTCACTTACTGCGTGTCCCCCTGGCGGATCAGGTCACAGATCTGCAGGATGGACTCCCAGTCGGTCTCCAGCAGAAGCTGGCTGGTCGCTTTGTCTAAGGCAGAAACACACCATTGTGGGGGCTCACCCTGCTGCTCCGCTAGGGGTCCCCAGCTTAGCAGCAGAAAGGAGGGGCCGTCTCCTTCCCACACTGAACATTTGAGCCCAATGGAAAGCCCCGTGAAGATCCTCCTGACGCAGAGAGAGTCACAACTGCTGTCCTGACCTAACGAGGCAAATAGCTTGAAAAACGACGACAGAGAAACCCTGTGGTGCGTTCGTCACACGCCAGACGCTTCGCTTCTCTGGCGGCCTCACGACCTAGGTCCTGTCCATCCTCATCCTCCTGCAGACAAACTGAGGCAGAGAGGCGCGGGCGCTGCCCGGAGTCGCACAGCAAGCTGGGGCCAGAGTCAGGACTCGGCGCGGTGCAGCGGCCTCTCGGCAGGGAAACCCGCCACCTTGTCCCTCAGGGTCCCCGGTGTTCGGAAGTTTGACCTAGTTGGGTAGATGTCCGCTGGGATGAGGCTTCGGAGATGCAGCATGGACTCCTGTCCTCTCCCTCCTGTGTCCTCTGCGGCTCATCAGGGCCGACCTCCAGAGACCCTCAACTGACACCTGACTCTCCATCGCGGCTGCCTAAGGCCAGCGGGCCTGAGGCGCAGCGGCCCTGCCGGCCTGGTCTTCCCTGGAGACTACAAATAACCTAAGAGGCCTGTCCACTGTCAGTACTGATCTGGAGGTAATTCCTGGAATGATCTCAGAGAGGCTGAATCACCCCTGGTGACTGGGTTCCTCAGCCCAGCCCTTCCAAAAGCAAGAACGACGTGTCATCTGAGGCTGCCTTCCGAAGCACTCGCTAGGAAAAAGGCGGCTGGGCTGGGCTGGGCTGACCACTGCAGTGCCCAGAGCCCCTGTCCGAAGACAGGGCTCACGCTGTTCCACTGGAGGGAGGGGCGCGTGCCCAGTAACATTCCTTCCTAAAATCTGTGACCTCCTGCAGGCTCAAAAGGATCAGCCATAAACTCCGACAGAAAACGCCTCCCGGAACCACGGGCGCGTCCCTGGTCCCCCGAGAAGCAGTCCTCAAAAGAGCGTGACAGGTCCCAGGGAGACGTCCTCCCTTTGGGGGTGCCAGTGTTTGGGTCAGAAGCCCCAAGCCCCACGCATCCTCGGTGTTTTTGGTGGGGGGAGGGGAAAGGGCGTCTTCAGAGCTTTTACTATTCGATCGAGTCGCCCATCGCCGTGACTCAGGACTTTGGGCCCGCTAGGGCAGAAGCCCGTGGTCAGTTCCCGGGGACCTGCCGGCTTCGGGCCCGGCGCCTCCGCGGACCCTCACCCGCCCCGGCCAGCGCCCGCGCCCAGCACTGCCGAGCCCCGCTCGCGGCGAACCCGCCCAGGACCCCGGTCGCGCGGCGGCCATTCGGCTCCACTCCGGGGCTGCGGGCCGGCCGCGAGGGGCGGGGGCCGCGTTACCTAGGAGACGCTCGAAGGTGCCGCTGCCGCGCCCCATGGCGACCCGAGTCCGACCCGACGCCGCGGCCTCCTCCGCTGCGAGGCAGCGCGCCCCCGACTTCCGCTTCCGCCTTCTCCACGGGCACGCGCACGCCCCGTCCAACTTGGAGCCTCCAGGAGGCGGCTTTCCGCTAGCCTCAGACACTGTGCGCCGATTGGACTGCGCCTGACAGAGTGAGAACCGAAGACCAATGAGAATTCAGGAGGCCATTCTTACCCAATGATAACGGAGTGGGGGCGGGCCTTGACCATCAAGGGGGCGGAGCTACGGGTGCCGAGCGGCGCGAGGATTTGGGATGTGTCTCCTGTTGGGGGCTACCGGCGTGGGGAAGTCGCTGTTGGTGAAACGACTGCAGACTATCCTTACGTGTCGGGCGAGGGGAACTGGAGAGACGGGGGGCGGCCGGGGTGCGGTTGTTGGGGACCTGGAGTGAACGGGGTTAGGGGACGAGGGATGCTCACGGGGCGGTCGGGAACGGGTTCACTTTGGTGGCTGGGGCGGGGAGCCTGTTGGGGTTAGGGGAGACCCGGGGCGGGGTCCGGCCGCCGCCCGCCCTCTTCTGCCTCGCTTGGGGTCCTTGACCGCCCCGCACAGCTGAGCTCTCAGGATGGGAAGGGAGACCTGGGCGATCCTCCTCCGACGCGGCCCACGGTAGGCGGCCGCCTCCCACGGGTTAGGTGGCAACGGCACCTCGCCGTTTGCCAAGTGTTTTGGGTTCTTAGGCGGAAACTGGAATCCAGCGGACAGATGCATTAAATACAACCCAGGGAAGCGAATAGGGTTGTCACGGGAAGGAGCTGGTCCCGCGGGGACACAACCGCCCCTCCACACACTGTTCGATCACTGTCGCTGGTCGCCCCGCCTCCGCCCCGGCTGAATCCCATGCTGGGCGTTGATTGGCCACAGCCGACCGGGAGGGGGAGGGCCCGGGACGCCTGAAGAACTCTCCGTTGTGGGTTCTGCTTTAGGGCCCAGGACCTCAAAAGGGGGGCCTGTGGGGGTTTCGGTCGCCGGGTGAAGGGCAGAGCACGTTGCTGTTCAGGAGTCCCAGTGGCAAAAAGCTCCTGGTGGCTGTCTCTGCCTCCTGTGTTTTCCCACAGGTGGGCACCGACCTCACTGACATCACGGTCCACAGAAAGATCACCATCCGGGAGCTCGGGGGGTGCATGGGCCCCATCTGGTCCAGTTACTATGGAAACTGCCGATCTCTCCTGGTGAGTCACCTTTGAACTCTTTTTAGCGAAGCACATCCGGCAGCGGTATTTGTCTAGTCCGCAGCCTGACATTGTATAGGATGGAGTTCGGTTTTCCGGGGGACGTGTGAGTCCAGGGAGCAGGGCCCCTGCTACCACTTCCTCCTGGGAACTCAGCCTGACCCCTGGCGCTCCCACCCCGCCCCGGAAGGCTCACGAGGGCAGTCGCTGCCTGCTGTCCGCCCTCTCCCTTGTGACTGTGTGTTCCTTGTGACTGTGTGTTCCTTGTGACTGTGTACGCCTGAATTCCACATCCCTTGGGTTTGTCTCATCCTGGCAAGTCCTGTGCCCCAAATTTTGGGACCCTTCCTGGGAGACTGAGGGCCACATGAGGAGAGACTTCTGAGTAGGTGGAAACTAGCGACACCTGGTCGCTCTCATACCCCTTGTTTCCTTCTGCTCCTGCCTGCCCCCAGAGCCCTGTGTTTCGAAGTCCTTTAGCTGTTCCTGGTCAGGTCTGTGGCGCCCAGGGGAGGAGATGGGGCCGGGGTTGCCGCCGTCACAGAGTGGCCCTGAGCCTTTCTCCCTTCTCCCCAGTTCATGATAGACGCCTCCAACCCCACCCAGCTCTCCGCCTCCTGCGTGCAGCTCCTGGGGCTCCTTTCTGCAGAGCCACTGGCAGAGGCGTCGGTCCTGATTCTCTTCAATAAGACGTACGGGCCCACAGGCTGAAAGGGGGCGCAGGGGATGCCGGAGTGTGGCTGGGGGTGGGGCTCCTTAGGGCGGGCAGGGGGTTGGAGTGGGCCTGTGGGGCTCACTGACACAGAGCCCCTTTTGCTCCAGCGACCTGCCCTGTTACATGACCATAGAAGAGATGAAGTCGCTAACCAGGCTCCCAGACATCATTGCTTGTGCCAAGCAGGACATCACTGTGGCAGAGGTCAGCGCTCGCACTGGCACTGGTTTGGCAGGGGTGCTGCGCTGGCTCCAGGGCACCCACGGAGGCAGCAGGTGACCCCGGGGCGGAGAGGGCGTGGCACAGCCCAGCGGGGAGGCGGCAGAGGACGGCCCAGCTCCGCGCCGGGCGTCCGTGCGGAGCTGCAGTGCTGGGCAGAGGCACCCAGGTTACGAGCATCCCGGCGCCGGGTGCCACAATGGAGGCCGTGGGGCTGGGAGAGTGGGCCCGCCTGCCAGGCCTCGGGCCCTCCTTCCACTTCAGCGCGGGAGCCGGCGGCCCGGAGAGCACTGTGATTGGCAGGTGTGTTCTCGGGCGCCCGCAACAAATTACCGCAGGCTGACTTCAAACAGCCTGACGCTCTAGTCACAGTCCTGGAGGCCACAAGTCTGAAGTCCAGGTGTCGGCAGGGATGGACCCTCCTCCTGGAGGCTCTGAGGGAAGACCTGTTCTCTGCCCGTCTCCCGGCATCCAGCGGCTGTGGGTAATGGTCTTCTCTTGTAAGGACACTTGTCATTGGTCTTAGGGCCCACCCCAAATCCAGGGTGATCTTAAGATCTGTAACTACGTCTGCAAAGACCCATCTTCCAAAAAAGGTCACATTTGCATGTTCTGGTGGTTACAACTTGGATGTGCCTTTTGGGGGCCACTGTTCAGCCTCTTCTAACTGGGTGAGGAACCCCCGCCCGAGAGCAGTCTGAAGCGTCTGGCCTTGCAGTGCCTCCGGCTTTGCTGTGCACAGCCCGTGCCACCTCAGACACACCCCGTGGACCGTTTCTGCTTATGCTACCAAGCAGCCCCCGCGTGGATGACCTCCACCGCATCAGTGGGGTCCTTGTTGGTTTCAGCCAACCTGGGCCCCAAAGAAAGGGCTTTCAGACACCCCAACTTGAAGAGGATTTGAGCAAAGCCTGGTTAACAGCATCAAGTGCTAGAAAAACCCTCCTTAACCTGTCACTCCTCAGTTCTTCAGCTGGAGAGCAAAGACCCCAGAAAGGAGTGAGCACTCGGGACCAGCCCTGGGCGGCAGCGGGCCAGTCTGTTCCTGCAGACTTCCAAGTTAGGGGAAGCACTTTTTACATGTTCAAAAAGCGACCTAGAGCAACCAAATAGCAACTTAAACCCTGAAAAGACCTTAACTATCAAATTGGTACCATGACCAGAGAAAAGACTCTCTCAAGGTGACATTGGAACACGTTGGTCCGTCTTAGTGGGGGGACGAAAGCGACTGGAGGCGCCTCAAGCTTCGCTCTGCACTTCACGCGGCGCCCGTCACAGGCGAGCGATTTTGTGTGCGGTAGAGTAAGTTGTTACGTTTGTGAGCCATTTTCAGAGTAAAAGACACAAAGATAAACCAATTAAACTTTAATAGCAAAAAATCAACATAATCTATTTAAAGTTGTATTTGTTTCCAAGGCCTGTCCGCAGCAGCGGTCAGCAGGCAGTGCCAGCCTGGCTGCGGTGCGCACTTCCGGGACCCCGACCTTGGGCCCTGCATCCACACCCCACCTCCCCACTAGGGGGGCAGTGGAGCGTGACCGAGCCTGGGCCCGCGTCTCAGGGGGGCACCTCGGGTTTGGACACTCGCGACCTGAGGCTCAGATCGGTGTCAAAGACCAAGATCTCCCAGTGGCGAAGTACTGGGCAACTTAAGCTAACAATGAACCTCCAAAAACTAAACTAACCAAAACCCCCTGAAACTTACTGTAATGCCCTGTTAGGATCACTCGAGTCCCTACACTGACCTTACTCTCCTAGCAGCAGCCAAGGTAACTCTCCAAAGGTGGTTTCCCAGTGCAGAGTGCTTCTGGGGACTTAACAGTGGCACTGTGAGCAGGCGGCCTTGGTGCGGACCGGCCCCCACCCGGGCTCCCTCCTGCCTCCTGCTGTGCCGCTCCACGGAACCCAGGGGGGCCTGTGACGGGCTCACCCCGCCTAAGGAGTGCAGCTGGGGACAGGACTAGGGGGTGGGCCTGCACCCCTCAGCCTGGGCCGTGCGTTCAGGACGGGGGTGCGGGCGCTGCCAGGCTCGTGGCAGTGACGTCGGGTGGGACTGGCTGCCTCCGCCACAGGGGCCCAGGACAGATGGGCTCAGTCTGAGGCGTGGGCCTGGCGGGTGGTCGCGAGGGCGGTCTCCAGGGAGGGAAAGGAGAGCAGAGCCCGGAGCCCTGCCGGACAGGGAGCCGGTGCGCCAGGCCCTGGGGCCTAGGCTGCGTCCCGGGAAAGGACTGGTCTCTGGGCCCTGCCCGCTCTCCCCGAGGCCGGGCCGCGGCCCTGGTCTCTCGCCGTCACGGGCCCGTCTCTGGCTCCTTCTTGGGAGGGAGGCGGGCGGGCCGAGCACCCTGCCGCTCCTGCCGCAGCTTCTTCAGCGCCCTGTAGGCCTGCACGGCCCGCGCGCTCTCCTCCGCCAGGATCCGCTGCCGGGCCATCGAGGTCACCGGAGGTTGGGACACACCACCAGGGCTCAAAAGCATCCCCAGGATCAGCGATTTCTTGCCAGGCTGAGAATCACAGACACAGCACGTAGCACAGATTCAGGAAGAGAGAAGATCGAGAGCCTGGCCTGAGCGCAGTTGAGCCAGTGAGAATCAGTCACCGGTGACACGCGGGGAAGACCCCGCCCCGCCTACCTGGTTCCTGCTCGCGCTCACCCCGGGCTTGGCAGTCAGCTCGGGGGGCTGCAGGGCGACCTCGCCAAACTTCACCGTGTCTAGGGGAGCAGAGGGGCGCACCTGAGGCCCGCAGCCCGCAGCCCAGTCCCTGCACCTGAGCCGCTGCGTGCCCATCTGCTGACCAGGAGGCGACACAGGTGACCCCGGCCCCCGACCCCCACCCCGGCCCGGCACCTTGCAGCAGCTCCTGCTCCAGCCTGTCCGCTGCCTTTTCCTCTCTCCGCCGCCGGACTTTATCCAGCCGCCGCTTCTGGAACCTGGAGAGAAAGTGCGGTGCCACTCAGACCCCCAGCTCTTGCTTCACTGGGCTCGGGAGGCAGCGGAGGTCGCCCTGCCCTGGGGGGGACACCTGAGGCAGAGCCCAGGCGCTGTCTGCACGTCCCCAATCCTGCCACCACCCCACAGCCGCCCACCGGAGAGGGCTCTGAGCCCCACCGGCCGGCAGCTGTGTGAGGGAGCGGCCGCACCTCCTCTTCACAAAAGAGGAGCCGAGGCCAACAGGGTCACTGCTAAGGGCTCTCCGATCTCCAGACAAGGGAGGTGACGTTGGGAACGGGACCGCAGCCCACACCCAGGGAGGGGAGGTGGCATCCGCCGACCAGAAGGGGAGTCCCAGGGTTGTGTCAGGCTCCCACAGACACCGCCCCCCGTGACAGTCCCGATTTCCGCGGGGCAGGCGCGTCCCGGGTGGCCGCCAGGCCCTCCTGCGGGGCAGGGCTCCGCTTCCCTGCTGCAGCAGCCGGGCCGGGCCGCGGGCCCTGAGCTGCTCGGAGCCTGGAGCCCCTCGACGGCCAGAGGGGCGCAGCCACGGGGCTCGGCCCTCACAGCTCTGCGGGCCGGGGCCTGCCCGGGCCTCTGAGGTGACGAAATGCTGCTACACGAGACAGTCCGGGCCCCCAGCCCCGCTCACGCTTTCTTCCGCTCCGACTTCTCCTTGGGCGCCGCCTGCGCCTCGGGCCGCCGGTCGGCCCGGTTCTTGCTGAGGAAGAACACGTGCTGGGCCTCCTGCTCCATGCGCTGCACGTAGGCCGCGTCAGACTCCCCCTTCCTCTGCTTGAACTTGGGGACGGCGATGTCCGGGTCCACGCCCCGCGCCTCCTTCTCCAGCGTCCTTCTGAAGGCCGCCTGGGCTGAGGACAGGGAGACGGGGCATAGGGCCTGAGGGAGGGCGGCGCCATGACGGTCCCACGGTCATTCCCTCCCAAGGCCACAGGACAGAAGGCTCACGAGGGCGCAGCCCCACCGCCGTGGCCGAAGGGGCCCTAAGACGTGCATCTCAGGATACCCACAGCGACGAGGCCCACACAGCCCACGGGGACGTGCCGAAGACGCCACCACACCTCGGCTGAAACAGGAGGCAAGCTCAATGCCCACCCGTGGGTGACCGCTCAGGGAGTCCCGCGCCCATGGGGACGTGCCGCCCAGGTGCGGGGAGAGCCCAGCAGAGCCCCCCCAGGGGAGGGGGCAGGTCTGTGAAGTCCGCTGTGAGCGAAGACCCAGGACACTGGGTCGACCCACGTAGGACGCCACACGTGCGAGCGTATCGTTTACACAACCGGAACAAGGGCTCGATCGCCGAGCACGGCTCGGATGTGCGGTCTCCCCACAGGCCAGCGCACCTCCTCCCACCTGCCCTTCTGGTCTGTTTATTTCGCGAACCCTTGGTAGCCACATAACCCCCAACGAAGAGCCAGAGGTTTCAATGAAATTACCAAACAGCACTGCTGTAAAGTCAGCCCTGTGTTTGAGAAAACTTATACGTATCTACACGGAAGAGAAACACATCAGACTCCAGTCCCCAACACGTCCCAAGTGTCGCCTCCGGCACAGCCTGATGAGTGGGCACAGGCCTGGCCTTGGGGAGGGGCGGGGAGGGCCAGTTTGTCAGAGGAAGCCTCATCAGTTCCCCCTTAACCCCCAGAATCCACCCACTTCCATCCGCCACCCTCTTTGACTGGCAAGGGCCTCACTGGCGTGCCCTGGCCACACTCCCTCCCGCCCCTTTTACACAGGGATCTGTCCTTGAAATCAATCAGCACAGACCGACCCTTCTGATGGATCTCCCCCGACTGCTCTTGGGGAATCAGCGCTCCTTGCACCAGCCCAACGCTCCCTTGGAGCCTCATCTGAAACCACGCTGCCCGCGGCAGCTGCTGTGGCCCTGGACACTCGGGTCTTGGGTCAGTCCTCCCCGGGCTCCCGCACGCTCCCGACCACTGACACGCCGTTGGGTATCTGGGCAATTAAGCTTCATCGCCACCCACGGGAGCCCCCACGTTACCCTCTTTCTTCCTCTTCTTGTTACTGACGGGGTTTTTCATATCCTGGCGGCTCCTCATAATCTCTCGGAGCCGAAAAGGGATTTCCTGTTCATCCTGGTTGTTGGGCTTGCAATTCACGCTTTTCTTCTCTTTGCTAAGAAGGAGAACACGGGAGTGAGACGCGACCCAAGTCCAGCACAAGCAGAGTCACAGGAGCCGGAGCTGGGCCTAGAAGAGAAACTCCGCAGGCCGCCCGGCTGCGGTGGGGCACGCCGGCCACGGCAGCATCCTCGCCCGGAGGCTGCCCCTGGACCGCGCTCCCGCAGAACGCTCCGAGTGCCCCGGCGGGAGTCGCTCGGAGTCGCTCCCGGACCTCGTCGAGCATGGCAGAGAGGGCACCCCGGATGGTGGCAAGTGCCACAACACCGGAGACTCCGTCGCGCCTCCGCTCTCGGGCTGACCCTCCAGCGCGCCCACGGCACGTACTCGGCCGGCCGCGGAGCCCGGACGGGGTAGAGACGCGGACAGACTTCAGGGCGGTGAGACCCACCTGCGCGGCCTGGGCCGCGGCGCCGAGCGCTGCTTCCCCTGCAGCTGCTGCCGCCGTCCCTGCGGCCGTCCCGGGCCCCCAGGCCCCGCTGTCCCCCCGGGGACAGCCGCTCGGCGCCCGGCTCGCGCCATCCGCACGCGCCCCCGTCGGGAGAGAAGCCACTTCCTTCCTGGCACACGGTCCCACCCCTCGACCGCCACTTCCGCTGCCAGCGCGCAGCCCCGTGCTTATTAGGGTGGTGCCGAGCCGGGATTGGCCAAGGCGGCCGCCGCTCACGGCCCGGAGGCTGGGACGCGCGTGCGCCGTGGGTCGGCCGCGTACCATGGTGCTGGGCCGCGTAGCCGCCAGAGGCCGGGCGGTGGCAGCAGCCGCCCTGTGCTGTGTAAGTGCCTGCGGTGGCGGACGCGGTGGGTTCGGCGGGGACTCGTTCTGGGGTCCGGGACCAGCATGGACCGGAGAAGCCCTGCCCACCCGGCCTCCCCGCTTCCAAGGGACCGCGCCTCGCGCCGCCGGCGGGCCAGGAAGGGCCTGCGCACCTCGCCGCTTGTCCTCCTGCTCTCGCCAGGCGCCGCTCCCGGTCTGCGAGAAGGGCCGTTTTGCTGCTGCGCAGAGCCCCGGGAGCGTGCCAGCCGGCTTCTGAGCTCGTTCGCACGTCCGGAAATACCTCTGGAGCGCCCCAGCCTAGTCTTGGAGCCCTTTGGGGACGCCGCAGTGAACAGGGGCTGATGCTCCGCGCAGGAGTTAGGGAGATAAGTAAAGGTTGGGTGGGCTGAGCCCCGCAGGTTCAGTGCCCTGGAGACACGGAGCAGGGAACAGGGCTCCAGGGCTAGACGGGCTGGAGGAGGCAGCGAGGATCGCCCGCAGGCCTTCGAGGATGACCTGGGGGCCTGGGCTTCCCCTGTGACAGGGAGAGAGGGACGGACGAAGGGGTGATGCTGTTATGAAGAAACTCGTTCTTCCTGCCGATGCGGTAAAGAATTACAGATCAGCGAGTGTACTAGCGAGCGAGCAGGGCTTATTAGTGGTAAGTTATCATGGAAGAGAATGGGCCTCGCTAAGTGGGGGATGAAAGGCATAGGTTCAGGGCACAGCAAGGTAAGGGCGGGGAGAGCAGGGGTGGTGAAAGCATCGGGTCTTCTGTCCCGAGGACTGATACAGTTGGCGGGGTGATAACACATAGAGACCAAGTCTAGAGGTAGAGTCATTTGTCTGAGGTCACACAGGAAGTGAGGAGGCCACTGACCAGAGGCGGAAATTCCCCTGGAGCTGGGGCTGGCACTCATAGGCTTCTCTGCACCCTCAGGGGCCAGGCCGCCTCTCCAGCTGGGACTGGTACCACGCGCGTCCTGGAGGTGGCAGCACCCTGCACAGGCACCGCGCCCAGAGGACGGCCTGGGAAGGCCGCAGAGGGTTTGGGAAGGACCACGCGGAGGAGGGCTCCCAAACAGGTGCAGGCGGCACCAGGCATCCTGAGGACTCCCTGCCTGGCGGGGGCACCCGGGAAGCCCCATACCCCTCGCCCCCTGAGCTGCAGCCCCCCACAAACTGCTGCATGAGCGGCTGCCCCAACTGCGTGTGGGTGGATTACGCGGAGGCGCTGCTGCAGCACTACCAGGACGGCGGGGAGCGGGCCCTGGCCGCCCTGCAGGAGCATGTGGAGGACGAGAACCTCAAGGCCTTCCTCCGAATGGAGATCCAGCTCCGCCTGAGGAGCAAGGGCTGAGCCAGCCTGGCCCGACACACCCGCCCCGCGCGCTCCAACCTCGGGCTCCTGCCCGGGCAGCGCCGCGGCCTCCTCTCTCCACGGCCCCTTTGTGGGGCTTGCGTCAGACGGGAATTGGAAGAATGATTTATTGATTTCACTTGAAAATAAATTGGCTCTCTGTGCTGGTGTCCGGAAGCTTCTGTGCCGCTGTCCGAAAGGCTCATGTGGCCTCGCCAAAGGGCAGGAGCCGGTGGTCACTAGAGGCTCCCTGAGCACCTGTGGCCTCCGTCAGCCTGTGAGGCTGAAATAAGATTCATTCCCTTGAATGTTCAAGTGACAAGGACCCCAGGGGCCCCTCCCATGCGCTGGGATCTCTGAAGTCCCCCGCGAAGGTCAGCTGTGGTTCCACGGCAGTGCGGCAGGGGCAGGACCTCCTGGTCCCATGGAGTTGCCGTGGGCAAGCCCTGGGCAGGCATAGGTGGCCCCAGGCAGCCAGGGTGGTTCCCCACTGGTCCAGCTGCAGTCCGTCCCCAGCTGCTGGGGTCCTTGGGGAGACGCCTATCTGCAAGCCAAGGAGACGGCTGCCGATCAGCCAGCAGGGGCCTGACCACTGCGTGGCCACAAGTCTTTCCAGCCCACGTAGGCACATTCCCCAGGGCAGAAGGATGAGGAGGCCTTGGGCATGAACCCCAGAACCAGCATCCAGCGCCAGCCTGTTCCTCAGCCGCCGACCTGGCCACTGGACCAGCGGCCCAAGCCCTCCCCGCTCATCCCCCCACCGCCTGCTCGTCCTCGCCCGTGGAATTTCCCACCCCCCCCACTCCCCCTGCAGCAGTTAGTCCCAGGCTCTGGTACCCGTGGCCTGGACAGGGCAGGGCCTCGATGAACTTAAGTGGCTTTATCTCTTCCTGGAAGGGGAAAGCCGAGGCCGTAATAGCACTTCACAAGGGATTTGAGCTGATAAACAGCCCTTCCCTTTCATATAAAGCGAGCGCTTCCCGTAGATACGATCTGCGGAAGAGAGAAGGAAGCCACGCAACCACAGAGGGGTGCCGCACTGATGCCCAAACCGGGCCCCCCGCCCCCGCGCTCCCCGCTGTTGTCTGGCCCAGCTGGCACATGTCAGTCAAAATCACTCGGAGTGCGGGTCGGTTATAGTGACACGCGTCTGTCCGACTGCCTCGGAGGGTGTCCGGTCTGACCCTGTCCGCACAGACTTGAAAACGGCCTGGGAAGTGGGGGAGTGTCCCCGGAGGTGGCGGCGCGGCAGGGCTCCGCGCCCTGAGGCCCACAGGGGTCTGCCGCGGATCTCTGAGACGCCGCCGGAGGTTTTCTGCACTTTTCTCAAAAATACGTATTTCTAGAAGATTTTCTCCCCTCCAGACACTCACCAGGCCTGACCCTGCTCGGCTTCCAGGATCAGACGAGAGGGGCACACGCAGGGTGGTGTGGCCGTAGACTCTAGATGGTTTTCTGTAGGCGCTTTGGGCGTGTGTACACATGTCTATATGTGTGTGTGCGCATACACCCCACCCAGTGGACTCCATACATTGAGCCTCATTTTGGAATTCAGCAGTCGTGGCAAAGGCCCTTCCTTGCGGGGTGCGAGCCCCAAAGGGACGCCACCGGCCTTGTCCCTGGCAGCGGGGCAGCGCCCTCCTCCATGCAGACCATGTGAAGAACAAACTGGTGGCTGCCGGAGGGGACAGGTGAAAAAGGCGGCAGGTAAGAAGAGGTACCAGCTTCCAGATATAAAAGAAATAAGTCACCGGATGTAGTTACTTCTAAGGGGGAACATGGGAAAAATAGTCAATAACTTATAATAACTTTGTAGATGAAAGGCGGTTGCTAGATTTTTCATGGTGATCAGTTCATAAGGTATGGAAACATTGAATCACAACAGTATTCCAGAAACTAATAGAATGGTCTGTGTCAACTATAAAGTAAAAAAAAAATTACTCAAACGTGTGAGTACGTGCTCAGTGGGATGAAGAAAGTCCAGCTGCCCTGAGGCCGATGACAGGGGCGTCCAGGTCTAGCCCGATGGGCCCCCAGGAGCCCATACTGGGGCGGAGCTCTGTGGGGGGCGGAGCTGCGGGGGCAAAGGCCCTGGGGTGGGAAGGGCTCCTTGGAGCACAGAACAAGAGGGAGGGGTGGAAGGTGAGGCCAGGGGAGGGGCTGGGGCCAGGCCACACAGGGCTCCGGCCGCCCAGGCGGCCCTGAGACGGGAGGGAGGATGGACCGGAGGAGGCAGCCAGTGCGTTTTGTCTTCACTGCCAAGGGGAGCGGGGGCGGGGCGGCGGGCGTGTGCCCTGCTGGCCCTCGCTGGTCACACGTCCCCTCCCTGGCCTGGCTCCATCCTGAGCTCCTCCTTCCTGCAGACCCTTGGCTGTGCCTGAGCCCCATCCCCAGTCCCCGTCCCCCAGAATCCTCAGCGCTGGTGCCCACCCCGGCGGCCCTCACGATCTCATTAGTGTGGCGTCAGGGCCAGGGCTAAGCGGCTTACCCAGCCGCAGGATAAATGCCCGGCCGACCCCCAGTCCTGGGGAGAGAGGCCGCCACTCCCACCCAAGGCCCCTGAGCCCAGCCCAGTGCGCGGTGAGTAGTGACCTCCCCCAGTCGCCGTCCCCGGTGGCCACTTACCAACGGTGTTGGCGGGCGTCTGCCCCGAGGGTGGGAAGCTGGTGATTTTTTTACCGCGCTGAGGTCTGGGTCTGTGCGAGCTCAGCCATCATTGTGCTCAGAGAGGACGCCCGGCCCAGCTGCCCCCTCTTCTGCTCCGCCAAGCCAAACGGTGGGGAAAGCTGTCCCCAAGGCCAGCACTGGATGGCCTGGGAGTCTCAGGCCACCCACACTCAGTCAACTTGAGTGGGCACCGGCCATAGGCCCGGCTGGGGCCAGGGCAGCTCAGGCAGCGGCTCCCATGGGTCCAGCAGGGGGTACGTGGAGCTCCGTCAGGGCTCGGTGCTGCCCGTACCAGGCGCACGACCCAGGACCAGGGAAGGGGTCTGGCTGGGCCTGCGCTGTCAGCACGGGGAGGGCTGGGTGCCGGGTGGAGCGGCCAGGCCTGCTGCCCTCCCGCTGGGACGCCTCCTGGGCTGGTGCTGGGCCCGGCCCAGGAGCCGAGCCCTGCGGGGGAGGCCCGTGGTGGGTTCCCCCCCATCCCAGGGGCCTGGCACTCACTACTGAGCCCCCTGGTCGGCAGGACCACCTGTCCTCGCGTCTCATGTGGTCTCAGCCCTGACGCTCCAGCAGGCAGCTGTCACCAGCCCACCAGCCTGGGGACGAGAACGGAACCCAGGACGCGGTGCCTGGGACCTGCGTGTGGGGGCAGCGCTCCGGCCTGTGTGACAGGCTTCGTTCCAGGACCCCCTGGGCCCGGGTGGCCTTGAGGGATTGGTCTCCCCCCCGGTGCTAATAGGCTTAGAGGAAGCCAAGCTGCCCTTGACCTGGCCAAGGTCGCTGGGGCTTAGGGCATCCGGGAGAGGGGCTGGGAGAGGGGACAGGAGAGGAGGTCACCTGTGCAGCGGTGCAAAGACAGCAGCAGGTGGCCCCAGAGCCCAGAGGGGCCCCAAGCACAGCGAGGGGCTGGGGAGACCTGCCCGGTGAAGGGGCCACGGCTCAGCCCGCAGGCGGTCCCGCCCACCATCTCCCGGGCACCCCCTCCATCACGCAGCGCTGCCGGGCGCCAGGCACACCACCGTGAATGAGACAGCACGTGCCAGCCCCGCGGATGGGGGACACAGACGGGGAGACACGTGAGGAGGTGCCCGAGGGGGCCTCCAGCACCCGCTCCCCTGCGCGCCCCGGGGAGCCCCACCGGGCGGAGAGGACTCCTGTCTGGGTCGCGCCCAGTGCCCACTGGGTCTCCTGTTTCGGGGTTTCCCCTGGTGGGTTGGGACCCGCGTGGGGGCTGGGCGCGGCAGGGCTGACGGGGACCCCGCCTGGTGTGCCCCCAGCCCCCAGCGTGAGGGAGTCCGGGAGCCCGTCTGGCCATGAACCTGGAGCCACCCAAGGCCGAGATCCGGTCGGCCACCGGGGTGACTGGGGGGCCTGTCACTCCCAGAAAAGGGCCCCCCAAGTTTAAACAGCGGCAAACCAGACAATTCAAGAGCAAGCCCCCCAAGAAAGGTGTCCAAGGGTAAGCAGAGCTGGGGAAGGGTGCCTCTCCAAGGGTGGGGGGACCAGGGCCCCGGCCGCACAGCGGGGGCGAGGGCTGCAGCCCCCCTTCTAGCTGGGTCGTCCCAGGGCGTCCTCTCACGGGGTTCCGGGGGCCTGGGCAGAGCCCGGCCCGGGGCAGCCCACAGCACGGGGGGGGGGCGGGGCCCCGGGGCTCTGCTCGCTCTCCCGCTGCTGTCCCTCAGCGGGTCTGGAAAGCGGGCTCACCGTCATCTAGAGACTCGGTCACGGCCCGCCGACGTGCGCCCCGCGCACGCACTCACGGCCCCCCGCGCACACACCCGGGGCGCCCCCGCGGACGCTCCGTGTTCTCAGGGACCTGCCGTCCAGGGCAGACAGAGCCGCGCGCACCCCGTCCATTCTCGCCCCGGCCGCCGCCCTGACCGCTGTGCCCTTGCAGGTTTGGGGACGACATCCCGGGGATGGAAGGCCTGGGAACAGGTATGACGATGCGGGGCCGTGACGTCCCGCGCCCCCCGCCCCCCGGCTGGCCCAGGCCGAGGCTCGCTTAGGGTCCTGCCCACAGCCTGGCCTTCAGTTTCTCCCAAACACCAAGTGTCAGGCGCCCCTGAAGCGGGGTGGCTCCCGCACAGTGGCTTCACCTGGTGCTGGGCGCGGCTGGGAGAGAAGGAGCCCTTGCTGTCCCTCCCCTGAGCAAGGCCCGCCTTCTCCGCCCCCGCCCCCCGCCCCCCACCGCCCCCAGCTGCCTTCCTGAGCGGGGTGTCATTCGACACCCCCAAAGCTGGCATGTTCTGGGAGGAGGGTCTTCACCGCTGGGGGTGTGGACAACGGGGCCCCAAGGGGACGGGGGGGGGCAGGGGGGCGCCACAGTACCCCCCGGGACACGCGGGCCCCTCCCCTGCAGACATCACGGTCATCTGCCCCTGGGAGGCCTTCAACCACCTGGAGCTGCACGAGCTGGCCCAGTACGGCATCATTTAGCACCGACCGGCCCGCCTGGACCCGCCCCCCAGCCTGCCCCATCCCCACCCCGCTCAGGAGTCCTGTGTGGAGCCTGGGGCATCAGGGGGTGCAGGCCGTGCCTGGAGACCCTCTAAGGGCAGGACCTCAGGCCCCTGGACAGCAGGAGCCTCCCGCCTCCCCACAGGACGCCCTGCTTGGTTTCCCGAGAGACTGGCTCGCAGGCCCTCTTGTCCGGGGCTGCAACACCAGGGCCGGACCTCCCAGCCGTGCCCCTCCCAGCCTGGTCCCCGCCCTGCCTGTCCCAAGGCGAGGACAAGTGCCCCCTCACCCCTGCAAGCCATTCCCAGTGGGGACCGCTGCATCTGCACGGTGGGTGGCGGGAGTCCGGGGGGTGTCTGAGAGCAAGACCCTTCCGTGCCCACAGCGCCCTTGGGTGGCTGGTCCCTCCCAGAGCGGCCCACGCTTGCTGTCCCTGTTTCAAAATAAAATTACTGAGCTTTCCCCCTCGCTCGTCTGGGGTGCGTCGGGAGTCGGGGCAGAGCCAGGGGCTGCGGGTGGCTTCTGCAGGAGGGGACAGATGAAGGCGTGGGCGGGAGGTGGGGCAGCTGGGCCTGGCCAAGCCGATGGGGGAGAAATCCCACTGGGCGTGGAGCCAAGGCCTGTGCAGGCCGGGCCTGAGCAGCCAGGGCAGGGCAGGGCGAGGCGGGTGGCTGAACACGCCCCTCAGGTGCCCGAGCAGCTGGGCGGCCAGAGCAGGCCTCACCGGGGGGGTCGCGCGGGACGAGGCCCAGCGAGAGCTCACTCCGGGAGCGGGAACTCTGGTCCCCACCCCACAGGGCAGGAAGCAGGTGCAGAGACACTGGGCAACCGGCCCAGCTGGCCCAGCCTTAGTGTTCCCTAGGCTGGCACCTGTGACCCAGAAATTCCACTCCTGACATGACAATCAGGAGCAATAGGCGCATCCCACGCGGACCTGTGTCAAACAGTCTGGAAGCCGCCCAGCGCATGTCCAGACGGTGACTCTCGGAAAGGCCCCCGTGGGACCCCGTCGATGCGGCAGCCAGAAAAGACCCCCCTAATGACAAAAAGTGATGAAACCACGCAGAGGCGACCGCAGGGAGGGCAAGGGAGACGGCCGCGGGGACCTCGCCACGGTGGTGGGTCCGCAGGTGCGCAGAGGCGGGAGAACTCCTCACGCTGCCCACTTACGGTTGGTGCGGTTTACTGTGTGAACAATACACCTCAAGAAAGTCTACTCCCTCCCCAAAACGCCTCTAGAGGGAGAGGCCTGGACCTTGCCCTCAACCGCCACCGCGGACAGGAGGGGGCGGGGAGAGGGCGGGCGTGGGGAGGCGGGGCTTCGGGGCCGCGGTCAGAGTGGCTGGAGGTGAGGGCCTGAGGCGGGTGCTGGGCAGGGACACTTGGGCCAGTGGTGGCGTGGGAGGGGGCCCTGCGCAGGGCCTCCGAGTCTGGGGGTCAGAGCAGGAGAGGGAGGTGGGAGGGCCCGAGGCTTCACCTCAGAGGCAGGGCTAGGAAGTGGTCAGATGTGGGGGTCAGAGGTGGGCACGGGCAGTGGGGGTCGGAGCTGGGGGTGCTCTCTGGCCAGGCGGCCGCGCGGGCAGCCTCCGTGGCTGCCAGGCTGCACCTGTGGGGGTCGGTCTGCTCTCTGACTACAGCAGTTTGCAAGCAAAGGGGCAGTGCCGGTGGGCTCTCCATGGGGCAAAAGCCTCTGAAAAAGCGAACTCAGGCGGTGCTGGGCCTCGGGAATGGGAACTTTGGGGGTCAGGGGCGTGGCAGCAGGGGTCGCCCGGGTGTCCCAGCTGCGGGTCAGCCCGGGGCTGGCTTGACAGGGGGCCAGGTCGCTGCGTCCTGGCGGGCAGCCAGGGCCCTCAGCAGCTGCGTGGCCAGTAGGAGCTCCGCCCCCTGGACCAGCACCAGGGCGATGGCAGAGCCGCCCAGCGCCCCCGCCTGCCCGCGCAGCCACCGCCGGAGGGGCACGCCACAGCCCTCCAGGTGCACTGCTCCCCGAGCCGCGTCCTCCTCCAGGCGCAGGGCGCCGAAGCCGCACTGGTCGTTGATGGAGGCTCCTGCTTCCCGGGGGTCGAGGCAGCAGGAGGCCGGGAGGCTGCAGGCCTGGGCGCCCGGGGAACTGCAGTTGAAGTACCTGCGAGGGACACTGGCGTCGGCCTGCGGGGCCGGGCCCACCGCGCTGTGACCCGGCACTGGGTGGGCTGTCTGCCACCCACCTTCACGCTTCCATGGCCACACCTAGCACAGGCACGTGCGCACGCAAGCACACGCAGGCAGGAGTGCACACGCACGATGCCCACAGATGACGGGACAGACATCCTCGAGCAGAATGCAAAGCACGCTGTGCTCTCTCCCTCGGCACACGCACAGGCACCCACGGCCCACGGAGACACACGCACAGGCACCCACGGCCCACGGAGACACACGCACAGGCACCCACGGCCCACGGAGACACACGCACAGGCACCCACGGCCCACAGAGACACACGCACAGGCACCCACGGCGCACCCAGAAATGCCCCCACACAGGCACCCCCTGACACGGAGACACACGCGCACAGGGGTGGGAGAATATCCTGAATTTGTCGTCTGATGTTTTGTATGATGTCCTTGCCAGAAAGCACTCAAAAGGGACTTTCTAAGTCTGCTGGCTGAGCTGCTCCATGAGGGTCCCTGCACGTGTACCTGGCCGGGCCTGAGTGTGCACACGTGGGTGTGTGTGCACGTGGGTGGATGAGGGAGTGAGTGCTGCGGGTGTGAGTGACCCCTCTGGGCGTCGGGACTCACGGGTTCCGCTGCCAGTCCCGGTAGGAGGCGGCCCCGCAGCACTGCAGGCCGAGCTGGACTTGGTCGATGAGGAAGCGCAGGTCGGGGTCGTCCTGGTAGTGGGCGATGGCCACGCGCAGGGTGCGCTCCAGCCCGTCCTGCAGCGGGCCCCAGAGGGCTGCCACCAGGACCCCCCCCACCGCCTCCAGCGCGAGGAAGGCCAGGAGCCCCCCGCAGAAACAGCGCAGCAGGCAGGCGCTCTCGCAGAGGGCGCCCAGGCAGCCCGCCAGGCTCACCGCGCTGACCGCCAGCCCCCCCAGCACCAGCCCCAGCATGGGGTCTGCGGGCCGCGGGCTCCCCCAGCTGCTCCCCAGAGAGCCCTTGACAGCCAGGCCCCAGAGCCCGATGGCCAGGGCCAGCAGGCCGAGCAAGGAGAAGAGGAAGTTGGAGAAAAAGGTCAGGCATTGGAGGCACCTGCTTCTCAGTGGGGGGGAGGGGGCCCGGCCTCCCCCGAGGCCTGTCCTCCGGGCCCGGCCCGCTGGACCCAGGCCGCTGGAAGTGAGGGGCGGCTCCCGGCCCCCAGGCTCCTGCAGAGGGAGGGGGACAGGGGATCTCAGCACTGCGACCCCGCGACTCCACGGCCTCTGACCCAAGGGGTCAGAGACCGTAGGCAGCCAGGGACCTGGGAGCTCCCTGGGGGGGGCCCAGCTCCTTTGGAACAGGGACCCTGGGGGTACCGGCCCCACAAGCACACGCCTCTGCCGTGCCCCGCTGCGCCTGCGCGATGGCGAGTGTGGCCCCAGGGGACGCTCCGCCCAGGCTGGGGCTGCCCTCTCTGTGTCCCGGGCTCGGGCCCCAGGGTGCACTCGGTCACCCCCACTGTGTGCGGGCAGACGCTGTGCGGGGCCCCGGCAGGGTGACCCCCCAGGGCGGGGGCCACCGGGAGGCAGGCTCCGCGAGGTCCTGGGCCTTCCAGGGGGTCCGTCTGGCTCTCTGGCTGTGCCGAGGCAGAGGGCAGAGGGGCGCGGAATGCGCGAGGACCCATCCCCTCTCTCGGTCCCCCTCAGAGGAGGGGCTCATTGATCGGTGATGCTTGGAGGGGCCGCTCAGCCTGTCCCACTTGGCCCCATCACGGACAGCCTCCACTTCAGACCTGCCTGTCCCCTCCCCGAGCCCACCCCCGCCACCCACAGGCAGGTGTGGGAGGGTCTTCTGGTCTCTCCCTGCAGGCGAGAGGGAGAGCCTGCCCCGCCGGCCCTGCTGGGGGACCCAAGGTGCCCGGCCCTGCCAGGGAGGAAGTCTGCGGGGCGAGAGCCAGGCAGCTGTGGCGTGTGCCCAGGCCGGTTTCCCTTCCAGTCCAGCCCACCAGGGAGAAGCTGCCCCGCCCCGCCCCACCTCTCTGACTCGGCCCGGGCGCTTCATTGGCTCTGGACTGGGAGTGGAGCAGCAGAGGGTTGTTTACCAGCCCCCAGACCCGCAGTTGGTGGGAGCGAAGGGGCGGGCTGCTGCGCCAGGCGGGCACCTGGGGCTGCTGGGGGCCGTGGGTGTGGCTGTGGGGTGGGGGGGTCGCCCTGCAGGTCACGGCCTGCTGGGAGGGGCGCTGGCGCTCGGCGCTGCGGGCACCCGCAGCCGGAGGCGGCCCTCAGGTCTGCAGAGGCCCCTCCCGCCCCGGCCCCCGGCCCCCGGCCCCCGGCCCAGGGGCTGCGCGTGGCTGAGCGGTGCGGGCAGTGGCGGGGGCCACAGAGGAGGTGAGGAGGCTGAGGGGCCTGGGGTGATGGAGGGGCAGGGGCCCCGGGAGGCCCGCTGGCCCTCGTGGGCACCATCCCCACCGGGTGTGTGCTTTCCTGGGGGCGTGGATGTGCCCTCCCTGGGTCGGATGCACGGGCAAGGCCAAGTCACATCCCCCAGTCCAAACAGGGTGCCGGCTGCGGTGAAGTGCCTGCCGGATCCGTAAAACCCCGCCCCAATCTTAGCAGCTCCCTGGGCCTCGGGCCTGGAGACATCTCCCGCGGGGGAGGCCCCCAGGGAGGGCGCTGGCTTACCTGGGACAGCAGGGGGCTCCTCTCCCCCTCCTCCATCCTGCACCGGAACAGGCGTGCGGGTCCCTGCTGGGTGCTGCCGGCCCCCAGCCACGCTGGGAGCTGTGGGCCCAGGGCAGGGCGGGCCGCGAGCCCCCGCCCGGGACAGCCCGGTCACGATGGGATCATGTGAGGCATCACATTTGAGGGCTTAGGACGGCCTCTGCCTGCCCAGATGCAGCCGGCCTTTCTTCGGAGCTCGGTCCTAGGCTGCGCTCCGCAGCGCCACGTGGGGGCTGCTCGGGTGCTGGCCCCACTGCCGTTGCTGCGGGGCTCAGGGTGGCCCTCGGCCTGGCAGCGCCAGCGGCTGCTCCGCCAGCTCCCCCCAGGGACACTGCTGGTTCAGTGACAGTCCCGGGCGGCCTGCCCGCCACTAAATGGCAGTTTATCTCCCGATTGGTTCCCTGTAAGAGCGAGACAATAGCCGCTGGCGAGATCCCATCTTTCCTGGCTACGCGTTCCTGGGATGGCCCAAAGTCCTTCTAAGGGGCAGGACTCTGTCACGGTCGCCATTGTGACCACAAGGACACCGGGCACACAGCCGCCACGCAGACAGGCTGCTTCATCCCCGTATCGTCCACCCCTCGCCCCCCGCCCCCAGCCCTGCGAGACCTCAGGCGCAGGCCGGCCACGGCACCTTCGTCCCCTCTGTGACGAGTGTGAGGTTGCGATCCAACGACAAAGTGGTTTCTGGCTTCTGGGGGGCGCGGGGGCAGGACGAAGGGTCAGCTCCGGGGCTGTGCCCGCCCTCTGTTCCTTGGCCTCTCCTGCTGGACACCCAGCCCCAGCCTCTCGCCGTGCCCGCCACTTCGCAACCCGGCAGCTCGGGCTGCCGCCGGCCCCAAACGCAGCACTCGGGCGCCGACCTTTGCCGTCTCCGGAACCCCGCTGCGTCCAGTTCTGGACCACGCCCCTGCCCAGAGCGCAGCGGCCTCCCCTTCTCTGCGCCTGGGGCGCTTCTCACTTCTACTCCGCGGTCCTCCGCCTGCCTCCCGCCTCACTCACTCCTGCTCCGGCGCGACGCCCCCAGCAGGCTCCCCTGAGAACAGCCGCCTGTCCGAGCCCAGCGGACTCACCGGACCCGCAGGACGGACAGCCCAGGAAGTGGCGGTTGTTTCAAGCCACCACATTTCGGGAGGGTTCTTCTGCAGCATTGTTGTGACGGTAGCTAGTTGAGACGGGTTTTATTACGTGTCGGGGACTTTCTGAGCCCTGGCGACACAGCAGGGGTGAGAAAAACCCTAAGCACCCCCACGGGAGAGTCAGAACGTACGCAAGCAAGTAAGTGTATCCTCTTAAAGGGTTGTAAGAATTCCGGGGCGAGGAAGGTGGACAAACGGCCGTGGGTGCTTAGCAGGCGGGAGACGTCCGACTCGCAGGGCAGGCCCCAAACACCTGAAAACGGGACTCAAGCAAATGCGTGGACGTTCGCAGCAGCATCGTCCACTGTCGCCAAAGGTGAGACAGCGCAGATGCCCACCAGCGAAGAAAGGGTCAGCGCCGCGCGGCCTGCCGTGCCGCGGGCTGGGTCCCACCGTAGGAAGGGAGACGCCCCGACACGGGACGCGCAGAGCGCGGGACCCCCTGCGCACAGTGTTCAGCACGGGCAAACCCGGAGACGGCACGGAGGCTGGTGGCTGCCGCGGGCTGTGGAGCGGGTGTGGCGTCTCCTTCGGGGCCTGTGGCGGGCGGGGGGGGGGGGCGCCCAGCTTCGTGAAGGCACTAAATACCACCACGTCGTTCACTTTACCTCTCATGAAACAACAGCAAAGAAGGTGACTGAGACGGACCTAAGGAGTGAGGGGCCAGCCGTAGGGATTTTCTTAGGTTGAGTCCCCACGAAGCCAACGCTGAGAGTCACTGGTGTGTGCCCCCAGGACCCAAGGCTGCGGAAGGACGAGGGCGGGGTGGAGGGAGAGAGTGACGGTCACAACAAAGGCCTCAGTGACCCCCTGGGCAGCTCTGGGGACAAGGGACAGGGCCTTACTCGCCACTGGCTGCCTGGGGAGGGCACTGTGATCGGGGTGAGGGCATCCCCGTGGGAGCTCAGCGGAGCCCCCGCACTCTCGACACCCTCGGGGCCCCCGCAGCCTGAGGCGGGCGTGAGCCCCGGGGGTTTGAGGAAGGAGGGCTCTCTGGGGGCTTCGCTCTGAGTGAGACAGGAAGACAAGGGGTGCTGAGTCAAGGAGGATCTGGACGGCCTCGCTGGTCAGAAGGACCACAGCGGCCCCGGCTGGCGCGGCTCGGGGACTGCGAGCTGGGGGGTCGCCCGTTCGATTCCCGGTCTGGGCACAGGACTGGGTTGTGGGCCAGGTCCCCCGTAGAGGGTGCACGAGAAGCAACCGCACATGGACGTTTTTCTCTTTCTCCTTCTCCCATCCTTCCCCTCTCTACAAATAAAATCTTTTTAAAAAATAAAATAAAAGGACCACCCACAGCACAGCAGGCAGGGGTTAGGGCAAGGGTGGGAGCTGGAGAGTAGATCCTGTACAGTCAAGCTGTCACTTACCCCTCCCCAAAGGTGACACCCGAGCCTCGTCAGTGACCGCTCCTGGTTCCAAAGCCAGGCTCTCGGGTGCCAGCTGTCACCTCCCTCGCTCCGCCTCTGCGCTGCCCTGACATTGGGATGAAATGAGAGTCACCGCCATGGCTGCGGGCTGGGCTGCGGCCTCCAAAGGCACACGCCCCAGTCCCAGCCCCAGGACCTCCGAATGCGACTTGGAGACAGGGCCCACGAACAGGGCCTTAACTCCAAATGAGGCCGTGAGGGTGGGCGCCACTCCAATGTCCTTCCAAGAAGAGGAAACCGGGACTCCCAGAGAGACACCAGGGACGCTTGGACCCAGGGGAAAGGCACAGGGAGAAGGCGGCCGACCGTGAGCCAAGGGGAGAGGCCGAGGCTGAAGCCAAACGGGCAGACCCTTTGGTCTCAGGCTTCCTGCCCCCAGACTGTGGGACGGCCAGGTGGAGCCTCCCCGCCTGGGATCTTCTGTTTGGGCAGCCATAGAAAACAAATGCAGCTGCTAACAGAACTGAAAGAAACCCGTGTAATACGGTCGCAGCGCTCTAACAGAGATGCAAGGCAAGCATTGCGTGGGAGAGCAACTCGGCTGTCGCCGGGCGGGGTTCAAACCGGAGCACGGAGGGAGGCTCGCCGAGAAGACGTGGCCTTGCCTTTCTGGAGAGAGACGTTCGGTCACAAGACCAATGAAAATGTCAGAGGCCATTCTGTAAAAGAGCAGGGAAAAGTCAGAGTGGAACAACAACGTGTGTGTGGGAGCAGAGGGAAAACCAGGGCCCGTCCTGCGGGCGGTCCCACCCACTCTGCCCCCAGGGTCTGTCCTGGGTCCGGCCCCTCTGCCCTCCAGACTCCTGTCCGCCTCCCGTAGGGTGTCCCTGCTTCTCCTCCTGCCCCCACCCCGTCTAGTCTCCATTCAGCCTCTAGAAAAACCCCAAATCTTGGCAGAGAGCGCACCTTCTCTGCTCTTCCCCTCCAGGGACTTCCTAACACGATTACATTATGACCCAAAGCCTTTCTTTGCACGTGCAATGTGGTTCTTCCTGACCCCACCCGCCCCCCTTCCCTTGCACTCAGCCACGTGGGCCGCTGTTGTCCCTTGAGCACCCAGTGTGTCTCCGGCCCCGCAGCCTCTGCACGTGCTTTCCCCTCACCCTTGCCCATCTCCCCCCAGATACCTGCGTTGATCACTTCATCTGGGACCTGCTTAGCCCTCCCCTCAGAGAGGTCTGCCCTCCCTGCTTGGGTTATGGGCAAGGCAGCCATCAGGACCTGACATTATGCATTTATATGTTTACCTGTTTATAACCTGCCTCCCGCTCGTGGATTCCACCAGGGCAGGGCTGTCTCCTTCTGCTCTGTCCCCAGCATGAGAGCCGTAGTATGCATAGTGTACACGTGTGATAAGCACCTCATTTTGCCTTGTATAATGCGCACTTTTGTGCCCAAATTTTTCAGGGAAAAAAAAGGATGCACATTATACATGGGTATAATGATTACATACCATGGGTACAATAATGGGCATGAGAACCCTGCGAATAATGTGCACAAAACATGGGTAGTTGGTGAGGCAATGAATAAGTCAAGTTCAAGGAGCTGCTGTAGCTTGAGACGGTGGAACAGAACGTACCCAGAACACTGTCATTATACAGGCAATAACAAAGTCGGGTGGGCATGGGGGGAGACAAGGGTGACAATGTCCTAACTCTTTCCAGTACAGGAGTTAAATAAATACAATTGGAAATTGAACCACAGGGGTTAAAAAACATAGATTTTTAGCCTCTTGGGTGTTTTCTTAACTTTTTTACAACCATAGACAAGGTCGGCCACAAAATTTGCAGGGCCCGGTGCAAAACGAAAATGCGGCGCTTCTTTTCAAAATTAGCAACTTCAAGACAGTGAGAGCAGAGCGTGGAACGGACCGGGAGGCCTTGGAGCATCAGAGGCGGGTGCGGGAAGCCAGGCTGGTGGCACATTGTGGGATGTGGTATCTCTGTGCCAAAGAAACGTTGATCTAAAACGCAGTCCAAATCTGTGTGTTTTCTTATGTTAAAGTCAGGGGAAGTCCCTTTTCTCTTTTTAAAATAATATTTAGGCACGATGTCACCCTCCTAAAGTCAGCTCTCTGTTTCTATATGACCAGCGAGGTGTTTGCCACGTCATTTTTCCCACCACAACCCATCAATGATTATTTCTGTTTCTCTTTGGACTTTCCTCTGTTGCTTCGGTTTCTAAGTCCAATCACCTGTCATTAATAGTCTTCAATAAAGTCATCTTTCCTTTAAAAAATGTTTCTAAAATAAGAAAATTAGAAGTGATTTTAGAGGCAGAGAGAGGAACAGCGATTTGTTGTCCAGCTCCTTGCTGCCTTCATTGGTCGATTCTCGCACGTGCCCCGACCGGGGATCCAACGGCAACCTTGGCATCGGGAGGACGCTCTAAGCCACCGAGCGACCCGGCCAGGGCTTCTTTCTTTTTTGATTTAAGAAATTTTCAAATTAAAAAAATCCCAACTGCAGCTGCCACTCAGTAGTACTTTATATTTGCTTCAGGTGTCATTAAAGCCACCTTCCCAAGGGTTTGCTCCTCGCGCGGCCGGGTCGCGGGTCGCGGGTCGCGGCCGCGCGCGGGCCGGGAAGGGGCGCGGCGACGCGGGGAGCTGGGCGGGCTCAGGGCCGGCGCGCGCATGCGCGGCCGTTGGTGAGGCCGGAACCTGGTTTCGGGGCTGCGCGGGCGGCGGAGCGAGTTGGCTGAGGCACCGGACGTCGCGGCTGTGGCTGTCGGGCGGCGAAGCTGGAGCGGCGGTGGCGGCGGCGGCGGGAGGCCGGGGCTGAGGCCGGGGCCGGGGCTGTGAGGCCCGCGGGGCGGCAGGCGGCGGCAGCGGCCCGGGGCTCGAGCCCGGACGCGGGAGCGGCCGCCATGGCCGAGAGCATCGTGAGTGGGGCGGCGGGCGGGAGCGGGCGCCGGGATGAGGCAGCAGATTTGCCGGCGCGGCCTGTGGGGGCCCCCGCGGCCCGCCCGCCCTCCGCGTTGTCCTGGCTACGGGGCCGGGCCCCCGACCTCCCCCCTCAGCTCGTCCCCGTCCCCGAGCCTCGCCCTTGCCCGCCGGCCGGGCGCGGCAGCGCCTGCCTCCTCGTCTCCCCGCGGCGGGGGCTCGCCGGGGGTCCCCGGCGGGGCTCCGTCCTGTCTCCCCCCCGCCCCGGTCGCTGCGTTGTCACGGCTCTTGAAGGCAAAACGCTTTCGCTGCGCGGGGACCTTGCAGACCCCTCCCCGGGAAGGACGCGGAGCCCAAGGAGACGGGAGCCTGACCGGCCGGCTCCCGGTGGCAAGAAAGAGTTGACAGCCCCCTGTGTGTAAAGGGGCGTTGTAGACGCGGATTTCCTGAAATTAGGATTCTGCACTCTCCTTCTTCGCCCCTTGAAAAAAAAGTCACTGAAAAATTATAGAGCCGGCCCCACGGTAACTCGTGGAAGGTTCCCCCTGCAAAGTCAACGTGGCAGGAAACAAACCCAGCAGACCCACGGGACAGGAGAATTTGGGTGGCCGTAGAGGCCGGGGGGGGGGGAGGTTCCCGGGGCCGCCGAGCGCGCAGGTGCTGCGGGCGCGGGCGGCGCCAGGTGTCCGCCAGGTGTGCGCGCCGCCGCCGCCGCCGCGTCCCAGCCGCAGGGGAGGCTGCCCTGTGGCGACGCGGTGCTCAGCTCCCCAGCCAGCAGGGCCCAACTTGCAGGTGGCCCAGGAGAAACCTGACTCCTTTAAAATAAGATTCACTAATCGCCGGGGACGTCTCCCCGGAGTAGGTGAAGACAGGGCCCCGGAGGCCGCTTTCAAACTTTGCCTTTACAGCGACGCTCTGCGCTGAGCTGGAGTCGCCCGGCCAGGGAGTCGCCGGCGCGAGGCTGCTGCGCGGAGGGCCAGGCTCTCTCCGGAGGCCGCGGGCTCCTGGCCAGTTCCTCAGACGGGGAGGAATTAATCCGGCCCTAATTCTGAAATTGATTCAGAAGGTTGTTTTTTTGTTGTTGTTGTTTTCTTTTTTTCTTTTTGGAGTTTTGAAAGAGGTCTTCTAAAAGTTTCTGTGGCTATAACTGATTTCCATCTCACCAGTTCTTAGACTCCTCCAAGAAGTTTCCTGAGCTCATTTTCTTAGAGAGAGAGAAGGCTGTGTGTCCATGCTGCCAGCCTGTCCCTTGTTCTGTGTTTTACTTTGTAGCCTGTGTTAGAAGCCAAGCCAGGGCGTCCCTCAGCAGGAGTGGAACACTGGGCTTAGCTTGGAAACCGGGACGGCCAGGCCCTGGTGTAGCCGGTCGAGCAGAGTGACGCCCTTAGCCTCCCAGCTGTCCCTGACCGTGTGCACCTGACCTTTGGAGGGTCAGGCGCCCGTGCCTGCCAAGGGGACAGGCAAAGGAGCAGCCCCAGGATCCTTACACAGAAACAGCTCTTCCCTGTGAATGTGTCTCAGCGTCAGAGGCGCTTTAGAAACAAACATGGGGAGTAGTTACCTAATGCCCAGGACACCTCTCCTGATGTTGAATCCCAGTGGAGGAAACTAGGAGTCAAAAGCCAGAAGCTTCTGTCTTTGCAGTCCACACAGATAAGGGAGAACATTAGATGAGAGTTGAGCAAACGGTAGAAAATATTTTATGCTTTTTAAAAAAGATTTTATTATTTTTAGAGAGAGGAAGGGAGGGAGGAGGAGAATGAAAGATCAGTGTGCGGTTGCCTCTTGTGCGCCCCCTGCTGGGGACCTGGCCTACAACCCAGGCCTGTGCCCTGACCGGGAATCAAACCGGCCACCCTTAAGTTCTCAGGGCAGTGCTCAGTCCACTGAGCCTCACCAGCCAGGGCGAAAATATTTTATGCTTTTAACAATTGGGATCTCTTAAGATTACTCAAAACAAAACCTTAAAAATTGAGAACAATATGGGGGCAAAGCCTTTTCAGTCGCGTGAAGGCGCAGCGCTTGCTGAGGGGAATGAGCCCGCCCCCCGCAGGTGGTGGGAGCGTCAGCTCCTGGGCGCAGGTGCACGCCGCCTGCCCCTGGCCCCGTGGCCCACCCGGCAGCTCGCCTGCCTGCGGAAGGGCTGCCCTCAGCCTCCATTCGGGCCCTGGGAAGGGACGCGCCTTGTCCGGTGGTCTTCCGGGACCGCCAGCCGTTTTGCACTTCTTTAAAACTCTGCTAGATTCTACCACGGTATTAAACATATTTCTTTTAATCTTTACTTAATGTAAATGACAACTCCACCATACCACCCCAATGGAAAAAAAGAAATAAAGGCGTAAGGGACCAATTAGAGGATTTCCTGTGGTTCTTTTAAGCCAGCCTAATGCCTGTGTATAGATCCTGGAACAGTGCGATCCTTTTTTGAGGAACCCAGTCATTCATGATTCATGGTGGCGGGGTTTCCTTCCTTTTTTTTTTTTTTTTTTTTTTTTGGTTTGTAAATCTGAAGAGAAAAAAATGTGTTTCAGGTACTTTTAAATAAATGATGGTCAAAAATTGCAGTTGTGTTTTTTTGAGTGAAAGGTAAGAGCTGAGAACCCGGACGGCACGCTGAGGGCCATCCTGTCTGGTGAGAGGCCTGGCAGCCGCGCCCCGTCTCCTGGACACAAGGGCGGGCAGCGCCTGGGGCCAAGGGGGCCGGGGGGCCGGGGGGCCGCACGTGTCAGCCTCGGTGGCGGAGCCGGGCCGCCCCGCCTGTAGTCACTGTCTTGTTTCATTCACAACAGATAATCCGTGTTCAGTCCCCGGACGGGGTGAAGCGGATCACAGCGACAAAGAGAGAGACGGCCGCCACGTTTCTGAAAAAGGTACCTGTGGCTTTGGGTGTTGACCTGTGACGCCCTGGCTGTTCTCTGCCTTCTCTCTTCCTCGTATCCTAGTCTGCCACTCCAGGGTTCAGTCTCTTGCGCTACATTTTCCCTGTCACGGTTGGTGCAGTTGACCTGGGGTCAGGTTGTGCTGCGCCGGTCACAGCTTACAGTTGTGGGACCCTGGTCCCACAGGAAGCACGAAGGGCTGGTGAGCGAGCTACTCCCAGGGCAGTGGGCGGTGGGCGGCCAGCTGAGCTGGCCAGGCTCCCAGGGGAATTGTTACAAACGCGTGCAGGACGGGGGCCATGCGGTCTGCTGGGTCAGCGCGGGCCGTGGGGGAGGGAGCGCCGCTGCCCCCGGGCCGCCTGTTGCCGACAGGGGAGCTTGGCCGGGACACGGCCCCACTCGCCGGTGTGCGAGCCGGCCGCCTGCTGCTGTTGCGCTGCCACGACAGGGCCGAGGAGTTGCGCCTGTGGCCCGCAGAGCCGGGATGCTGGCTGCCTGGCCGTTTGCCAGCCTCTGCTCGCCCATCTCCTGTCGCTTGAAGTTTTGCCAGCAGGTGGTCCCTTTGCAATGATTCTGTAATGGTTTCCGTTTCCTGTAAGCCAAGCGGTTGCAGGGCCGGAGCGTCAGAGTCAGAGGGGGCTCCTCGGCGTCGTGCCATCTGATCTTCTGAGTTTCCAGGGGTCGGAAACTGAAGTCCTAGGGCGTGAAGGCGTTTGCCAACCGTCACACTGGGCCTGTGATCCGTTAGTGAAGACAGCACTTACTTGGGAAAGTTGGGTTTTTTAACTTTATTTTTATGGGGAGAGAGAGAAACATCATTCTGTTGTTCCACTCATCACGCGCTCATTGGTTGCTGCTTGTATGTGACCAGGGATTGAACCTGCGACCTTGGCGTATCAGGGTGACGCGCCAACCAGCTGAGCCACCCGGCCAGGGTGGAATTTGGTTTCTGGAAGGTGGTTGCTGTCGGGTGTAGCGGCACTGCTTATGGGACTCTATTTATGAAGGAAAGGAATTAGGTGCAGTAGCCAACAGAGAAGAGAGTCTCCTGAGTTTTCAAGAAGTTTTGATACCCTGCTCTTCACTCCTCAGCAGCAGCCGATTGCCACCAGCTCGCCCCTCGGATGGGAGCAGGGGACAGTCAGTCCTGGTGTTTCCCTCTGGGCAGCTCCTGCTGCCGGCTGGCCCTGGGGTGGGTTTGGAGGTGGGAGGTGTCATCTGCTTACCTGCTTTGGACTGCCTCAGCGCTGAAGCCGTCTGTCCTTGACACGGCGGCCATTGCTTAAGGGCAGTCTTGGGAATGCTCAGAAGCAAAGGTCTATTGCTCTGAACTGTTCTCCCGCCACTGAATGTCTTTTCCTCTGATTATGAAACGTATGGATCACTCATGAAAGGCTCAAACGATATAAGTATAAAGACCCAAGTCAGAATCACTTGAAATTCTCCCCCTGGGCAGTAACCTCTAACAGCATGTTGTCATGTGTCCCCCGCCCCCGACACATGTTCACATCCTTGTACCAAGACGGGGTTGTACTGTATTACCTCTGTATTTCATTGAATCTAAGCCACTGAACCGCAGGAGAAACATTGATGAGCCACTAAGAACAAGAAAAATGCTGTTACATCTACCTCTCCTTGCCGTTTAGAGTTTTATTTTGTACTTAAACTGCTCTTATAGGCTTATTGGGAAATTATTTTAACTGCATGTTACTCCTGTGCATGCACGGGAAGGAAAGTCACGGCGCAGCTAGTTGGGTCGGATCCCCCGTGACATCGCAGTCAGCCCAGCCCTTCCGAACCCCTTTGACCCGGCCAGTCAGTCCGCGCCCGACGCAGAGGGCGGCCTGCGCTTTCCGGGTCAGGGTGCCGGCTGCCTGCGCCCGTCTTGTGGGCACGGGCGTGGGCGCGGGCGCGGGCGCTGGAGGCCTTGCTCTTCCCAGCGGGCTGGGCAGCCAGGACCCCGTTCCTCCTCTGACTGAGGGTGGGATGGCTTGTTTGATAGAGACTTTGGGGGTTACCGTTGTCCAGCCGGGGCACCTGGGTGACAGGTTGACCCAGGCCAGGCAGTGACCCGCACGGCAGTCCTGCTAAGACCACTGCGTCCCGCCTCCTGCCCGCCAGGCTCGGGCCGCACCGGCCTCTCCCCCGCCCCATCCTGCTTCTGCCCGTGTACGAGGTCTTCCCGCCCGCTCCGCGCGCTCCCAGCTCCGCACGTGGCCTGTGGCCGGCTCACTCTCCTCAGGCCTCTGCTCCCACGGCCCCTCGGAGGGGCCGCCTCTGTCCTCCTGTCTAGGGGTCTCACTCTTCCCCTTCTGCCCCGGGCCCGTCTCAGCCTGCGGTTTTCTTCTTTGTGGTCTCCGCCGTCCTCGTTGGACGGCCGGGGCCCTGTCTGTCTGCTTTGACAGCTCTGAGCCCTGAGTGGGGCCAGCGCACAGGCCTGCGCCCTGGCTGTTGGGGGGCGCGCGCCTGCCCGGCCCGGAAGGCGTGTGTTACGGTTTCCAGGCGTCTTGTGCCGCTCGGACGCCCCGTCCTTCCCTCAGCCTTCGGGATCGGAATTGGGTTTTCACAGTTGATCTCAAAAGTAGGGATTAAACTTTCCAGACGTGGCCATGACTCCTGCTTGCCCCACACTCGTAAATGTGTCGCTCAGTCTCAGTGTTGACGTGAAGCTTCGCTCCTCCCTGGCCCCTTTGCTCCGCATTGCTGGGCATCTGGGGGAGCAGCGGGACTGAATGTGCCTGTGTATCTTAGAAGAGATTGTTTTATTTGTTTTTAGAGGGGGGAGAAGGGAGGGAAAGAGGGAGAGGAACGTCCGTGTGTGGTTGCCTCTCACACACCCTCAACCAGGGACCTGGCCCGCAGCCCTGGCAGGTGCTCCAACTGGGAGTCGAACCAGTGACTCCCCGTCTGTGGGATGGTGCCCAGCCCACTGAGCCCACCAGCCAGGGCCTAAATATTTTATTAAATCTGTTGTTTTGGGCTTGTTTCAGGTCGCGAAGGAGTTTGGCTTCCAGAATAATGGTTTCTCAGTTTACATCAATAGAAACAAGACTGGAGAGATAACAGCATCATCCAACAAGTCCCTCAACCTGCTAAAAATCAAGTGAGTGCCCCTGGGGAGGAGCCGTGGGGGAGGACACGGTGACACCAGCCGTCCACAGCGCTCAATCGACTCGAGCCTGTTTCCTCCTCAGGCTGCTCTTTTTTAAAAAAATGATTTGATACATTTACTTTTATAGAGAGGGGAAGGGAGGGAGAAAGGAAGAGAAACGTGGACGTGGGAGAGACACGCGGGTTGGTTGTACCGCAGGCCACTCCTACTGCGTCCTCTCGGCCGGCAGGCCCGCGGTGACCGTGGCTGTGCCGGGCGCTCAGCGTGTCCCCCGTTCTCGTCGTCATTTCAGTGGCTGCGTTTTTCCCTTTAAATCTTGTTGGGTTCCTTCGGCCTCATGGGCAGGGCCCGCATCACTCCAAGCCCTTTTTGGCTCTGCTCTGCTGTCACGACGGCCCCCAGGTGTCCTGCGGAGACGCCTCTGTCCTCGGGGCTCGGCCCGGGACACTGCTGTGCGCAGGCAGGCGTGTGAGGGGACCGGCGCTCTCCGGGCCTTGTCCGGGGCTTGGACGCGCTGTCTGTGTGGGCGTGTGTCCCGGCCCGGGCCCTGCCGCACTGCACCCCGAGGCCCGCGCTCCCCGCCCCCACCTTCCACCGCGCGTGCCGCATGGGAGGTTACTGCCTGCATTGCGTGGCTCTGCCCCGGGCCTGCCTGGCTGCCTGCATGCGGCGAGTGTTGTCTCTGCCCACTCTTGCTTCAGGTGGCGTGTTTCTTCTGTGCGTTTGGTACAAAGACTTTGAGACCTCTCTTGAGACCTTGTATTTGACCAAGTGGGTCTGGGGGAGCCCTACCGGGCCCCGGTTGGCACTCCTCTACTGAGAGGGCGTGTGTTTGCTTCTGCTGGCACGAGGGGGCGTTTGGGCCCGGAAGGGTTCTCTCGTCTTGACACTGGGAGCATGGAGGCAGGGCTGACCTCGGTCACAGACCCGCAGGCAGCCTCCCTCCTCCCGTGCAGCCGGTCCCGGCGGACGGGACCCTGCTGGGTTTCCTGGGCAGCGCGGCATCTCCGAGGTCCGGCCTTGTGTCCTTTCAGGGCAGCCCGCCCTGTGGGGCAGCCCGAGGCTGCGTCTGGTTGCCCCAAGAACAGCTGCGAGCCCCGCTCGGGCCCCCGGGGGGGCCTCCAGCAGTGGCTCCGAGCCATGCTCCGCTCCTCCTGTTCGCGCTCCTGTTGTGTTTTCGACTCTTGGGGATCCCTCCGTTTCTGTAGCGCTGAGAGCACACTGTAGGGAACGCTTGTTACCACTGACGGGCGGCGGAGCGCAGCGTCCTCGGCCGCGGCACTGAGGGGTGTCCAGTGCCTGCCCCGGGCGGGAGTCTCCAGGCCCAGCCTGGCCCTTCTACCTCCCCCAAGTGGCGGAGGAAAAGGGGTGCACACGCGCCGAGGAGCGGCAGCCGGCCCCTGCCCGTGCGTCCTCGCCTCCTGCGCGCGTCTCCTCGGCTGCAGTCCAACGTGCACCCAGGGGCGGTGCTGCGGCCTCCCTCCGGCCCGGCCCGCAGGCTGCCGTGCTCCTGGGAGCGGCCCGGCGGCCAGGGTTCGTTCGTCCTCAGGTTGTGGAGTCTGGCTGTGAATCCTGTGGAGTCTGTTCAAGGGAGGAACATAGTTTACTTCAGAAGTGGTAGAAAACCGAACACTGCCATTTGAATTGCGAATTCTGGCAGCCTCTTTTGAAAGCACTACATCAGCAGCTTTAAAAGCAAACAAACCCCTCTAGTCCAACAGGGCCTGCGCCCCACAGAAGGAAAACTGGCCGCCTGTCTCGCGGCACTTCCTCCGGGGGCGTTCCTGGTGGCAGGGGCGGCCGCGGTGCGGCCTCAGGGCGGGGCTGCACTGCGAGTCCTGGGGTGGCTGTGCGGGGTCGTCCTGCAGCCGTGGGGACTGGCCGTCGGACGGGCCGTGTGAGGGTGGGTTCTGTGAGGTGGTGTTGCATGAGGAAAGCAAATGCAAAAAGTGTGTCTTTGAGAATCTCATTTTTGTCCAGCAGCGACATACGTGTTCGCGTGGAGGCGTGTGCGGGAATGTAGAGAAAGAAATGGAAGGCTGCGTCGTCGGTCGATAGACCGTGGGGGTGCCGACCGGGGCTCAGAGCGAACGAAGGAGGGTGAGGGCCAAGGGGGAGAGTGAGAGGGAGGGAGACGCGGCCCTCATGCCCCGCCTGTGTTGTGGCCGCACCGCTGGTCCTCGGCCAGCGTGGGCTCCACTGCCCGGGCCCACGTACGTGCAGGTGTTTTTCAGTAAGTATACAGACTGAACCAACCACGGATCAAAAACAGTATTTCCAGTCCGTGGTGGGGAATCTGCGGACGTGGAGGGCCGACCGCATCGATCTGCGCCACCTCCTGTAAGGCGGGCGCCCTGACCTCCACGGTCCCAGGATCAGTGGCGTCTGTGAGCAGCCAGACAGGCAGGTGGGTGTGTGTCATCAATGTTGGAGCACAGCCGTGAAGACAGCGCAGTTACAGGGGCCTGCTGCTGGCCCGTGCAGACCTGAGAAGCAGAGGGGAGAGTTGGGGAGAGAATTCCGGTTTCTTAAAAAGTGGAAACTGTGTTTTCAGGCTTCCAGGGTGGCTGGCGTTTGGTGTTTGCAGATGTCAGAGACTCTCTCCTCTGAGTGTGTCTTCTGTGCAGCTCAGGAAGGCGGGCCTCGACTGACATTTGTCATTTAACAGGCATGGCGATTTGTTGTTCCTGTTTCCCTCGAGCCTGGCCGGACCCTCGTCAGAAATGGACACGTCCGCCCCACTGAGGTTGAAGGCCTTCGGCGCGCCCAGCGTGGTGGAAGATGAGATCGACCAGTACCTGAGCCGACAGGATGGGAAGATTTACCGGAGCCGCGACCCGCAGCTGTGAGTGCCAGGCTCCGGCCTCGGCAGGGCGCGCTCGCGAAGTGTCCCGGAGCCGGCGGGCCTGAGTTGGCCGTGCGAGCGCGCGCCTGCTTTCAGAGGAAGTTTCGCTTTGTTGTTTGTAACGTTTTCTCACTGTTTGACTCTCAGAGTATGTGCCCCATGGACTTGGAAGCGTTTAGGTATTTGGAGCTAAGAGGTTTGAAAGGAGGAGCGTCCTTAAAGCAAGTCTTCGCCCCGCCGTGCCCCTGGAGAGGCTTGACTGCCCTGTCGCAGAGGGGGCTTTAGAAAGTGGGACAGGCAGGACAGGGGAGGGACGGAGGCGTGACACCTGGGTGCCCGCTCGCTCGTGCAAGGTGCTTGTCCCTGTCGCCTCACGTGATGATGGTGGAGCAGGTCCAGCCTCACACGCGTGACTTGCTTCCCATTCCTTCAGCGAACACCTCGTTCCCTGAAGGAGGAGCCCCGCCCAGCGTTCGCTTGCCGCCTGGGCCGGCGCGTTTCGGTGCGGGCTTCTGCGGTTCCCTCCCAGGGAAGCAGTGAGAGACACCTGGGCTTACGCTTGGTGACACGGAGCTGTCTGAGCGCAGGTGGCCTGTCCGCAGTGGAGCCTCTGTCGCTGCATCGTGTGTGTCCCCTGCACGCGGCAGTGTGAGCCCTGAGGCCCTGGGGCTCCCGGCGCTGCTGCGAGCCTTGTCGGCCTTGGGGTAATAGTCTGAGGAGTGCGTGCCACTGTCAGCTCGGAGCCACATTGGAGCCAGAGCCAGCGGCCTGCACGCCTCTCCCGTGTGCACTTCCTCCTGGTGGCCCTGCCAGCTCCCCTTCGGTGCCCGTGAGGCGTCGCTAGCCATCTCGTACAGGGGGCGCGTGTGCGCGCTCCGACGTGTGCTCCGAGCCGCAGAGCCTGCCTGTTTGGCCATCGTTGCTCTGCAAGGGAGGACTCATGGGCACCTGGGAGCCTGACCCCATTTAGAAAGGGTCCGGGTGAGTCCAGAGGGACCACGGCCTCCCACCAGCCGGCCGGCGCGTCGTGCGTGGGGCGCCCAGGCTGTCTCTGGAGTGGCGAGCGCTGCAGAGCCGGGCGTCCTCCGTGTGCTCTTTCCAGAGTGTGTGTGGCGGCATGTTCTCCGGACTTGGGAGATTTGTCTGCCACTGTCAAGGTGTTTGCCGTGTCCATGGCCTGTCTGTCTTAGTATTGGCTTAGCATTTTTATTTAAATAACTTCAAATCCATTCACTTTTATTTGTGGTCAGCCTCATTTTAAGTTGTTAATATCCATGAACTCATGGGTTTGATATGCTGGTCAGTTATGTCTAATATACATCAAAATTAACTGATCTGTTAAAAACATCCACCCTGTACCACCTGAAATAACTTCATTAAGTCTGAAGCACGTTCTAAGCCCCAGGAGCGCGGGAGGCGGCGGGAGGGGAGCAGGCAGCTGACGGTGCGCCCTCTTTGCCCGTGTCTTCTCAGGTGCCGACATGGCCCGCTGGGGAAGTGCGTGCACTGCGTTCCTCTGGAGGTGAGTCTGCGGGCGCCGCCCTTGGCCGAGGTGGCCAGCAGGGCCCGCCCGCTTACTGCCCTGGGCCTGCGTCCCCTCTTGTGCGCGCTGCACAGAGGCAAGCCTTTGTTTACGGCAGTGACCTTCTGGGCAGATTACGGACGGCTCAGGCTCTGCGTTGCTGTGATGAAGGGGCCGTGTTGACGGTGGGCTCCTGGGATGATTTTTTAAACCCTGACACAGAGCTGGGTCTGGCAGTTTCATGCTCGTCATTGTTTTGATTTATTTCACCCTGAGTCTCGCCTCCTGCTGATTTGTCTGGTAAGATTGAGAGTTACCATAATAATGCTGACCAGTGGCTGGTTAACGCTGAATTTACGGCGGAAGGCCAACCGGTTTTCTCCGTGAAGCTCCTCTTGCTTCATCTTGTGACTTTTTTTTTGCAAAGTTTTCCCAATATTTACTTGACCTAGAGCGTTTTATAGTTAATAGAGGTTCATTTTCCATTTTCATCCTGGAAAGATAACTAGCAGCCCAAGAGGAGGCTGGCCCCGGCCTGCAGTGGCCGTGAGAGCCCGCCCTGCCCGCCCCCGCCCCCGCCCCGCGGGCCCGGCCGCCGGCAGTGCAGCCCTGCCGGCGTGCGAGTGGCCCGTGTGTGTTCCGCAGCCCTTCGACGAGGACTACCTAAACCATCTGGAGCCGCCCGTGAAGCACATGTCCTTCCACGCCTACATCCGGAAGCTGACCGGAGGGGCTGACAAGTGAGTGGCCGGTGCGGGCGGCGCGCAGGAGTCCGCTCAGCGGGCGGCGGGGTTGCCCGGGGCCATGGGGCACACGGCCGAGAGGAGCAAAGATCGGGGTCTGGGCCGAGGCCCCTGCATTCGTGGGCTTTGCCGATTGTGGAGAAGAACCCGGGGGGTGGAGGCTCCAATCCCCGGCCACTGCCCGCGGGCTCCGAGGAGCCAGGCTGGTGACGGCCACCGTGGAGGCCCCCGGCCTTACGGGAAGGCAGGCGAGGCGGGCGCTGCAGCGGCCAGTGCATCTGCCATCAGAGCTTCTCCTCTGCCTCTTGGAAAAGCAGGTGCCCCGACGGCCATGCCAGGTGGCCTGCGACAGCCTCGGCCCAGTGCCTGGTGTGGGGCCACCCGGCGGGGCTGGCACGGCGGGTGCAGGAGGCAGCGGGCAGCCCTTCCCTTGAAGGCAGGCTGTGGCGGTGGCCAGAGCTGGGAAGCCTAGACTGTTGTGAGTTCTTTAAATCACGTCAAGTGCTTGCCAGCGTGACCCCTTCTGTTGACTGCAAGTTCACTTTCCAGAGAAGGACGGAGGTCGTCCCGGGATTTCATAATTCCTGCCAGTGCAGCAAGAGGGATGGTGGCTGAACCTGCGTCAGCAACCTTTTGTGAAGAATGTCATGCCGGCCGGGTTGTAGTTTTTCTCTGACAGCCCGCTGACACCCTAAAATGACTTTTTCGAAAAACTCAGACCAGGAGGAAAAATATCCCACCAGAAATTCATTCTTACCTGTCAGTGGGGTAAGCGATGGAACTTTCTGGACCAGGGAGATGACTCTGTCAGCCTTTCTTCAGTCTGGGTCAAGGACCAGTCTCGGGGGGGCACATTTGCAGCTGTCATTAACGTGCAGACAGACGCAGCAGCGGTCCTAGCTCCCACCTGCCATCAGAACCTCGTGCCGCTCGCTGGTGCAGCTGCGATGGAACGTTTGGACTGTTGTGTGAACAGGAAACTGGCGGAGGGTCAGCCCAGGCCCGCGGGACCGCACTCCTCACTGGCTGTTTTCTAAGCACAGCTCTTGCTCAGGCCGAGAGCGCCGTGAAGACCCCTTGGCTGTGTCCTAGTCAGGCCTCCCTGTGAGTGGGGGCGCATTAGACGCCCGTGAACACGGGGCTCCCGGTGCGAGTGTTGCTGACGAAGCCGCGGTGCTTGAAAGCTCTGCGTTTCCCTTCAGGGTTAGGGGTAGATGTAGAGGTGCAACAGTGGTGTTTTCTAAAACTATTTTTATTTTACTTACTCCATGTAGTTTTTTAAATTTGTCAATCTCTTTTGTTGGCAGTTTCTAGGGTTTTTTCCCCCCAATGTTTTATTTACTTACAGAGAGGGGAAGGGGGGAGAGAAACATCAGTGTGTGAGACACATCAGTCAGTTGCCCTTCATGCACCCGCACAGGGGACCTGGCCCGCAACCCAGGCCTGTGCCCGGCCGGGAACCGAGCCGGCGGCCTTTCACTTTTCGGGGCAGCGCCCAGCCTGTGGAGCTGGTCAGGGCCCACAGTGTCCTTGAAAACCAGTGCGTCAGTGACGGTGAAAACTCAGATGGCTTTTCTGGGAGAGCGGGAGGTCCTGTAGCCCGCGTGCGCAGGACAAGCTGGGGTCCGTTACAGGCGTTCGGCACGTTCTCCCTGCTGCTCCTGCCACCGGCTCCGTGCCCAGAGCTCTGCTCGGAGGTGGAAGGGTTTGAAAATCACCCCATGTCTCCTGCCAAGCTTTTTGCCTGACTCAGTTGCCTCTTGTTCAGGGGGAAATTTGTTGCCCTGGAGAACATCAGTTGCAAGATTAAATCGGGGTGCGAGGGACACCTCCCATGGCCCAATGGCATCTGCACCAAGTGCCAGCCCAGTGCCATCACGCTGAACAGACAGGTGAGGCGCTCCCTGTGGCCGGGGGGCAGCGGGAGGCCCGCTTGCTTCCGTGACGGAGAAGCGAGCGTTTCCCTGGAGAAGACCTGCCACTCACAGCGCGCGTGACGTGTGGCAGGTGTGCAGTGCTTTTGACCGATGGGCAGCCCTGCTGTGGGGTTCTGCGCTGAGGACGGGCTTTGTGCGACCTTTGGCTCTTGCACGCAGGGGTGGGGCTTCAGGGTTCTGTGTCCTCAGCCTACGTGGAGGCAGAAGTTTCCTGGTGACTGTTGAAAAGTCCTCAGTGCTCGTGACTTTGCTGTTTAAGAAACCGTGTCTCTGGGCACTTGTGAAGCACTGTCCTGGGGCCAGCTCAGGGCGCCTGTCCAAACGGCGCTCAGAGGAAGCTGGGCAGGAGCAGGAGGGAGAGAGCCAAGGACAACTGCCCGCGCGCGGTTACTCTGCCCGTTGCCACTCTGTGGCCCAGCCCCCAGAGAACGCCGGCCGTGTCCCCCGTCCTGCCCCTCCGAGGATTCCTCAGTCCCCTGGGCTGTTCAGAAGCCTTTCTTCCTCCTCCTCCTCCTCCTCCTCCTCTCCTCCCTCTGTCTCTCTTTCTTTTTGAGAACTGTTCTAGAGATGTTGAAAACCCCCATTTTCCGTTGAAATTTCAGTAAGATTAATTTGAATTAAATGACGGGGGGACGCCTGCTCTCCGTGACTTACCCACTGGACTCTGAAGTGGCCCTAAGGGCAGAGCATGTCCTCAAAACACATGTCTGGGTGAAGAGCCAGGTGGTAGCTGTTGGTTTTTACCTGTATGATTTTATTAGCCAGCATCGCCCCAATAAATTCAATTTGGAAAAAGCTGTTTACTTTTGATGGATGTTTTCACTGAGTCCGTTGTTGTAAACCCTGCAGAAATACAGGCACGTGGACAATATCATGTTTGAGAACCACACAGTCGCCGACCGCTTCCTTGACTTCTGGAGGAAGACAGGGAACCAGCACTTCGGGTACTTGTACGGCCGGTACACGGAGCACAAAGACATTCCTCTGGGCATCAGGGCCGAGGTGGCCGCCATTTACGAGCCTCCCCAGGTGGGTCTGCTGGGGGCGACCTCCGCCTGTCGCTGGCATGCAGGTGCGTGTGCCCTTTCTGGTCGCAGCTGCGTCTGCTTCGTCCCGGGCCCGGTCTGCGTGTCGGTCTGTCTGCACACAGACACACACGCTCAGTGCTTGTTTTCTGAGTCACAGGTGTAAGATCATGGCCCCTAACTGCTTCCTTGTGTTTCCAAAAAATAAGAATCTTCTCTTATGTAACAAGTACGTTTATCAACTCCAGTGAGTTGAGTGTTGATTGAGTCTCATTATCTGGCCTCCCGCCAGCTGCCCCCGGCGGGTCCCACGTCGCTCCCTTTCTTTTCTGAGGACCTGTGTGGCCCCCATGCCTGCTCTCCCAGGAGCGGTGGGAGCAGAGGGCCGCAGAGCCACCCAGGCCTTCGCCCGGGCCACACGCAGCTGGGTCAGAGCCGTCACGCCAGAACGTGCCTCCCAGCAGGGCCCAGCGTCTGTTACTATCTTTTATTTAAGGTTTTGTTTATTCATTTTTAGAGAAAGGGGAAGGGAGGAGAAAGAGAGGGAGAGAAACATCCACGGGTGGTTGCCTCACACACCCCCCTCACCGGGAACCCGGCCTGCAGCCCAGGCCTGTGCCCTGACTGGGAATGGAACTGGAGACCTTTGGGTTCGCAGGCCGGCGCTCAGTTCCCTGAGCCGCGCCAGCCGGGGCTGTCACTGTGTCGTTTAAGTTTCACTTGGAAGGTCCTCCCTGTGTGACAGTGCCACCAACCAGCTATAGTCATGTGCCTGTGTTGTGGCTTCAGTGTCGGGGGACTGGCCTTGTGTACTGTGAGCAAAGGAGTCCCAGGTGGCAGTGCGCGTCGGCCACGCAGGCGGGTGCTCGTGTGTGCGGTTCACCGAGAGAGGCAGTGAGAAGCGATGGGCTGAGGCTGGTGGGGGCGGCGGGGCCCGGGGGGCCCGGGTGTCCGCACTGGAGGTCTGTCGGCTTTGCTGTGTGTTTGAAATTATTTCCCAGAAAATGTTGAGAAAGATCATTTCTAAAGTCAGGCATAGTAGCAAGGAATTCCCTTTGTCCTGTTTCCTCCCTCACTTTGCAGGTAGTGCCGCCTGTAAACACATTCCCAGTCTAGACCTCTAAAGTTTGACTTTTTAATACAAGCAGACACGCACGCACGCACGCGCGCGCGCTGTTCCCGGCCCTTGGTCCTGTGGCTCTGTCCCCTGGACATGTCCCAGAGCGCATGCCCTGACCGGCCGGCTTCGTACAGGAGCCAGGGTCTGGCACCGCAGGCTCATGGCCCCTGGCTGGCCTGCAGGTCTGCGGCTGCGACGCAGACCCCAGGGTCTCCCCAGCTGGGTGTGCTGGCCATGCAGAGTCTGTGTGCGGCCTTGCCCCTCCCCTTGTTACTGGCAGCTCTCCCTTCAAGGGGGCACTAGGTGGCGGCAGAGAGCCCGTCAGGTTCGTCCGGCCTGACGGCTGTGACCTCTGCCCCGAAGGCGTGAACGAGCCCCAGGCCTGTGATGCCTGATGCCGGCAACACGCAGGTCTCCGTGCAGGTCTTCACGCAAGTCTTCGGTGGTTCTGTCGGAATGCGACTAATTTACAAGGGCTGACCCAGCTAGGGCCGCCGGCTTGGGCTTACCTTGCTTCCCGCTCCTGCCTCTGGGGCGGGGCCCTGCAGGGCCGCATGTGTCTCCTGGTGGCCCTGGCCAGCCCTGCAGTGCAGGCCTGAGGCTGCGGTGAGTGTCATCTGCTGCAGGCAGCGGGGGTCCCGTGGCCAGCGAGGCGGCGTGTGAGCTAGCCAGGGCCCGGGCCCTCCTGCCGTCCCGGCCAAGAGCCCTGCCCACCCGCCAGCAGGTCGCCGATGCCAGATGCCGCCTTTTTTGAGGGCGGCATGCAGGCCTGTCGCTGTCTCTGAGGCCCTTGCCCAGGAGCCCCCGCTGTCCCTGCGGGAGCTGCCCAGGTCTCCCCGCGGCGTTCTTGGGAAAAAGCGCCCGTGCTGGCTGAGTGCACCAGGCCTGGCTGCAGGGAGGCCGCCCGAGTGGGCTTTGGGACTCGCTGCTTTCCGCAGCAAGTAGGCCTTAAGCAGCCGTGTAGAGCACCTTCTTCTGCCCCTGAGGCGGCCCTTGCTACGGAGCTGTGACGTCGTATCTCTGTGTTCTGGGTCCTGATCAGGAGCACGATGCAGCCTGAGGGGACGAGCCTGAGCAGCTGGGTGCGCGTGTTCCTGGGTGGCCTTGGGTGCCCGCTGCCGCTGCGCCTCCGCCCGCTTGGGGAGCCCTGCACCCATGTGCGCCTGAGCCAGAGAGGGCGCGTGGCGTGAGCCTGCCTGGGCCGCGCCTCTGACCCGTCTCTCCCTTTGATGCTCAACAGATTGGGACACAGAACAGCCTGGAGCTTCTCGAAGACCCAAAAGCCGAGGTAGTGGATGAAATTGCTGCCAAGCTCGGCCTGAGGAAGGTATGTGCTCGGTGGGGCCCGGGCTCGGCCGGGGGGATGCCCAGGGGCAGGGGTGGCTGGGCCCCGCCGGGGACTGAGCATTCTGCTGCCCGCCGTTGGGTGCGGGCTGGCTGTCCTGAGGCCCCCCCTTGTGTTTCTTGGAGGCCATTAGCTTTTATGTTTTCCTGATTTAAAGTAAGATGAGAACGTTTCCCTGGGCGTAAAATGAAAGGCCTGAGTGCGGGGCCTATGACGCTTAAGTCTGCCGGTAACACTGCGAGGCGGCGGCCTCAAGCGGCGGGGGGAGCAGCGGAGCAGGGCCCTGTCTCCCTGCCTGTGCGGGGACCCCAGTGCCAGGCTGTCCTGCCGCCCCGCTGCGGCACGCCCTTTGGCGCACAACCCTCCCTCGCATGCCTTTGCCGCCCTGGCCGAGGCCTGTCTGGTGTCCACGCTCTGGCCGGAGCAGGTGTTTCCCCCTCGGTCATCGTTGAATTTCGGCTCCCAGTGGAGCGTCGGAGCGCACACCCTGGGTTCACGGGCGTCAGAAGACGGGGAGGACTGCCCTGTTGTCGCGTGTCCCCAGCTCAGCTTCCAGGAGCCCTAAAGATGGGTGTTCGCACATACTCGGTGAACTGTGAATCTGAACACGTCTTAGAAGTTCACTGTTAGTAGCTCTGCAAGTTTTATTCTTTACTTCCTAATCAATTTAGATGGTGAAAAATAAATTACTTACAGATAGTGGGGAAAAGCTAGAAATACGCTTCCTAATCTCGGAATGTTGGCAAAGTTACTTTACCATCGGAGGGAAAACGTCCCGTTGTTCCTGACAGGCAGTGAGCCTCTGGACTGAGGGTCGTACTTCTGTTTAAAATCTGGGAGTTTTTCTTGGCACAATTTTTTGGTCTATATTTGTTAAAAATACCCAGTCCCTGGTAATTGTGACTCGAGAAGAGAAATAGAAGTTGCCTGAGCGCCTCTCGCAAAGCGCGTCTGCTCGGCCTCCGTCCCTCTCGGGCGGTTCTGGTTCTGCTTCGCTTGCCGCTCGCTCAGTGCGCCCTTTCGGTTTCGCTTTGCGTGTTGCCATCCTCCTTGCGTTTCTCACTCATTTGGGCATTTTTAAGGGAAATGCACGTCTCCAGCTTTGCTCGATCATGTGTGCAGGAGGCTGATTTGAAGACACCTGTGTCAGGGTGGTGCGGGCGCGCGTCCCAGCCCCAGGTCCTTTCCCCAGGAGACAGGGTGGGGGTGCCTGGGGTCCAGCCCACTCAGGAGCCTCAGCCAGGGTCTGGTTCAGGAAGGCTGGGAGGCACGTGGGCATGGGAGGGCCGGGGGCCGCAGAGCACACAGGCCGACACGGCCGCGGTGGCAGGACACGCCAGGGAGGCTGCCCTGCCCCGAGCCGGGGGACTAGCCCGAGGGTGTCCTGGCACCGAGCGTCCCACGTGTGCCCTCCAGCACCTCCTTCCGCCTGTGCGGGGGCCCGGCCGGGCGCCTTCCGCCCGCACCACCTCCCGGGAGCCTGTTTTCTTCGCTGGTGCCTCCCCTCAGCAGTGCAGGCTCGTTGTCACCAACATCTGCTCGTGCCGTTGGCCGTGGGCCCCCTGTGCCTGGTGCAGTGCTGGGCGTGGGCGCGGCCAATGCCCCGTGAGCTCTGCGCACGTGCCCCCCTCTCCTGCCCGGCAGCGCCCGGGGGAGGCCGCCCTGAGCTCGGTGCTCGGGCAGTGTCCCCACAGGGAAGGGTCTGTGGCTCTGGGGCAGAGGCCAGGAGGCGTCGCCCGTTTCAGGGGAGACTCAGGGGGCGTTTTCCCTTGTTCTGCAGGTTGGCTGGATATTCACGGACCTCGTCTCGGAGGACACCCGGAAGGGCACCGTCCGGTACAGTCGGAACAAGGTGAGGGGCGGGCACGTCCGCTCTGGCTGTGCTCTCAGGGTTTCTGCCCGGCTCGAGCCGGTTTGAAGAGCAGACTCTTTTCAGCCCAGTGCCCTTGGTGAGTTAAGGCTGGTCTGTTGATTCTGCCTGGTAGAGCAATGCCCACCCAACCTGCAGACCAGTGCTTTTGGAGGTCAGCTCTGGGGCGGGTGGCTTAGTGTTCCTGGCCCTGCTAGTTAGTTACCGTGCTCTTTTGTAATCAAATTTATTAGGGTGACATTGGTTAATAAAACTGTATTGTGTGCTCACCACCCCAAGCCAAGTCTCCTCTGGGAGGCGCTGTATCAGGGCCTGTAGTGGCCAGAACCACTGGCCTCGGTGTGGCCCTGGTCTCGGATGTGCGGCGGTTGAGGCCTCGCTGCCCTCTGAGGAAGCCTGCGCCTCTCCCCTCAGGACACCTACTTCCTGAGCGCAGAGGAGTGCATCACCGCGGGCCACTTCCAGAACAAGCACCCCAGCGCGTGCCGGCTCTCCCCGGACGGCCACTTCGGGTCCAAGTTCGTCACTGCGGTGGCCACAGGTACAGCCGGGGCCGCCCTGTGCTGTGAATGTTCCTGGGGGCTCATGAGTTCGCTCTTCTTTCAATAGCTTTTCATCTCTGGCTTAGTTACAGCAGATTTTGTTAGTGGGCCCCGTGGGACATTGGTTCTTCTTTTTGTTTTGTGGTAAAAATCCCGAACGTGTCAGCATCGCTCATGAAACGACCAGACCCTGGGCCTCGGGGCGGCCCTCCTCCCGTCCACCCTTGCCCGGGCCCCGCGCACTGGCTCTGGGTCTGGGGCTGCTCCCGGGGCTGCCTCTGCCCCTTCCAGGAGCCGGCGGCAGCCGGTCCTGCGGGCCAGAGGGGGCTCGCTGGTTTGCTTACTGGTTCGTTTTTGACACAACGAATGGGAGTGACATTTAGGAAGGCTGTTCCCCAAAGCCTCCTGGGAGTGGCTGTGTGTGGTGTCCGCGTATTACGTGTTGTGGGTGTCGCAAACGTGTAGCGATGAAAGGCCGGTCTGTGAGAAAGCACTGCCAGTCTTCCCTCACGTGCTTGAGACGCGCCTGGAGAAGGCCAGGCGCAGGGTCACATGGTTTAAAAGGAACAGAGATTTGAACCTTGGAGAGTCAGCTCGTGACACGGAGTCCGGTCAGCTTGTGGAACTCTGGCTCAGTCTTGGTGGCCCCGGTTCCCCTCACGGAGACGGCCGTCCGGACCGTGCCTGGTGGCCACCCTGCCCCTTGTTCTGTAGAAAGAAGCACCGTCCCCCCCGCAACTTAACAGACACCAGTGTGCAGACAGGAACATGCAAGTGACTGGACCCCTGTGAACCTGGGGGGTCTGCGCCGCCGTCTGGGAGCCGGGGCGGAGAGCCCGTGCCTGTCCCCGAGGACGGGCGCCTGTGGAACGGAGCTGCCCTCCAGCGCGGGCAGCGGCAGCGTCCCCCTGCGGGGACCGGAGTTGCAGTTGGGCCAGGCGCCTCGGGCGTCTGGGAGGTTTGATGGGGATCTGAGAAAACCAGCGCTGCCGCTCGAGTCCTCCCTTGAGGGCAGCTGGGCCGGGGCCGTCCCGGGGGGGACACTCAGGGCAGCGTCCGTGGCCACAGCGGGACGCCTGGAAGGGGGCGGGGAGCAGCGGCACCGTGCGGGGCCGAGGGCCGTCCCTGCGCCCCGTGCCGCCGCGCCTCCCCGCGTGGAGGCCAGCCTTCCGGGAGCCGCCGCCAGCCCGAGGCCGTGAGAGACTGGGCGCTGTCTCGCTGGGACATTCTGTGACTCCCCTGTACTCCAGGGAATGGAATTCCCAGCTGATACACCTGCTTGCACACTTAATTCTGAGACAGGAAGCAGAGTAGTAGCCAAACTGTAACATCAGGGAGAAACAATAGTAAAGAAAGAGTGAAGCAGGGCACTTCAGCGTGTCGGTGCCTCGGCTCACGCCCGACCAGACAGCACAGCGGAGGAGCAGAGCCCACAGCCGAGGGGACGGGCTGATGCGGGTGACACGTCGGGGCCCCACCCGACAGCGTCCTCAGAGGCGCAGCGACCTCACGAAGCTCTGAGCAGAGCCACGCGCCTCCCGCAGCTTGCACAGCGTCGCCCTTCCGGGGGGCTCACCGTGGGTGGAGACTGCGTTTGCTTGTATGTTGATGTCAGTGTGGCTGTGTTCGTCCAGACGGGCCTGTGCCCACATGCGTGTGCGGGCGCACCCGAGGTCCCTTGGACGGGAACGGCTGGCTGTGGCGTGGGGCCCTCCTGACCCCAGCAGAGACCCTGAACCTGCCGCCGCCGCCGCCACCGAGGGCCCAGAGGCTGCTCCCCGGGGGCCACTGGTTTAGGCTCCCGGGGGCTCCCGGGACAGCCTGACCCTTTAATGGCTGTGTCCGTGGGGAGTTACTTGAGGGGCCAGAGGTTTGGGGTTTTTAATTTCAGTTTTTTAATCCTTGCCTGAGGATACGTTTCCTGATTGAGAGAGAGAGAGAGAGACATCATCCGGTTGCCTCTTGTATGTACCCTGACTGGGGCCCCGGCCGGCAACCTTCTGGTGCACAGCACGAGGCTCCGGCCAACTGAGCCAGTGGGCCAGGCCCACAGGCACTTGTTTTAGGATTGTGACTGATTTCTAACTTGGGGCCACCCGTAGCTTCCGCTGCTGAGGCCCCTGGTTGAGAAACTGGAAACTACACATGGCCTGTGGGATTTTTGCCTCTGGAATGTCTGAGAGCCAGACAGACAAAACTGGGGTTTCCCGGCCAGTAACTTACTCTGTTTTTGCCAAAGAAACTAACATGGAGGTGGGGGCAGTTTGAGTTCTCTGGAGCCGTAGGAGTCACGGACACCCTGTCGCCTGGGCGTGGCCCGTGGCCTGTGGCGGGGCCCTGGGAGGCATGCCTGGCGGAGGGCGCTGTCCCATCTCTGCCCGCACGGTCCCCTCAGCAGCGTCCTGCGCTTCGCCTGCTCCGTCTGCTGAAGGCCCGGCCAGGTTTCGCGGAGGGGGCTTGAGGGAGGTGCCAGCGTGATGGCGGCGCCCTGGGCGGGCCCGCGGCCCTGGAGCGGGGCGGTCACGCGGGTTTCTCCAAGGCACGCGCAGGCGCTGCCGTCGTTCTCACTGAAAACGGATTCTGCCCCGCTGCGCTCCCTCCACCCCGCGCCTCCCCTGCCTTCCGATGCGCCTGCCCCCATTCACCCGCCAGCGGACGCCAAGAACCCAAGTGCTCAGCGCCGAGCAGGGTGGGGCGGGCGCTGGAGAAGGTTCGCCAGCCTTGTTTGTCGAGTCTGAGAGACCGAGGCCTCGGTGGGCTGAGGCGCTGCAGGTGCGTCTCTGTGCCCTGCATGTGCGGCTGTGTCCTCAGGCCACGCGTGACACCGCTGTCGGGAGTTTTGGAGACCTTGGCTCCAGCAGGCCCCGTGAGCCTGTCTGCCCGGCCTGGAGCCAGGAGGAGCAAAGCAGGATGTCCCCGCTGGTGCTCACGACAGTTTTGTCTCTTGCAGGTGGTCCCGACAACCAGGTCCACTTTGAAGGGTACCAGGTGTCCAACCAGTGCATGGCGCTGGTGCGGGACGAGTGCCTGCTGCCCTGCAAGGATGCGCCTGAGCTCGGCTACGCCAAGGAGTCCAGCAGCGAGCAGTACGTGCCCGATGTGTTTTATAAGGTAAAAACACAAAGGTGCAGAGGCTTCGAGGGGACGGAGCACGGTGTGGACGCTGGCCGGCCTGGCCCTTGATGGCTGTGGGTGCCTTCCGGCCACGGGGGCAGGGTCCGGCCCGTGGGCAGAGGCGTTGCGTTGCAGGCCCGGGGCTGGGAGGGCCCGGGTCACGCCGCCCTCCGCCCCCTGTCCCGCTGGCTGTGGGAGCCCGGGCGCCAGGCTCCTCACTGGGGGGACCCGCGGTCCGTGTGCATGTGGCGCCGGGCCTAGGTCAGCGCTGGTTCTGTGTGCTGCCGGTAGGCGCACGGGGACGTCAGCCCGACTGTTTCCCAAACAGTGATTCTTTGTGAGGCTGTTGTGAGACCGTCTTGCTGCATCCTGTAAGGTCGCAGGTCAGTCTGCTCATGTCGCCGGTTACCTTTTGGTCACTTCTTTAAAGAGAAAAGCCACTTAGGATTTCATTTGCTTTTGCCAGAGTGAGGCGACGCCAGCCATCAGGGGCACCTGCCTCTGTCCTGGGGCCAGGCTGCGCCCCTTTGCGCTCATGGACTCAGGCCCTGGACTTGCCTTTGCTGTCACAGGGCTGGAGCCGCTGTTCCCAGGCGTGGCCCAGAGCCAGGTGTGAGGCCGCGGGGACCTCGACCTCTGACTCCCGGTGTCTTGCTCTAGGAGGAGATAAAATTGCTGACATTCAGCAGCTGCCAGACTTAGAATTGAGAGGTCTCCCTCCCCGTGTGTTGCACCTGACGTTTGCTGACGTCTGTGAAAAGTGCTTGCTTTTTAAGTTGGCGGGAAGGGCCCGGGATTGGCTGACAGAACCATTGGAGGGGAGGCGTGGGGGAGAGGTGGACGTCCCTGTTTTCTCCCCCAGGGGAGGCAGCGTCTTGATCTTCTGGGGGAGCAGAGAGGTACAGTCGGGCAGGTACATTGGAGAGAGAACTGCTACACGACAAGGGGGCGGGGCGGGGGGCTTTAACAAGCAGCCTCCCTGGGGGGAGGCTCACAGCGAACAGGTGCTGGGAAGACGTTTCTGCGCATTAGAGCTTAATTAGTTCTGAAGATGAATTCCAGGTGGGCTCATTACGTGTGAGTTGTTGCAGGTTATTTCTTGTTGGGGCAGACGTGCGGTTTTGAACATGGTGATTCAGTTTGATTAGATTCGATTCCTGCCTCCAGTGTCTCCTCCGTCGAGAAACTGCCGTTCCCAGGGCCCCGGGGGCTGCAGGAGCAGCACAGGGCATGCGCCCCGCGGAGCAGCCGGCCAGGCCTCCCCAGAGGGCGCAGAGGCTCGTCAGCCTCCCCAGGAAGCAGACAGGTGGCTGTGTGTGGTTCCTGGGACCGTGTCCTGGCGGGGGGGGGCACTCCCGTGGTGACAGCTGGCTAGGCGCCTTGGCCACTTGGGGGGGGGGTGTTCTCGTTGGCAGCTCTGCAGGTTGTGAACAGGGAAGGTGGGGACGGTCGGAGATGTGTGGCAGCCGGACGTTTCCATTTCCAAACCCCAGGGGCGAGGCCAGGCGGGCAGCGGGCAGGGTCTGGCCGAGGGAGGCCCTGCGCCCGGGGTGCGGCTGTGCTGGGGCCGCCGCGCGTCCCCGAGCCTGGCGTCCGGTCGGGTCTGAGAGCTTCAGTGAGCGCAGGCGTTCCTGGGAGGCTCCGTAACTGGGAACTAGGGATGTACGGTTTATGCGCGACTCCGTGAGTGATTTATACAGTGCTACGTGATGGTTTAGGTAGAAAATACGACCCCTTCCTGCAGACTCTTTAATGAAAAGCATCGGTTCTTAGGACTTTTTCTAGAGCCCTGCTTGAACGCAGCATGTTTGACATAAATCAGATCTAATTGTCATTTTGTGATTAATGAACATGTGCTGGCCACTTTTCCCCATAATTACACTTTACGTTCCGTGCCTCTGACAAAGCAAAGCCAGTGTCAACTTTGACAGATTGGCGGCAGGCTCCGTGTCCATGTGTCTGCGTGTGCGTGCTTTTTGTCTAGTAACGTGCAGGTATCAAGCTTTCATAAGGTCGGGTTTTCAGAGGTGTCTGATCGTTAAGAACCAGCATTCAGACCTGAGACCCAGAGCGGGCGGGGCGGGGCGGGTGTGGCCTGAGCACGCGGGTGGGGGGGCTCCCGCCGCCTCCCTCACAGAGATGGGGGGCGCACTGCGCAACGGGCACGATTTCCCTCCTGCTTTCCGTGCACCTCCGCAAGCATTGCCCTGGGGTCGGAGGTGAGACGAGCGCGTGAAAGGAACGCCGCCGCCGGCCCGCAGGCCGCCCCTCACGCCGCTCCCCTTTGTCCCCACCGTAGGACATCGACAAGTTCGGCAACGAGATCACCCAGCTGGCCCGCCCGCTGCCCGTGGAGTACCTGATCATAGACGTGAGTGGCAGGGCCGCCGGGAGGGGCTGCGCGGGGGCGGGTCCCCGGGGCGGGGCTTGAGAAGCTCACGGTGCCAAGGGCGGCTTCTTTCAGTTTCAGGGGTTTTTGTTTTTCTTTTCCTTAAAAATAACTTAGGGGTTAACTTTTCTCAAACTAAAGTGCAACAGATGACCACCTACCGGTTCATGCGTGGCGAGTGCAGGGTCCACCCTGATCACAGCTGCTGCCACTGCTGCGCTCCTGGTGGGCCCGCTGCCCGAGTTGGTCCCTGAGGGACACAGCCGTCACTCTGCCCTTGAGTGAGGGGTAGTATGGTTTTCCGGGGGGACTCGGGGAGCCGGGAAGGCGCCTGGCCCCGGTGTGTCTTCCAGGGTCTCTGCTCCTCTCCAGAGGCGAGCTCTGGTCACAGAGACGAGGCCACAGCCCGAGGCGGCGCCTGCTGTAGGACGAGAGCCCGGCAGGCGGCAGCTGCCAGTGCGCTGTCCGCAGGACGCGGCAACCGCTCATGCCCTGTGTGCCGCCTGCCAGGACCTGCTCAGGCTGCGGGGGACCCGGCCGGGCTCAGGACATAAACAGCCTTGCGCCTGAAGCAGCAGGTTCCCAGCAGTGGAGCCTGTCGCTGCTCCATCCAGCTGACAGCTCCCGGGGACATATTGATCGCCCGGGCCGCAGAGGCGTCTGTTTTTAGACAGCCTGGGGCGTGATTAAGATGCAGGCAGATTGACGGAGCGGACGCTTGGTGGGGGCAGCACGATCTGAAGCCAGCTGTCCGAGGCCTTCTCCCCCGGCGACCCCCACCCTGCCCCTTTTACGAGGGAGCCTTCGTAAGCCCTTGCCGTGGCGCATTGTTTTGGCTGCATGCGGTCGACGAGGGAGTGCCGGTCCCTGTGGAGGGGTTGTTGCAGTCCCTGGCAGCGGGTGCCCAGGCCCGCGGCCTGGCCAGGGCCGTCCGCCGTCCTGCAGCCCGTGACTGGGCAGCCCTCTCCGGCCGGGAAAGGGATGAGCGGCACGCCCCCACCCCCGGTCCCTGTGGAGGTTTCTGGGGGGCCCTGGTGTCGGCAAGTTGACCCTGAGATGGGGGGCGACGGTTCAAACACAGGACAAGGCGCTCGGTGCCCCGCGTCCCTTCCCTGCGTGCCCCAGATCGGTGCTGGGCCCTCCAGCGGCCGCCAGAGGCCCGACAGGCCCCCCTCCGCATCCCGCATGTACTTGCTCTTAGGTGTCCTGTCGCGCCGGCCCGCTGCCAGGGCTCCCTTCCCGCGGGGAGGGACCGAGTCCCCGCAGGCTCTGTTTCAGCAGCGGGGACAGCCCTGCCACGGCCTCTTGGACCGTGACAGCGGCTGAGACCGGTCCCCGCGTACGCGGCCACACCGAGGCCTTTACGGGACCGAGCCTGCGACCCTCAGCACCGCTCAGGAGGTGCAGGCGCTGGGGGTCCGGTGTCGTCCTCGGCACTCCTGGCTGGGGCAGAGGGTGGGCCTCTGCCAGGAGGAGGGAGAAGCCTGTCAGTCCTCACACAGGTCCACAGGCTGCGCTGCCTCTGTGGGCTCCACTTCAGGCCTAACGTGCCCTCTGTTGTCACCAAAGCAGGTCTGAGCCACACCGAGGGCTTAGGCTCCCTCTGGGCCCAGGCTCTTGACTCCAGGATTCCCTGCGGGGAGCGGGGAGCTGTGCCCACATCTCAGGGGACTTGCTTCCCTTCCCGCCCTGACTCCATGGAACAGGGCCCGAAACCCACATGTGCCCTCGGACCTGGAGATGGAGTGGAGTCAGCCCCCGAAGGCCGCCCCTCCCCCGGGCTGTGCCTGCGGCTCATCCTCGAGCTCGTCCACAGCCGCAGGGGCAGCTGTGCCGGGGCAGGGTCGTGTCCCGTGGAAGCTGCCCTTCGGGCCGATGCAGAGGGGCTTGAGCTACGTGTCATCGAGGCCGGCAGGGAGAGACTGCCCACGTGTGGCGCAGTTCCGGGAACTGGGAGAAGCGATTGTTTGCTTCCCAGACAGTCCTGGAATTGCTGTGTCGGGTGGTGCCAGCGGCTCGCTTGTCGCGGGTGGGGCATCGAGGCCGCCTAGGCCGCTGCAGCTCAGGCTGCTGACTTGGGTTTGTCTTTTTGTTCATTAGATCACAACGACTTTCCCCAAGGATCCAGTTTATACTTTTTCTATTTCGCAAAATCCATTTCCTATTGAAAACCGGGATGTATTGGGTGAGACACAGGTAAGTTCTCTGTCTTCAGAAACGTCATTTAAAGTACCCGCCGCTTGTCTGTCCAGTGCCAGTGCTGCTGTCCCACCGTGCCTGGCGCTCTGTGTCCTGATGGCCAGCTCTGTGGCAGCGCCCGGGGGGCCTTTCGTGTGGCACTGGGTCGCAGTGGTCCCCTGGCGAGGCTGGGTGACGGGTGGCCACCAGGGCACCTCCCTCCAGTCCTCAGGCTGTGGCTCTGCCAAGGGGACCATTCTGCGTTCACTTCCTTTTTCCCCCCAAATTTGTCGCTTTGTGTCCTCTTCCAGCGTTTCCTTGTTTATTTGTTGACGGTGTTGCCTCTGTGGAGGTGTCTCGCTCCACTGTTAGGCGTGCCCGGCATTGTCGCCCAGCCGTGCTTCTCAGGCACCGTGTGCGCGAGCGTGTGGCAGAGTGGCGGTGACCGCTTGCATATGCCCCATGGTGCCAGCAAGCGCCGCAGGCCTTGCAGGCTTGGGCCCGGTCAGAGAACACCTGTAGTGAGACTTTCTCCTGACACGGCTGCTTACAAAACCTCTCGGACACGGTGGTCTCCTCAGTGCCCGTCTGCTTAGGCACACGGGCTGCCTGCAGAGGTCCAGAGCCGCTCGTTGGGGCAGCTCGCTCGAGTCTCCTGCTTTTAATCCTGCTGAAGGCGTTCCTGCTACTCAAGCCTGTGCTCCCCCCGCCTCGCCCCGCGTATGCGCCTCTCTCTCTCCCCGTCCCTCCCTCCCTCCCTCCTTTGCCCCTGCCGCCCCGGGTCGCAGCGCGACGAGACGGGCAGTGCACGTGTCTCAGGGCTGGGGGCGCCGATGCATCGAGTGGCCGCTGCTCTGTCCTGGGGCCCTGTCAGCGTGTCAGCGGGCATTGAGAGGGAGAGGTGTCTCTGTCCCCCTTGAGTGTGTGCGGACTGTGTTGAGGAAAGGCTGTGCTCTGGGAACGGTCACCAAATGTCATTTACTTCCTTCCACCCGCCCGGCATGCTAGGACTTCCACAGTTTGGCCACCTACTTGTCGCAGAACACCTCCTCCATGTTCCTGGACACCATCTCAGATTTCCACCTCCTGCTCTTTCTGGTCACCAACGAGGTCATGCCTCTGCAGGTACGGACCGAGCGTGCAAGCCCGGGGGCCTGGCATTCATGGTCCCTGGGGTGCTGGGCTGTTTGGGCGCGTCCTTGCCCCCTGATCCAGGGGTGTAGCCGCGGTCCCCCACACGCCCTGTGGCAGTGACTCTGCGCAAGGGGCTTGTTGATGAGAAGTGGCGACTTCATGCTGAGCATTGGCATGAGGACCGCGCCTGAGCGGCGCCCTCTGTGCTGGGCCGGTCTCCTTGGTACTGACTGCGTGGGATACAGTGGGGGTTGGCCGTGTCCACCAGCAGGGAGCTGTGGAAATGCCACCAAAAACCGTGTCCTGGCAGCCTCACCTCCACTGCCCCAGCTGCTTCCACGACTCCCTCTCCCGCATCAGCTCTCATCTCCTGGGCCCAGGCGGCTGGCCAGCGTCCAGGCCTCGCGCGCTCGGCCACACGGCCACTCCGTGAGACACCCCGGGGCAGAGGAGGGCGAGCGTGCTGGCGGCAGCCGCTTTCCGAGCCGTGCGGGCCGTGGGCAGCTGGGCAGCACCACCCCCCGGGAGGCCCCAGGCCCGTGCCATGGTGTGCGTGACCTTCTGCCTGAGGCCCAAGAAAGCCCTAGAGGGAAGGGAACGATTTCATCCTGAGCCACCGATACCCAGCCCCACGCCTTCCCCCAGCGTGATAGGAGGACGGAGAGCCGGCTCCCCCCGCGTCCCCACGCTCCTGTCGGCTGGCCTGTGGCCGCTACTGCCCTGCCAGCTTGGTCGCATGTCTGTGTCGTGGCCAGAGCGCCCCCTCTGCCATTTCACACCAGGTGCCCCGAGGTGTCTCTCCAGCGGTGCCTTCCCCATGGAGCCCAGAGATGGCAGCCCTGGACCGGCTCCCATCAGGGCTCCTCGTGGGGAGGCGGGCACTGCCCTGCTACCAGCGCCAGGCGCCGCTGTGTGTGCCCCCTGCCTGAGCCCCCTGTGGGCTTACTGGCCTCTCCTGGAAACTGTCGTAATTCTCGGCCCCGTGACCCCGGAGGCCTGGGCTCAGGGTGCAGGTTTGCAGACGGGAGTGCGGAGGCGAAAGAGCTGAGGGGAGCGCGAGGGGAGACGGGCGCAGGGCCGCGGCTCCTGTCTGTCGGCAGGGGGCAGGGGGCAGGGGGCAGGGGCTGGGGCCTCTGAGCTGCACGGCGACGGCTGGCACAGCAGCAGCCCGGGGCCGTCGGGAGGAGTTCGAACCCCAGCTTGGTTTAGCGCTTGTCGGCACAGCCCGAGGCGCGTGGCCTTCCGCGTGTCAGCGACAGCCTGTGAGGCCGCCTGTGCTCGCCGAAGTGCGTCCCGGTGTTGAGGAGGAGGGGATCCATCGGCAGGAGCCCGTCCACCGCAGCAGGGCGTGTGGGAGCCCCCTCTGCTGTCTTGCAGGACAGCATCAGCCTCCTGCTGGACGCTGTGCGGACCAGGGACGAGGAGCTCGCGCAGACGTGGAAGAAGTCGGAGCAGTGGGCCACCATCGAGCAGCTCTGCAGTAAGTGGGCTCCTGTGTCGGTGCCCAGCGCACACCCTCGCGCGCCCGCTGCCCGGGGACCCAACGCAGGCTCTGCCAGGGCCCCTGACCTGAGACGTTCTGACAGGGTTGGGGCAGCCGGTGGGCACAGAGTGGCTCTGGTCCTCCTGGCAGTGTGCTTTCTGTTTTATTTTTCTTGACAACCAGAGCAGCGACATGGCCAACACCCATGCCGTGTGTTCCTGCCCTCCCACTCTGAGGCGCTGCTCTGGCGGTCTGCAGAGATGGAGGACAGGCTGTTCCCCGTGAAGCCCCCGAGGGAAACCCCGCAGCCTCATGTCCTCGGCGGGCGGGGTGTGCTGGCCATTGCGCTGAGCACCTGGTCTCACTCCCTCTTCCCACGCTGCTGGCTGTCCGGGCCGCACACTGGCTGCCGAGACGGTGCAGAGGATGTCCTGCAGCCCCAAAGGGAGGGCAGTTCGGCTGGGCGGTTGCCCTGGAGGCACCTTGGCCAAGTGGGGAGTAGGGAGAGCGGGACCCGAGAGAGTGCGTCCCAGCACTTAGCACGTTTCTGCCATCCCCACAGACACCAGCTGCAGCTGGGGACCCCAGGGAGTGGGGCTGCTGGCTGCCCTCCCTGGTGCTGAGCTGGGGAAGACAGGCCACAGCGGCAGGGCCACGCTCCTGCCTCCCTCTTTGTGCTGCGCCCGCGACGCAGTTGTCAGGCCCTGCTGACAGGTGTGCAGCTGTGGAGCCTGCCCAGCTGCATGTGAAACACCCGGGGGAGGGTTTGGTAGAAGACATGAGCGCTCCTTCTGGAAGCTAACCCTCGGCCAGAGGAGCAAAGTATAAGTAAATAGAAAGGAATGCCATCCCTATGGGTTGAAAGACTTGGTATATTTTAAGATGTCAGTTTTCTTGAAATCGATTAGCACGGTCTCAGTTCACACCCCCATGGAAGTGCGCAGGAGGTGTTTCTGGGATGCAGAGGGCGGGGCAGGTGGGGGGCTGGGCGTCACCTGCGCTCTGGGCTGTGTTGCCGCCGTGGTTGCTGCGGCATGGCGCCGGCCTGGAGCAGATAGACCAGTGACCCGCATAGCGAAGGGCTGGCCGATAGCAAGGGCCCCTGAGCCGTGCGGTGAGGAGCAGAGACCGCCCGGCGTCTGCACACCGGAAGGGGCCTGGGGTCCCACGGGCACGCAGTCCACAAGCCTCTTCTAGACAAGCAGTGACCATGCGGTCGACATGGAACAGCAGACTGGCCCTCCTCGGGCCCTTGGGGGACGACAGGGGAACACCCTGCCCATGGAAGGCTGGTCCGTTGGATTTGGTCAAAACGAAACACTTGTGCTCATCAAAAGATGGTTAGAAACATGGGAAGGCCGGGCCTGTGCCGGCAGGAAACGTGTGAGATGCACGTACGTGACACAGGACTCGCCTGAAGCACAACTGAGTGCTGCCCCACGGCGGGCTCTGCTGGGAATCGCACAGCAGGCCTGCTTGCTCCCGTGTAAGCACGTGTGGTGTGTGGTCCCACCATGTGACGCTGGCTGTGATGCACAGGTGATAGGGGATTTTCGGCTCTGTGGTCGCCTGCCGGAGCACACTCTCTGGTGCGTGTCCACCGCTGAGCGACATCGTGCAGCGGCACAGGACTGTAGAGAAGGCTGCACGTTGGTGATCAGTAAACTAAACAGCGTGGGTGAGATGTGGGGCAAGACTCAGGCATTTCACAGAAAGATGGGGTGGGGGTCAGCATTGTGAGTCGCCAGGGAAGTGCGGATTGAGGCGCCACTGCGTGTTCACCAGAGGCTGAGACGGGAACAGCCGGGCCCTCGTGCAGCTGTGAGTGAGCACAGGCTCAGCAGGCCCACGCCCAGGTGCTTGCCCGGAGGTTTGAGCAGGAGCCTTGGTGCAGCCTTGCTTGCAGCAGCTCAGAACTGGAGATGCCCCGAGGGTCCATTCCAAGGGGACAGGCAGCCCTGACAGGGGTGGCAGGAGCCACTGACAGCACGGGCGGCAGGCGGCTTCCAGCTCTGCAGGCAGCAGCTGTATTTGGTGGGGTTCTGGGTGGCCCAGGGCACCCACCGTGCAGGTCCTGGGGCCGCACCAGCCCGGGGCAGTTGTTTCTACGGTTCGCCAGGCCGCGGCCTGGAGTCCCGGCGGGCGGGCGGGCGACCCTGTGTGCAGAAACATTGAGTGCCGCTTCTCTCCCGCCTGCAGGCACGGTCGGGGTGCAGCTTCCGGGCCTGCACGAGTACGGAGCCGTCGGAGGCCCCTCGCACGCCGCCACGGCCGCCATGTGGGCCTGCGAGCACTGCACCTTCATGAACCAGCCGGGCACCGGTCACTGCGAGATGTGCAGCCTCCCCAGGACCTAGGGCCCGCCCCAGCCCGCTCTGACGCCAGGGGCTTGGAGCTGTGCCTCCCGGGGCCGCCCTGAAGGGCAGGGCGGGGCGGCTGCCCTGGGGCCTCTGGCTCGTGAAGCCTCCCGGCACCAGGCTTCCCTGGAGGATGGAGCCGCGCTGGTGCTCTGCCCGCTGAACCCAGGCTTGCCCCGGAGGAGCGGGGCGGCCCCCACGGGCTCCTCGGTCTATCCGCCTGCGGAGGAGGGCGGGGTGCTTGCTGCTGCCACCAGCTTCCTCCTCCTTTCTGGACGCTGTTTGTTCTCGCCCCTCCCCCATTGTGGCTGGGGCTCCTGCTGGCCTCTGTCCCTGCCGCCCTGGGGCAGGCCCGCCCTTGGGGGCCGCTCCTCCCCTCTGGTAGCCAGTGTCCAGTGGCGACGCAAGTGACCACAGGCGCGCCGGCCTCTGTCCGCTTGGTCTGCAGTTACTTTGCCGCCCACCCTCTTCCTGCTCCCACCTGATGTCCAGGTGGGACCTCAAAGTTGGCATTGGTTGTAATAACAGTTCTCAGTAATTTCTGCCCAGGAGACTTATTTATTTTTTTTAAGATAAAAAGTTCATAAAAGGGGAGTGAGACAGACTAAGTTGCCACTTCCCTCGAGTGAGGCCCTGTCGGGGTGTGCAGGGTGGGCGGGTGGGCGGCTGGACGGGGGGCCCACCGACAGTCCTCCTCGGAGGTAAACCTCAGTGCCTGAGACTCGGCTGCCAGCGGCACGGCCGCAGGAGCCGCAGCGCAGCGGTGCCCTCCCCATCGTGGCTGGGGCTCCTGCTGGCCCTCTGTCCTTGCCGGGGCTGCTGGCCAGGCGGCACGGGGGGCGCCGGGTTGCCCCGGCCCGGAAGCTCGGTCTCTGCCCCATGCACAGCCCCCCTGCGGCCCTGCCCACCCTGGCCTCCGTGCAGCGGCACGGCCGTTGAGGGGGCCCGTGGTGAGGCCCCGGGGGCCGGGAGGGGGCTGCCGTGCCGGTGGTGTGAGGTCCGGGCCATCCCAGGACAGAGGTCGCGTGCTGTGGGGCCCCCGCATGCCCTCCGTGGCTGGGCCCTGCCCCGGGGACCTGTGGGCCTGCTGACGCCTCTTTGCCTTAACAAGAGCCGGATCTCGGAGCCGCTCCACAGGAGGGGCCGGCCCAGAGGCAGGCTGCTTGGGGACCTCGGGTCTGCCCTGGGCCTGGGGCAGGCCCGGGGTCCCCCCTTTTCCTCAGGCTGTGCACGAGAGCACTTGGGTATCGGCTTCTGCGGCGGCAAGGGCTCTGTCTGGCTCTTCCGGGTCCACCAGCACAGGTTCATCTGCTCTTGGCGACAGGAGCTGACTGGGCTGGATCTGGCCAGGGCAGCCTGGTTGGTCTGGAGGGGCCAGGGCAGCCAGTCCAAAGCACAGCCACCTGCTGCGGACTGTGGCCGCAGGCCTGGCCAGCGCGCTGGCTGGAGCTCCGGCCTCGGTCCTCTGGTCCCTGCTGTCAGATGCAAGGCTGCCGGCGGCCCTGCGCCCCGCCTGGCCCCCGAGACCTTGCCTCCCCCAACTGCCCTCCAGCCCGCCCCGGTCCTTGTCCACCCAGCGAGCTTCCTGTCCACCGCATCCTCCTCGCTCTCCAGCCTGGCAGCCACATGATTCGTTTATTTCCTTCTGTCTTTTAGCTAAAGAAAAAGCGTTGTGATTTCTCTGCTTCTGGTTTTGAGTCACTCTTTGTTCAGTGATGCACTTTATTTTATTGTCCAAAGAGAGTCAGGGCTCAGCATTAGCGTCCGTGGGGACGACCTGCTGTGGCCCGGGTGGGCCCGGCCCGGCAGCTCAGCCACCTGCTCCTGAACAGGGAAGGGCCCCCAGCCCTCTCAGCTCTCTGTTCCATCTGCCCTCGTGTGGACGCGCCCTCTCCTGCCCTCAGGTGCTGTGCTGGGACGGGGCTGCGCTAGCGCCGCCTGAGGCAGCCTCACAGTGGGTCTAATAAAGGCACCTGAAGCGCTGCCGGGAGTCCCTGTTGTTCTGGCCCCGGGGCCTCCCCTGCGCCTGAGCGTCTGCGCGGCCCCGCGGCCTCGGGTCAGGTGTGGGCGGCCGGCGGGGGTCTGGGAGCAGGGGCCTGGCCTCCCCTCGGTGCCTTTCCTGCCTATCGCCGTGGGGCTGCTTCTGGGCCTCCGCGCTGGGACTGGCACGTGCGGCCAAGCAGCAGGTGAAGGCCGGAGCCTGGAGCCTGACCCGGCTGCAGGGGCGTGGGCCTGATGTGGCGCTGCTGGCTGAGGGGCCCCGACCCTGTGGCCTTGGCGCCGGCCCTCGCGCACCGGGCACTGCTCCTGCAGCCTCCGCCCCCCCCCACCCCCCGGCCGGCCTGTGAGCCCTCCGCTCCCAGGGCCCCCACTGTCTGTTCCCCTCCCCATCCCCCGCCCCGGTGTGGCTGCAGTGCTGACACTCGGAGGGAGAAAGGCGCTGTTCTCGGGCCCCAGAAGAGAGAAGGCGCTCGGGCCCGCCCTCCCCCAGGAAACCCAGCGAAGGGGCGCGTGCTTCTTGGAGACGGGCCCCGGGGGCCTGCCCCATCCTTGGCACACATGCCCGATGGGCGGCGCCCAGCACAGCCTCAGGCTCCCCTGCACACACGCCTTCCTCCCCGGCTGGGGGTGTGGTCTGTCCTTAGCAGGCAACACTGCCTCCCAAGGTGGCAGAGAAACCACTGACCAGCACGGGCTGCCGGCCAGGAGTGTGCACGCTGCGCAGGCCCCTCCTGCGGCTACGCCCCCAGGTGTCAGGCCGCCGCAGCCCTCTGCCTCGTCTGTCCTCCAGGACCAGCGCTCCCGGCCCCTTGACGTGTGCGTGGGCCGTGACGCCTGTCAGTCCTGTTGGCGGGGTGGGCTTCCCTGGGCTCGGGGCAGGGCCTGCAGGGCTGAGCGCAAGGCAGTGGGGCAGGGGGGCCGCCGCGCCGCACGGGCGTCTGGAGGGGCCCTGCCTCTGTGCTGCCAGAGGACAGCCTGGGAGCACGGGCCTGGGGCTCCGGGCTGGCTGAGCAGAGCAGCTCAGAACACGTGTGTCCTGGGGGCTGGCGGGGGGTGGGACACCGCTCGGAAGAGCATGTCCAGGTGGGAGCAGGTCTTGCTCGTGGCCCGTGGCCCTCACTGTCCCAGCATCCCAGGCGGCATTTCACACCCAGACCAGGAAGCAGAAGGGGGCCAGCACTGCCAATGCCACACTCCCCTTGCGTCCCTCCCAACACCCAGAGACTAGGACGGCCACTGCCCTGGGGGCGGGTGCTCACCCCCTCAGCAAGGCGGGAGAACCTCGGCGGCGAGTCCCTTTAGTGTGGCAGGCACAGCAGCCAGCCGGATGCCGGCGCAGCTTCCAAGCCCCGGAAGCACTCGGCAGCGGGGCCCCTCCAGCAGGCTGTGCTTGGCCGTCGTCGTCTTCCCCCCCCCCGCCCCCGCCCCGGCCAGGCCTCTCATGGGTGGCCTTGGAGAGTGTCCCATTGGCTCCCTAAAGGAGGGGTGCACCTGACGTCTGCAGGCAGTTTTCAGGGGTGCTCTGGGTCTCCAAGGTTGTCATCCAAAGCAAGCTCTGGGCCCTTCCCTGGTCCACCTCTCCCAAGCAGGAGAGGGAGCAGCCGGCTGGGCCAGCGATGTCTTGCCTGCCTTCGTTTTCAGCCCCGGGCTGACCGCTGGCGATTGCCCCTTACCCGCGGTCCACGCAAACCCACGCACCACGCACAGCTCGGGCCCAGGCATGGGAAGAGGAGGCACTTCCGTGCATGTTTGGCCCCGCAGGTCAGAGGGAGGGGACCGAGCCCCAGCCCCAGAGCCCCGGGCTGTGGCAGCGGCAAGAGCTGGCAACGCCCGCCTCCCCTGGACCCCAGGCTGCCCGAATCCTGGAAAAGCGCTTTGGGAGCCGCCAGCCTGCTCCGAGGAGACGCGTTCTGCCGGCCGGGGGAGCCCGCGAGCCGGCCTGGCGCGGAGGCGCTCGAAGGGAGTGGGACTTGGTGCCTGTACACGGGGACCCCGCGGCCCTGCAAGGGAGATGCTGCAGACCCGCCGGGCACCCCCGAGACGGCGCCTCGGGCCGCGTGGAGGACGGACGGGGTGGGAGAGGGCAGGCCATCGGGCTTCCCGCGTTTGCTCCGCTGCTCCGCGTGCCCTAACTTCCCCTCCGCGGCGCCGCCTCCCAGCCCGCGCGCGGGCCGTAGCCCCGGCCCCGCCCCCGGCGCAGCCCCTCCCCACCCGCCTCGGCTGTACGGCAGAGGCCGCGACGCGGCGGACCCCGCCCACCGCCGCGCCAGCGCCTGGAGGCGGAGCGGCCTCCCGCCGGCGGCTACCCGCGCTTCCCGGGCGGCGGGCCGCACCATGGCCGGCATCGCGCCGCGCGTAGACTACCTGGCAGGCTTCAGCTGCCCAGTCGGGGGCCTGGCGGCGGGCAAGGCGCGCGTGCTATGCCTCGGGGCGGAGATCTTCCTGTCTACCGGGAGGAAGCGGGTCTACGTGTACAACCTGGAGGGGAGGCAGCTGACCGTGAGCGTGGGGGCGGTGTCCTGGGCCCGCGGGACTGTGCGGGGAGGTAACGGCGCGTTGGAGGAGTTTGTTCGGCACTAAAGCCTCTGTGCACCCTCTGTCCCCCGCGCCCAGGCGGCGTACAGGTTTCCTGGGCAGGTGTGTCACCTGGAGGTCCTGGTCCCGCGCCGGGAGCTCTTGGTCCTGTGCGCCCAGAGGGGCGTCTATTGCTTGTCCTTGGACCAGGAGAACAGGTGAGGAGGGGTCGCCGGGCCGCCCCGCTTGCGGCTGTTCTGAAGGCCAGCCCTGCCTTCAGACACGGGCCGGTAGCCTCTGCTACCCGCCCGCCCGCGCGCTGGGATCAGATGAGCCCTCACCGGCCGTCGCCTTGGAGACGCACGGGGCCGACCGGGGGGTCCAGAGCCCGCTCGGAAGTCGTAGGCGTGCCCACGGCCAGCACCTGCGACCCCGGGCAGGCTGCTGCTGGCAAAGGCCTGGAAAACCAGGCGCGGGTGGGTGAGTCTGCTACCAGGAGCAGGACCTGTCCCCTTGGGCTTGGGGGTCCCATCCCCTCTGGCCTGACACACCTCGGTGGTGGCTCTCTGTGGTCCCTGAGCCACACTGGCCCGAGGACACTGATGTTGGGGGCGGGGCCCAGGCACCAGCAGGGAGCCTGGAGAGGCGCCTGCTCTTGCTGACGTAGGACACGAAACGGTCCCGTGGGATCCGTGGAGGCAGCGGGTTCTGACAGGCCTGCCCTGATAAAGCTTTCCATCCGAACGCCATTCCCTGGCAGCCTGTTACGTGCGTGCCCCTGGACAGGCAGAGCAGCCTGTGGGGCGGGGGGCGGCGCCGTGGGTGCCAGCCTCTCCCTGCGGAGCCCTCCCCGTGTTGCTGAAGGGCTGTGCCGGTCACCAAGACCGCTCCCTGTGGCTACCGCAGAGCCAGGCTCAGCAACCAGTTGTCGAGGAGACAGCACGTGAATATCGCCAGGGACACTTCCCTGTGTTCTCCAAGGTCCAGGAGCCGGAGTGACGGCGATGACGGGGACGGTGAACCCCCTTGCCCTGTGGTGGCCGTGGGCCCAGACGCCTGTGTCCTTCCCGACCCCACCCTGTGCGCCTTCACGGTGCTGGACAACGCGCTCATCACGCTGGCTCAGGGCGCCCCCCACTGGAAGGTGCAGCTGTTCGAGTGTCCCTGTCCTGGGCAGGATCCCCGGCCCCCAGGCCAGATTGGCGAGGTGGAGCTGTCCACCTACCCCACCTCCGCTGGGAGCCCGGGGACACCCGAAGCCCCCCGCGTCCCCCCCGTGCTGTGCTGCGTGCGGCCACCCGGCTCCGGGGTCCCCCACAGCGTCCGGCGGGGTCCCGGGGGCTTCACACTGGAGGGGGCCCTGTTCGGGGTCCTCTTTGGAGCCGACGCCACCCTTCTAGGATCCCCCGTGGTCCTCTGCGGCCTCCCCAGCGGCCAGCTCTGCTGGGTGGCCCTAAGGACGCTGGTCACCTCCAGGTCGGCCCCCGGGGACCCAAAGGCCCTCGTCAGGATCCTCCATCACCTGGAGGAGCCTGTCATCTTCATCGGGGCCTTGAGGACAGAGCCACCGTCTGAGGACGTGGAGGACGCGTGCTGTGACTGCCTGGTGGCGCTCGGTCACCGTGGCCGGGCGCTGGCCGTCAAGGCCCGCTGGGACGAGGCAGGGGTTCTGGTGCCGGAGCTGCGGGAGCACCGCCTGCTGGGGCCCGTGCTCTGTGCCGCCTGCGGTGGGGGCGGCCGCCTGTACCACAGCACCCCCTCCAGCCTCTGCGAGGTGGTCCTGGCTCGGGGCAGCGCCCCCGGGCTCAGCGAGGGGGCGGACGTGCGGCCGGAGAGCCCCGGAGGCCTGCCCGCTGCACTCTGTCCGGCCGGCCTGAGCGTCTGCGGTGTCGTGGCCCTCGCAGTGTCGCCCTGGTCGCCTGGAGGTAAGGCCGTCCTGTCACCCGGAAAACCGAAGGCTTGGGGCGAGGGGGACCCCCGTGGCGGCCGTCTCAGCGTGAACGGGCCTGTCCTCCACCTGCCTCGTCCTGGAGACCCAACAGGGCAGGGCCGCCCACCGCGGCGCCGCCCCGAGGTCGATGGCCCGTGTCTCCGGGTCAGGCAGGCGGGGTCTGCCGCCGGGCGGCCCAGGGCAGGGGCCTCTCTCCCGGACAGGCCTTCCGTCGCAGGTCAGCCGGGGAGATGCACGTGGGTTCGGGTCGAGTCTCGACAGGTCTCCCGAAGGCCGGGAAACGCCTCCCGCGCGCGCCGAGTGGCCCGCTAGCAAGCCCGCTCTGTGCTGGGAGTGGGCGGCGGGCCCAGGGCCTGTTCTGGTCCGACGGCCCGGGCGCCACCCTGAGGCCCAGCGCTAAAGCGAAAGAAACGCTTTGCAGGGGGAAGGCTGCTGTCTGCCACAGGGAAAGGGCCACGTAGGGCGGGAAAGCTGCAGGGGCCGGGGTCGCAGGGTCGGCAGGCCTCCCCCTTTCCGGGTGGGCTCCCTGGTAGCCAGGAAGCAGAGCGGGAGGGACGGGCCAGAGAGGCCGCGGGCTTCCAGAAGGGGCCGCAGGGCAGAGCAGGGCGAGGAGCGCGCGACCCGTCTCTGGTGGCGCCTCAGCGGCTCCGTCCGGGCGGCCTGCTGACGGGCGGGCTGTGGCCGGCTGGCATGGTGACCCGCTGGGCCTGCGTGTGGCCCCTCTCAGCCCCGTTCATGCACGGCACGTCGCCGCGGTGCCTCCTCTGCCGCGCTGGAGGGCCCTGCGGGATGTGTGTGGAAGGCACTCGGGCTGCTCCGCTGTCCCCGGTCCTCGCCTGGGTGTGGCTTCCTGCCAGCGCTTGTCGCGGGTCCGGGGAGCTGTCCCGGCAGCTGGCCCCCTGCTGTGTCCGCCCTCAGGAGGCCCGGAGCTCCTGGCCCTGTCTGCCCGAGGCCGCCTGCTGGCCTGCCGCTTGGCGCAGAGTTCCGAGACGCTGTGGGCCGCCGGGGGGACCGTGGCAGACCCTCACCGGAAAGTTAAGGATTTGCTCCTCAGCATCAGCAGCGTCTCTGAGAGGTGAGCCGCAGGCGACATCCCCGTGAGGGCACCCTGGCTGTGGACGCTGGTCCAGGCCAGACCTGTCGCTTTGCCTCTGGCCCCCAGCGAGAGCCCCAGTCACCCAATTGCCTGACAGTAGGCTGGCTCCCTCAGAAGACAAGGGCCCGCTGCTTGCTTCGGCCGCCCCCTTTCCCCGGGGGCACCGTGGAGACCCTGCTGGAGCCCCCTCCCCCCGCGCTCCGCGGTGCGGCCAGCGGCCCGCAGCTCCTCGCTCCTCGCTCCTGCCTGGTGCCCCGTCTGCTCTTCCCAGGGCGTCTTCCCTGAAGAAGGCCATCGACCAGCGGAACAAGGCCCTGACGTGTCTCAACGAAGCCATGAACGTGAGCTGTGCCCTGCTGTCCAGCCGGGAGGGTCCCCGGCCCATCTCGTGCACGACCGCCACCGCCTGGAGCCGCCGGGAGCTGCAGGACGTGCTGACTGCCACCTGCCTGCTGGAGAACAGCAGCGGCTCCCCCCTGGGCCGGGGCTGGGTGCTGTGCATCCAAGTGCTCCCCGGCTCCCTGGCCTCAGACCCGGACGCGGCTGGCTCGGCCGCGACCTACACCGTCCCCGTGGGCCAGCTCGGCCCTGGCGGTCGGCGGGAGGTGACCCTGACGCTGGGCCCCAGCGAGGACGGCGTGCTCGACCTGCCCATGACCGTGTCCTGCGCGCTCTTCTGTAGCCTCGCGGAGGCCTTGGGCGGGGCCCTGGACCCCTGGGGCTCTTTCAGGGACGCCCCCGCAGGGGGACGCCCGCCCAGCACGCCAGCTGAGCCCGGGGGCATCTGCCTGCCGCTGGGCGAGCACACGGTGGACATGCTGCAGTGCCTGCGCTTCCCAGGCCTGGCCGCGCCCCCCGCGCAGGCACCCGGGCCGCGGGGCCCCGCCAGCGGCCCTGTGGACACCTTCCTGGAGGCGGGCGGCGGGCCCGGCAGCCAGCGGGCAGGGCCCGAGCCCCTGCGGGCCGTGCTCCTGCCCCCGCCCGTGGCCGCCGTCAAGGTGTCGGTGGAGCTGCTCCGCGCTGCCTGCGGGGGCAGTCGCTCAGGTCGGGTGCTGACTGGCTTCGCTCTGGCCTTGGGCCCTGAGCCTGCGGGCGGGGGGCTCCCTCCTTGCGGTCCCGGGGCCCGTCCAAGCTCACGGCCTGCGCCCCTGTCCCCCAGGCGCGTCCCTGTGCTGCGCCACCCTGCAGTGGCTCCTCGCGGAGAATGCCGCCGAGGGCGTCGTGAGGGCCCAAGCACTGTCCTCTGTCCAGGGAGTGGCCCCGGACGGCGCTGATGTTCGCCTCACCGTCCACGAGGCAAGTGGGGGCCGGCTTGCCTGTCATTGGGGAAATCGGCCTCGAAGGCTGCTGTTCTGAGTAGGGTCTCTGGGCACCTGTGTGTGGCTCAAGGGGACCTCCTTCCTGGTCCCACCCTGCAGGGGGCGCTGACCCCCTGGGGTGAGAGGTGGGGTGCTGTCCAGTGTCCCCACCCCCCCACCCCCCGCCACCGCTGCTTGCCGCCCCGCCAGTGCCTGGGTGCGGTGCCTTGGGGCCTGGATTCTGGGCCCCGGGGGGAGGGGGCTGGGTCCTCCGCCCTGTGGGTGCCCGCACAGCTCACGGACACCGGAGGAAGAGCTGCCAGCAACAGCGGCCTTCCAGAGGCCCCAGGCTGTGCCTGGTGTCCTGTGCGTCTTCCTCTCAGCGCCATCAGATCCTCTCGGGGGGGCACTTGGCTGACCTCTGACCCCAGCCCACTCCCAGTGCCCGTACCTGGCCCTGCTGCCTGGGGGCCCGGGTGTACAGTGGGTGCTGAGCGGTGTCTGGGAAGGTCACGGCCATCACCTTACTCCAGAGCAAGTGTCGTAGGAAGCAGGGATCCTCCTGGGCAGGGGGCAGCTTTGCCGCCAGCTGGCTGGCCGGTTCTCCAGGTGGGCGTAGCCATGGGGCAGGGGGACCCCGTCTAAGTCCCCTTTGGCATCGAGCTTTGCCCAGGACGGCACAGGGGCTGCCCAGGCCAGGGAGCTGTGGGTGGACACAAGGCGCCTCCTGTGCCGCAGGTGACCGTGACCGACGTGTGCCCGGCGGGGCCCCTCCGGGCCGTGGAGATCCAAGTGGAGAGCACCTCTCTGGCCAGCATGTGCATGGCCCACAGCGCTGTCCTCGGGCGGCTGCAGGTGCCCGGCCCGCCCTGGGCCTGCGGGGGCGGGCAGGGGCTGCCACGCGGCGGGAGCCTGGGGGCCCGAGGGGGAAGTGGGGTGGGGCCTGCTCCAGGCTGGAGCACAGGGGCCGGGAGCCCCGGGCGCTGCCTGTCACCCTCCAGCAACCTGCCCCTGTCCCCCCAGAGGGTGGTGGTGGAGCAGGCCGCCCGGGGCCACAGCCTGCCTGACCTCCGCCTGCAGTACCTCCACCAGATCCGGGCCAACCACGAGGTAAGGCTTGGGGGTCCTGTCCCCAAACCTCCCAGCAGCCTGCACAGTGGGGACTCCCTGGCCAGGCTCCTGTGTTGCCCTCTGAACTGGGGGTGCTGGGTGGGGGGCTCAGTCACTTGTGTCTCTGACTCCATGCCAACCTGCTGGCTACGGCCCTCCTGTCACCTAGGAGGTGTGGGTCCCCTTCAGCAGAGTCCCCTTGTCTTGAGGGGTCTTCAGTGGCCGGGAGGGATAGCCTGGCTGTTGCCACCGCCCTGCCTGCAGGCGCTGCTGCGGGAGGTGCAGACCCTGCGTGACCGGCTGTGCACAGAGGACACCGCCAGCTCCTGCACCGCCACCGAGCAGCTCCTGCAGCTGTACCGGCAGCTGCGCAGCCCCAGCCTCCTGTTGCTGTGACGGCCGCCAGGTGCGCCCGCCCCGCCCCAGGCCCCGTCCACACCGGCAGCCCCTCCGAGGGTGAGGACGCAGCGCCTCTGGGTCCATGGAGCAGGGCATGGAAGGTGGCTCCCCGCTGCCCGCGCGGGTGGAGGCCACAGAGTGGGGGGGTGAGCCTGGCCCCTCCTCGGCAAAGCGCAGGCCCCTGGCCCCAGGGGCCGCCCCCCGCCCTCCTGCGGGCCGTGAGGCGAGGTGCTGGGGTGGCCGCGCGGGACCGGGGCCCTGCCCCCATCACCGCTTCCCGTCTCCTGCAGTCCCCGCTGTCTCCGCCCTCGTCCCGATGCCGCCGGGCGGCGTCCCCAGATGTGGCAGTTGAGTCAGCGGCATCTGTTCCACGTAGACGCTCAGGACGTCGGGCCGAACCCCAGAGCAGGCGTGGCGTTGCTGGGCGGCCTTCGGAGGCCAGGGAGAGGCCACCGGGGACCAGGACCTGGGGCGGGTGGGGGCCTGGCTGCCACCCCTGGGGTGCCGTGGCCCCGCCTCTGCATCGTGGAGCCCCCCCCCCAGGACCAAAGCACAGCAGGGTTGGTGGGGGGGCTCGGGGGGCCCGGGGCCAGGGCCTGTGCCCAGCACCGCAGGCTCCCAGGGCCTCGGTGCGTGGGTGGCCCCTCGTGCTGCTGTTTGCCGTGTTTGGGGAGGGGCGCCTGGATGTCACAGGGTCCTCCTTGGGGGGTCGGGCACTGTGAGGGCCCTGCCGCCACAACTGACATTTCCGTGGCCACCTGCCTCTGTCTCCACTGGTTTGTCACACGCACACGCGTGCCTGTACTGAGCGACGGTTTTCCCAGGGCCCCCACCGGGCGAGCCCCGCACGGTCCTCTGTGGCCCTGGGGCGAAGTGCGGCCCGGGGAGTGAAGGGAAGGCTTGGCAAGCCCGGGGGGGCGGGAGAGAAGGGACAGGGCGCAGGGTGGGCGCAGGCCCACCGGCCAGGGAAGGGGACCGCACGCGGGACGCCCCAGTGTGAAGCTCCAGCCCCTCGGCCGCAGTGAGGCCCCTGCGCCCAGTCCCAGCCTCCGCTCCCCACCCTGGGGTGTCGGCGTGTCCGTGGGGCCGCCCGCCCTCTGCAGGGCGGGCCGAGGGCAGGGCAGGGAGAGGCCCCGGGGATCCCGGAGCCCTGGGCGGCGCACTCGCAGCCCCGCCGCCAGGGGGCAGCACAGGCCGCAGCTAGGCAGCTGCCAGCCTCCTCGCCCGCTGGGCTCCTGTCTGTGTCCCCCGAGGTAACTGGCTGCCTGGGGCCCCCAGCCCCTGACCACGGCTCTTCTTTGCCCCCAGGTGAGGGGACTGGCCCATGGGCTCCTTGGGGAGGGGCTGCAAGGAGGCTTAGGAGAGACCTCGCAGGGCCTGTCCGTGCCCCCTGGGAGCCCCCCTCATCACCCTGTGTGTCTGAGCTGCCCAGGCGCCTCTTCCCTGGGGCCCCCTTTCTCAGAGCCCCCTGCCTTCAGTGACCTCTTCTGGGGCCACATGGGTGGGACTCACAGGAGGGGCACTTCAGGCCCCAAGCGAGGGCTGGCGGGCGAGGCAGGGTCCGGGGAGGGGCCTCTCCGTCCCCCCGCCCCCTCCGGAGGCCTTGCTAGGGCTGCCTCCCACCTGCGTTCCCCGCCCTCAAGGTCCCGATCAGTCCCAGGGGCATGCCCCCACCTCGGCAGTTCCAGGCCACCCAGCCTGTCCCAGAGGCATCGGCCCGCATTGGGGTTCTGGGTGCTGGCTGCTGTGTGAGGCGCGTGGGTGAACCACGGCCTTGTCCGGGCAGCCAGCTGTGGGTGGGGCCGGGGAGGCCCCTTGTGCACAGTGGGGGTGGGTTTGGCCCGAGAGCCCCTTTCCCACGCTGGGTGGCAGCGAGGCATCCCCGGGGAGCTGAGCAGGGGCCCTCTCTCTTGCCTTCCATCCACGGGGCTCGCCTGTCCCCCAAAGGCTTCCAGGGTTCCCAAAGACCCTGCTAGCGCACTGGGAGCAGCAGCGCGCGCGGAAACACACTGACCCCAAGACAGGCTGGCCTGCTTCGCTGGGCCTCCCAGGGGGCGGGGGCGGGGGCGGGGGCGGGGGCAGGGACGAACGGAGGAGGCCCAGGGCTGTGGTTGTGCAGGAAGCAGGTGGCGACCATAACCCCCTGGGCCACCCCCACGCTGCGCCTCCCGGGCATGGGGGTTGGAGAGGTGCCGCGCGAACCACAAGAACCAAGGAGAGCCGCAGCGGGCGAGGGTGCACGTCCCGGGCTCCGCGCTGAAGGCGGGGGCGGGTTTCCCGCCCGCAGAGCCGAGGGCCCCCGGTGATGAACCTCCGCGCCCGCCCTAAGCCACGTCAAGGAGCTGCCAGCCGATGAGACGGACACTGTTTAATGGGGGACCGGGGCCGCGTGCTCAGTACTCCCAGAGCGCCACCCCCGCCGGCGCGTCCGCGTCCGCGCGCAGCAGCCCCGAGGCGCCGCCGCGCAGGTACTTGCCGTTCCGGGCGCGGATGGCCAGGCGGCCGCGCTCGCGGAACTCGAAGAGGAAGTCCTCGGCGCGCTCGCCGTCGCTGCACACGCTGCCGTGGCTGCCGGTGTGCCAGAACCCGCCGCGGCCTGTGGAGCAAGCGCGCGTCGGCGGGCGGCGCTCCGGAGGCTGCGCGCCACCCGGTGCGCGCTCCCCTGGCTCCCCGCCCCGCGCACCTCGAATCTGGTAGGCACCGTCGCTGAAGCTCAGGTGGAAGACGTCGTAGACCGAGCGGTTGGTGTCCAGCTGGTTGGAGCCGCGGCGGTGGCACACGAAGCCGTCCAGGCCGCGCAGCACCAGGATGGGCCGGTTGATGAGCTTGAGGATGAACTCCTCGTCCCCGCCTGCGGGGAGAGCCACCCTGTCCTAGCCGGTCAGGCGGGTGCAACAGGGGCTCCCCAGGAAGAGCTGCCAGCAGGCTCGGGGTCCTGCGCCCAGATCTGTCACTGTCATTGCCCTCCGTGACCTCGCAAGGGGTCTGCCACCCCCCCGAGCCCAGGCACCCCGAGGGTGCCCGGGAGACAGGGGTGCTCTGGGACCCAACTGCTCCGCCGATGGCTGGTGTCCACAGTGGTGATCTGGACCAGCCAGCACCGGGACAGCAGCCAGTCCCAGGGAGGGGCAGGGCCGGCCTCTGGTGGACGGGCACAGTGTCCCCAGGTGAGGTCCAGCCCATCCCCCTGCAGGCGGGGGGTGCTCACCCACAAAGTCGCTGATGGCCGCCAGCTGCCCATTCTTCTTCATACACACGTAGCGCCCATTACTGGCCTTGAGGGCCACCCGCCGGCCGCGCCACTCCATCTCAAACATGGTGCTGGCTGAGCTGGGGAGCAGGGCAAGGTCCCTTCAGAGCAGCCGGACATCGGGCTCAGGGCCCAGGCTCCCCACGGCCCGGGGAGGGACGGCGCTTGCTTTCCGCCCACGGGCCCCTTGGAGCTCTCCCCACCCGCAGGCACTGTCCCCGCGGACCACCACGGCATCCTCAGGGCGGGCGTGGGCTTGGGGATGGCCACTCACACTTGGGTGGCCGTGGCCTGGATGCCCCCGTGGGCCACCAGGGTCCAGTAGCCCCCCGTGCTGGAATAGAAGGTGCACTTCTTCGTCTCCCGGTCGATTTGCATCAGGAAGGTCTCATGGTCCAGCTCTTCGTCCTGGTTGGCCGAGACGTTGACCCCTGGAGGGAGGAGAAGGGAAGCCCCTCGTCCCTGTGCCTGGTGGGTGGGGAGCAGGCGGCCGGGGGAGCAGCTCTTGGGGCGGCCCCGAAGCCGAGGGGGCTCATCTAGAACCTGAGAGGATTTGGAAGGCACTTCTCAAAGGGTCTGGGAGCTCTGCCCCCAGGGCCGTGTGGGCACATGAGACCCCCGCGCCGGTCCCCCAGGTCCTGGCCCCAGAGCAGGTCCTTCCGGCAGCAGGTCCCGCGCGGTGCCGATCAGCAGGCAGCCTGCTCCCCCCCACCCCCAGCTGAGCTCTCGCCGGCCTCCGTAACTCGTCCCTCAGCTGCGGTGTGGGCACAGTGGGCCCTATCTGTCCCTGGGCCGAGGCCCAGGACACAGCCAAGGCCCCTGGCAGGGGCTGGCCCCTTATCGCCTTTCCTGCCCCCGCTCGGTGGGGGCTCCCCGGTGTCCTAGGGAAGGTCAAAGCTACCACGGCTCTGCCCGGGGGTCCTGGGCCCGGGACAGAGGGCTGTCCATACTCAGACAGGGGCAGTGGGCGGGCTCTGGGGCTTCCCTAGTGTCTTCCCATGAACTGCATTTCTGTTTCCATAGCAACTGGCCGGGCTGAGCGGTGTGGCAGGTCACGGAGCTCCCTCTCGGACTCCAGCGGGCCCAGGTGGGGAGCCTGCGGGCCAAGGCCGGGTCCTGCCCCGGGGGCGGGGGCCGGGCGGGGCCTCCCCTGCCACTCAGGGCGCCGTGCCCTCCGTCTGCCAGCAGCAGCAGCAGCGACTGCCGCTGCGCCGGGCGCGCGGTCAGGGACAAGGCAGAGGACAGCCCGCCCCTCCTGGCACTTAGCGTCCGTAGGGGGTGGCGACAACAATGCCGTGTGTCCAGGGCCCGTGATCACTGTGGGCCTGGGCCGGGACAGCCTCCCAGGGAAGGCGACGCTGAGGCCCCGCAGGTGCTGGTGGGGCGAGGCCGGGCTGCACATGGCCGCCACCGTCCGCAGCGTGTCCCCACGCAGCGCTCCAGGCCGCGTGCGGCCCGGGCTCCATGTCATACAGGCCGTGGGGCCTTGACCAGTGGACGGGAGAGAGGTCGGGGTCCGGGCGGCGCCGGCACAGGGCCCTTGCTGGGTAGCGGGGGCAGCCTCGCGGAGCCGTGGGCGTGGGCGGGGTCTGCGGGGATTTGCAGAAGGACGTCCCTCCCTCCTGCGAAGACGCGGGAGAGTTCAGGCCCCTCTTCGCTCCGGACTGTGTCCATCTGGGTGTGAGGCCCGGGCCGCGCAGGCGCCAGCCAGCGGCCAGAGCAGCCCCTCGGAGTGGAGCGAGTGGAG